GTGGGAGCTTGGCTTAACGCCCGCGATAAATTCAAGGTTAAATCTGAAGCCTATAATTTCTCTCCACCAGCTGGATGCGTCTAACTCGATGTGATTGAGAAAAGGCTGTGCAATGGAGTTGGAAGACCAGTCTCGCAGCCCTTTAAAAGTTTCCCCAACAGCAAGGCTTTCCCTGGGAGATGCTGGCGTAGGCCCGGATAATTTCTGATGGATTACCCTCTGGAATGTCAATGTTTTGACCAGGGATAACACTGGCGAGGTGGATTGACGTACCAGGGTTCTCCGGAATGGGATTGAAGTCACACCATGCCTCACAGGAGAGTTGAAGGACAGGTTCTGAGATTGATCCCACCCTAGGAAGAGATAAAATTAGCACACACAGTATACAGTGGTATTAATATCTCAAATTAGTCTCTTGAAATGTTCTGACAATTCCACAATACTCCCCGAATCGTTCCTGTTTTGTTATGCCCATTTATCTAGGAGTGTGAAAGGAGAAAGACAGGCTTTTTACCATCTTGATCTTGGCCAAAGCTACTAGATACCTCTATGTCTATGCAGAAATATGACAACTCGCTTATCAGATGTATATGTTGCGTCCAATCCGATTGTTACTCGTCGCGGATTAAGGCCATCAATGGTTTTCTCTTGCTGAAGAAGGGTCTTCACGAACGTCAGGTCATCCATTGCCAGCGCCGCAAGCCATGCCAGTATATTGTCTATGGCATCGAGGGTGTCAATATACAGGCTAAGTGAAATTTCCGATCCCGCTAATTGGACACCTCTCTTCATCTTCACAACATCGGCGGTCTTTGGTGTCACTGAACACTCCAGAACAAACATCACAGAACCTTTTTCCGGCCCAATAGGTTCATCTGTCATCATTCCTCCGACTAGCACCTTTTTACAGATGACTTCAAGGTTTGTGATCTTAAACTGTGAAATAGCAGAGAGTAGGCCCGTAAATTCCTTATCCACACCAAAGACCAAATTGCAGTCTGAGCGTGGTCCGATAGCTCACAAAGGGTCCGAATCACAGAGCATTGCGCTTCCCTAGGCAGCTTGACCTTTGGAGGATAGCCTGCAGAGGAAGGATGACTGTCAGGATGCTATCTATAAACGCGCATTGTCCAGCTAACTTGGCAATCTCTTCAACTTTGACAGTAATGTCGGGATTTCCGTTCCAGAAGGCCACAATAGAGAATACCACAGTCATTATCTATTCCAGTGCTTGAGATCATGGCGAGTGCTTCTCCAAATGCGGAAGCAGGAGCATCAGAAGAGGAGTTGAACATCGTATCCCAAGAGCTTTTGAAAACAAATTAGAAGCTCTGTATATTGCCTCTCTTATCATTCACCTGTAGTGAGAATTGCCCATTTCCAATTCGGGAAAGCCATTTTGCGGTTCGTCTGTTTCCGGGGCGGGCTTCTTCCCCGCTATGACAACCTTATTCTTTAGCGTTGAACCAAACCTGTCGGTGTTTTCGCTCCTAGGGACAGGCATATACTTGAGGCCTTTGTCTGGTGACGCTAGAATAGATATAGTACTTCTCGTCCATCTCTCTAGCCCAGTGGAGCTTGATAAGAAAAACTGCAAAACGAGGTTAAGGGTACTATGCCCCAGCCGAAAGATCGCCTCTATGTCTTAGATCAGACAGTCGATATTCGAGTATCAGATAGTTAGACGTGTGTAAACCGGATGCGTGCCGTTCCCTGAAACAAGGTATATTTCGCAAGGCCAATGGAAGACAGCCTCTCTGCTGTTCAAGAAGAATTACCTGTGATCAATATCGAAACAGAGACATATCCTACTTGCGTACGTACGACCTCTTCCGTTTGGTAGTTTGGGTTTCCATTTCCCCTCAGTGGTGGCGAGCTGACCTCGCCGCCGACGAATGAGTCCCGCAAAAAATATTCCCGTATGTCGATTCATTACGCCAGCCCGCTTGTTACACACAGCAGGCACACATGCAGAGTGTGTCAAGTGTCCCATGGGTTTGCATTTGCCTTGCATTGGACGCGTTGCCCACTATGTACGGTACAAACAGGGGATTCTAAATGGAGATGATGACAGGAAGTGAGATCGACTCAAAGGCCCACAACGGTGTTCATACATGTATGCGCATAACTACGGAGTACATCTAGGCTGGACAAGCTGCAGGCATATCCTTCGTATGGATGGTTGCAAAGGTCATTTACGCGAATATTTGGTTTGAATTTCGACCGCGCGGGGCCAGGTAAAGTACTTTCAATCTGCACTGTATTCAATCAACCCGCAGCAGCAAGGAAACGAAATGCACCACAGATACTTGCTGTCCACCCTCCATGCTCAACGGATCCCGTCTATTAAGCAGGAGATATCCTTTTGATCTCGACTGCGTCCCCGGTCATGCCATTGAGATGCAATTTAATGCTTTCTAGGTCGGTTGGCTTTACAAACTGAAAAACATCGTCCTCGATTCGGTTCTAGATGTAAAACTTGCGCTGGACTCGAAGAGAACTGCAGCGTTGCCGGATCGACTAATTAGTGGTGACTAACTAGCTTCGGCCGAGGATTCGACAGGCCGTACTCCTTATTCCTTGGCCATCATCTGACCATCACTTTGGTCGTCACCCCAGTGGTACTCGATGTTTTAACTCCACTGCATCGTCTGTCCAACCGCTGGGCACTGGCGCCATCTTTGATAACTGATCAGTACGTACGCATTCAAGGCCTTTTAATGGCAAGGTTGGGGAGGGATTTTGCTGACTTGAGTAGGAGAGTGAGAACGTTAGAAGAGTTAAATAAAACTAATCAATGTCGGGCAGACAGTTCTCGTGTTGTGTTCGGACTTAAACTGGCTGTTAGCCAGGAAAGTGGGTGATATAAACACAGTACCGGGTGTTCTCGCCGAAGTATGATGTAGCTATTGACGGGATGCTCATCTGCGCTCGGCATGCATCAACCCCCACTCTGGCGTTGCAGGAGGAGAAATCCTGAATTGGAGCTGAGTGGGAGCGTGTGTGTATATGTAAAGTCAGAAAAACTTCCAGACCCGCCGAAATGATAGCCCCAACCTCGCACCATTCTGTTGTCTATGGCGACGCTCGAACCTGAGCCGATTCTCTGAAACAAGCGGCCCGCGGAAATCGACCTGAAGGAGGCCTACAAGTTCAACTCCAGGCAGGAGCCGGCTTATTCCTTCAATTCAAAACCAGCCGCTGATGAGTGAAGGGAGCCTAGGTCTATAAGTTTATGGACGGGGGTGATTGAGAACTTTGCTGGTTATGACATGCTCCATGAGGGATCTAATGAACAAAGAGAAATAGTTGTTCGGTTGGGTTACGGTGTCATTACGCTCGCCGTCGCTAGACAACTGTCGAGATTCCTGCCCCGTCTGACCCACTTTCCTTCACATAGTGCCAAAGTTGATGACTAGAAAGACTCGGGCGACGACTGTTATGCACTGGGGTTGGAACCCCAACTAATATCACCTGCGAGAGCTTAATCCTAGGCAAGACGGTTCAAAGGACAACCCATCGAAATTTCTAGTGGCAGATGGCCTTTTTTACTAAATCCTTCGTGGAGTGACGATCCGATAGTGGAACCCATACGATCTCCTTGGACGTTTCTTTGTCATTTCCTAAGCTGTTCAACAATGAAGCCAAGGAACATTTCTTTCTTCCGCTGACAGCGGTGGACGTTCGACGGAGCGGGCAAATTGCGTTGAGCCGAGTCAAGGCTTCTGGCGGCATTCAAAAACTGCCTGCGCGGTTTCACTGCACGTGGTGTAAGAAAGAAGGGATAGCCCAATGTTTTTTCCTTGGAGGTACGGAGTATTCCGTACGGATATGAATTCGATAAAAATGACGTGTGATGCTGGGACAAATTCTTGAAGTATGAACGATACAAGCTCCTCTGCGAGATTGCATTTCCCACGAAAGACTTCAATGTTTCTGGAGCTAGAAAGGCAAGATTGGCGATACGGTGCCAAGATACAGGAATTGCGCTGGAACGTATCCTTCTATTGAAGTATTACAAACTTTTTTGCTCCTTCTCCGTCTGTTTTTCTGTATAGGCCGCTTATTAGAAGCCTCTGGGCCTTACAATTCTACCCACGTTCTTTGATAAACAAGGCAGCAAGGGAAAGGGTAAACCTCAGATCAAATATATTTATAGCAGAGAGCTATGATAACCCCTGTGACAACTGCGAAGAGTTAATCAAAAGGTATGCTGGAAGAGGACCTCGACTTATTTCATGCACTAAAAGGGGCCACAGTATTAATTTGGTGATATCGCAAAAAAAACTAGCGGCGGATTCATTGCATGTATGTACGGCAGGCATGTACGCAGTGATTATAGCTATTTTCCCCACCACCAACAGCTAATTGGCCCACAGATTCAGAGATATAAAGAAAATATCCAAAATTGTTGATAATCATAGTTATTGTAAAATCTGTGCATGGCATCATCATATTCATCCGCAGTTAGAGTTCAGGATGATGATGGAGCACAATTTGGAAAAGCATGACGAAAAGGAATCAAGATGGCGGACTATGGGCCATGGGGGCTGACAGGCCAGTCAAAGCCCAAACAGGTAGCTATCAGGGTGAACTGGCCTGCCCAGGGCACTAACAATAATTACCATACTTTGACATTCAAAAACCCACGTGGCTGGGCTTCATTAACTATGTAACTAACACTAGTGTGGGTTAGGGCTGGTTAGGGGTCTCATGGACCCAGTACTCCGTATTAAGGGTCAGCTCGAGGAACAGGAACCCTAATTCTAGTTCAACTAACTAACTAACTTGCACCGCGCGTCTCAGCCTGGTAGCTTGGGTTTTGGACCCGTGGCAGGAGGGAATTGGTGACAAATTGGAATATTTTTGGACAATGATCCAGGCCACACACACTCCCACCGGGAACAAGCAATGTGCCTATTTTGACTGAAATAGCAGTCTTTCACAAGGCAACAGCCTCTGCCAAACTCGGGATCCGGGACGATTCGGGGCTTCACAGGATGGCACTGGTTGCTTCACCACCAAGGGGAATCGTCGTCTTCTCTGGAGGCAGCGCTGCAAACAATCTCGTTGACGTATTCGAAGCCGTGCGTCAAAACAGATCCTGTCCGCTGAGTTACATCATTCCCATCAGTGACAACGGCGGCTCTTCATCAGAACTGATCAGGGTCTTTGGTGGCCCGGGAATCGGAGATGTTCGAAGTAAGCCTGCTCGCCTGACAAGCTATCAGATGTACACAGTTGACAGAACTAATACCAGGTAGACTTGTTCGACTCATTCCAGACTGTCCGTCAAATCAAGAATTAGCTGCCATCAAAGCCTTTTTCAATTATAGGTTGCCACCCGCAGCTGATGCTGCGCACAACGAGTGGTATTCCATTGTCGAAGGAACCTCTCCGCTATGGAATGCTATCACTCCTGCAAAGAAGGAGCTCATCCGCTCATTTCTGAACCATCTCAATCTTGAGATCCTGAAGCGGGCGCGACCACCATCTTCAACCTTTGATTTCACTTCTGCTAGTGTCGGAAATCTGTTCCTCACTGGAGCCCGCCTTTTCACTGGGAGCTTTGAGAGTGCGATTTACCTTCTGGGCAGCATTTGTTCTGTACCACTTGACAGTGCTCGAGTTATACCAGCTATTAATTCCAACTTTTCACATCACATATCTGCCTCACTAGCCGACGGGACTGTGATAGTTGGTCAAAACAGCATCTCTCATCCCAGCGAGACCACCGCTCTCCAGCCCGTTAGACGACGACCAAGCCTTCTCTTAGCCGATGGAGAGGATCTAAACTCTGAATCTGACGACCTCTCCTATGAAGACAGCCACTTACCTGGCTCGCTTCCAACCCTCCGCAACAAAAATATTACTTTCAGCAAATCCACCGTGGAAGAGCTACCATGCCGCATCTCCCGCGTTTGGTATATCAATCCATACGGCCAGGAGATCAAACCACCCGCCAATCCCCGGGTTCTAGAAGCCATACGCTCTTCTCAAGCTATAATATATAGCATCGGCTCCCTCTACACGTCTCTCATCCCTTCCATAATCCTCCGTGGTGTCGGCCAGGCCCTCTCAACCTGCCCAGCCCGCCACAAAATTCTCATCCTCAACGGCTCTCTCGACCGTGAAACAGGACCGGCAACTCACCCCTTCGCAGCCTCAGATTTTGTCGAAGCCCTGGTGCGCGCCGGGGAAGAATCCCACGGCCGCAGCCGCGGAGTGCAAAGAGTAAACGGCACGGTGGCAATACCCGAATCATGCCATGGGCCTGTTAAATCCGCATCGCAACCCCCTCGCATCTCCGTCCCGTACACTGCGTATGTTACGCATATCATCCATCTGGAGGGACCTGGGACTCCACGTGTGGATCGCGAGCGTCTGGCAGAGATGGGAATCGAGTGTTTGCGGGTATATGGACGGAAGGTGGAGGGCCAGTCTGGGGAAGTGTTGGGAATGAGATATGATTCTACGGCGTTGACACAAGCGCTGGAAATGGTGCTAGGGAAGAAGGGAGATGCCATGGTGGGAATAAAGAGCAGAAGAAATACAATGGAGAGCATGGCAGGAAGGTAGAACGGCCGGAGTCCTGGCAGATCAGTGCCTTGATGTAGGGTTTTAGTGAACGCCCTTCCTTTTCCCTTTTTTTTTTTTTGGGGGGGGGGGGGGGGGGGGATCCTATACTCATAAAGGGAGATATAAATAATTTTAATCAATGGTAAGAAGATGGAGATGATCGAATATTTTCGGACTACATTATTTCTATCATAAAGAAAGAAGGCTGTGTGGTATATCCCTGGTGTAACGCTTCCGACCACCCGACGACTTTTACCACCCAACGACTGCAATTTCAAAATCCAACCCTCAACTTTCCAACCACGATAAAATGGTCAACAAAGCTGCAATTGAGCAAGCAATTAAGGATTTAGAATCTCAAGAAGTTCCAATTTACAGATATACAGCTTTAAAATATGGAGTCAATGAAACTACGCTTGCACAGCAATCCAAAAGCTTACAAGTCTCCCGAAGTGAAGCCTCTCTTCTTTACCATAAATTATTGATAGATTCGCAAGAGAGATCCCTTCTCGACTATATAAATAATCTTACGGTCAAAGTCTTTCCTCCTACGCCTCGAATTCTATGAAATCTTGTTGAAGATATCCTCAAATTGCTTGTTGGACAGCGCTGGGTTTCTCACTTCATTGAACGCCATAAAGATGAAATCAAAAGCATACACTTACGTGCCATTGACCAGCAAAGGAAGAATGCGGATAATGCGTACTACTATACCATTGCTTTCAGCTTGTAAAGATCCAATTCCATACTAATTTTGGCTGGTTTGGGTGTCAGTTTTGCTAACTATCTCTCAACTTCAGGAAAAGATACACAAATACTGTATTTTGCACTCAAACATCTATAATTTTGATGAGAAAGGGTTTGTACTTGGAATCCTGAGGATGCTCAAGCGAATTGTCACCACAGAAGCTTTGAAATCCGGGCGAATACTAGGAACAATGCAGGATGGAAGCAGAGACTTCATATCTCTACTGGCATGCATTTGTGCAGACGGAACAGCACCTCCACCATTTATTATCTTCAAGGGGGAGTCAGGAGACCTTCAAGATAAGTGGCTTGCTAATTTTGTATGCAAAAAGGACCAGGCCTTCTTTGCTGCTTCCGAGAATGGATGGAGTAGTGATAACCTTGGCCTTGAGTTCCTCAAATGCTTTGACCAACTTACACGAGATAAAGCAGGCGGATCCAAAGGCTCTATGCGTGTATTGTGGATGGCCATTCATCCCATGTCAACATGAAATATATTGAATACACTGATGCGAATAACATCCTTCTTGCTGTCCTTCCACCCCATTCTACACACCATTTACAGCCTCGAAATGTTGGAATATTTGGACCACTATCTTCTACGTATTCCAAATATATGGATGACTTCCTTTGTGGAGGATTTGGCTTCAACCAAATGAACAAATCGAGCTTTTGGCAAATCTTTCACCCAGCTTGGAAGGATGCCACCATGCCGGAGACTCCTACTAGTGCCACTAGGATTTGCATGCTGAGCCAGTGCTTGAGCCAAATACCACAGCTACCCTCCGAAATCAAGCTTCTAGTTAAAGCTACTGAGAGACTAGTGCTCCATAATGAAGCTCTAGTGGTTGAAAAATCAAAGCCTAACCCAAGCTCTACGGGTTGAACGCAAGCAACGGCGGTGTGGAAGAGACATGGGGCTTTGGATCCTGAGAAGCCCGGTCAAGCTCAGTTCTTTTCTCCCAAGAACGTAGCACAGGCTAGAGAGAAATTTTTGGAATTAGAGAACAAAAAGAAACAAGAGCAGGCTCAGAAGGAACATGACAAGCTTCAGAAGGCCATTGCAAGAGAAGTAAAGGCTGCAGAAGTTGCAGAACAGAAAGCTCGCGAAGCCGCCCATATGGAAGCTCAACGCCAAAAAGAAGCCAATAACGCTGCCAAAGAAGCTCAAAAAGAAGCTCAATGTGTTGAACGAGAGGCTTGTAAAGCCCTTGAACTAGCTGAGAAGGAAGAGCGAGCTCGCAAGCGCCAGCAGGCCAAAGAAGAGAAGGCTGCTCAGAAGGCAGGAAAGCGGTAAAGAGCCCTAGTTGCTCAAAAAGCCAGGATACCCTGGTTCAACGGCCTAAACCTCCTTAACAGAAACCTAAGAACCCTCCTAAGCCAAAATCAACCCTGCCAGCTTCGAATTTGGATAATGCTGTCGCTCCAATTCCAGAGAAGCCAAAAACGACTAGCTCCCGCTTCGGCCGTACTATTAAGCCAACACAAAGGGCTTTTGATAATCTATAGAGATTTATATGTAATATTCCATCTTATTTACTAGTATTTAATATTTAATTTGAATATCTTATTTGGTTGTTGAGATATTGCTGGTTTTGTAAGGAGGGTTGATTTTGAAGCCGTAGTCGTTGGGTGGTAAAAATCGTTCGGTGGTCGGAAACGTTAATCGACTGGCATAAACTCTAAAACCCCTTTGACACCTTTCTCCAAAACCGCCAGTGAATGTCCCGCACTGTCCTTCTTGAGTTACCCTCCACAGAAGATACAGAGAAACTAAAATTATGAGATCGGGATATCTTTGTTACTGCTTCTTTTTTGTTGTCAGCTTAAGCTGCAGAGGTACAAGATTCCGTCGAGGCCCAGGTACGTCAGATCTTGTAAGCACTCTGCGGCAAACCGGGCAATTTCCGCGGGGCGTTTTTCCATTTTCATGTATGCGTCTCTCTTCACCAAAGCGGAGCGTGTCGATAATGCATTTGTGGCAGAATAGGTGGCCTAAACGCAAGGTGCATTAGCCTTGTTCAACAAACTAGAGGCGTATATACGAGGGAATGAGAGACGAAAGCCTACCACAAATGGTAATCGTGGCATCTTCAGGCGTATCCATGCAGACAGGACACTTGTAAGATGTTAGAGCGGATCGACCAGTCTCATCTTTTGCAGAATGTTGCGCCTTGACAGCATCCTCTCGTTGTTTGGATAAAGCGTGGGCAAGAGTTGTAGAGTCATTGACCGAAGTTAGGTCAATTGACTCGACATCGGGGCCTTCAACTGCAGAGCTGTTTTGCGGGGTAGAACCCGCATGTGATGTGAGTATGGAGGGTCCCGCAGCTGCACCATGATTCAATCTCCGTCTTTTGGAATCGTGAGAGTCCCCTGAGACATGTAATCGTGATGGGTTGGGTGGTGGAGTATAAAGGCTGCTGAGAGGTCGAATTTCGTCTCTACCGTTATAAGGAGAGGATGATCCGAGGGTCGTAAGGTCGACAAAAGCGCTAGCGCTCCGGGACATGTTTCCGGCAAAGGAGATGCGAGGCTGACAATATTGCTAAGTGGAAAGTCTTGGAAATACGGGCAGATTCCCATAAGACCAAGTCCAAAAATAAAGACCCCACGCCCGACCAAGCTATGTGGTAAGGGAAAGATACCACTAGAGAGGACGGTGTAAAATACGGCGTGAAGGTGGTGATCTCAGTACAAGTGAAGAATGGTAGCCCTCAGCGGCCTCCGCCGCCTCTTCCAGCACCAAAAGTGTTCGTTTGAGAGGCCTGAGCTGGTGGTCAGTTGACGAGCTCGAAATCTGAGCAGTGAGGGAAAGAGCCGGCAGTAGGGAAGTCAAAAGGTGGACCGCAAAAGATTAGATTTGACAAGAGGCAGAAACAGGGGCAGTAAAATCAAATTATACAATAGGCGGCGTTGATTATGTGTGTCTGGATAAAGCCGGGACGAGATGAATGAAGATGGGATCAGATGGCAAACTCCTGATTATATAAGGTCCTTATCGATAAGATAAGGGTCCATCAATACTACGGAGTAGTTCCATACCGTATTTGAGGTTTGATGGGAGGTTCCTGTGTTCTGTGCACGTGAGCAGCCTTATCAGCTCTTCCTCGGGTTTCTTCTGCTGGGCTCGTCGTCTCGTCCCAACTGTCGGCTCAACACTCAACCTTTGCGCACAGCATGGTTTAGCATTTGATCAAGGATGCTGGTACCATCTGCCGGCGCTTCCGGGGCTTTGCTAAGAGCCTCTTGTCAGCCTCGGAGGCTCTCCTTGGCTCTTCACCCCCAGCAAAATCTCCTATCGCTTTTCAGGCATTACTCGTCGCAAACCGCGCCAAATGACGTGGCCAACGCGTTGAAGAGGAGTACGCTTGCTTGTGAGTATATTTTCATAGTTGCAAGCAATTGTTTCATATACTGAGCTGCTTTTTAGTGCCGTCGACTGCACGATTCAATGAGATTGGTGTCCAGCAGCTAAGCAGCCATGTCCATTCTCAAATATTTCCTCGACCACCCACACCGCCGGAGCCGGAGTTAGTGGCCCTTTCGAAAGACCATCTAACCAGGCATGAGCTACTTGGGAAAGCCCAGGATGCCGCTAATCCGATCGCCTTCGATTTGCCTCGCCTGCAAGGCGAGACACTGGATGAGCATTTTTACAAGCTGGGAATGGACGCCTCTGCGCCATATCTGGACTTTGCGAGACGGTATTCGTTGATTCATCTTTCACCGGCCCCCCGAAAATGGGTTAGAAGGAGTGGATGGACGAAATACAATGCCGATGGGACGACTGAACAAGTCCACGCCCCCAACGAGAGCATGTTAACCTTCGACACTGAAGTTATGTGGAAGGAAAGTCCCTTTGCTGTTATGGCATGTGCTGCAAGCCCCACAGCATGGTATGCCTGGCTTTCGCCGTGGCTTCTTGGAGAATCTGAAAACCCTCAGCACCTTGTCCCACTAGGTGACCCTTCGAATTCGCGGATAGTTGTGGGGCATAACATTGGCTACGACAGAGCTAGGATACTTGAAGAATATGATTTACAACAATCGCGCAATTTTTTCCTCGATACGATGTCTTTACATGTGGCAGTGAATGGAATGTGTTCACAACAAAGACCTACCTGGATGAGACATAAAAAGAACCGTGACCTAAGAGAAAAGATAGCGCAGCAAACAGACTCCTATGAACTTGGCCAACTGCTAGAAAACAAAGCACTTAGTGAAGAAGAGGAGGAGTTGTGGGTAGGAAGGAGCTCCATTAACTCCTTGCGAGATGTCGCTAAATTCCATTGCAATGTCACCATCGACAAGGCGCAGCGAGATCACTTTGGCGAGCTTGACAGAGATGGTATACAGCAGAGATTAGATGAGCTTCTCGATTATTGTGCAGCCGATGTTTCCATCACCCACCGCGTTTACCGAAAAGTATTTCCCAATTTTCTTGAAACCTGTCCCCATCCGGTGAGTTTTGGGGCATTACGGCACCTCTCTACCGTAATTCTGCCAGTCAACGAGACATGGGCCCAGTACATCAAAAGGGCCGAAGAAACATATCATCGTCGATTAAGTGATGTCCAAAATCGGCTGGAGGAACTGTGCCAAGAAGCAGTTGAAGTGAGAGATAAACCAGAAGTGTACAATAATGATCCTTGGTTACGGCAACTTGACTGGTCCGGCCAGGAAATTAAGATGGTTAAAGGAAAGAAGAAAGGTGATCCTCCCCGGCCAGCTGCACGCCAGAAGAAGCCCGGCATGCCTAAATGGTACAAGGATCTCTTCCCAAAAAGCAATGGCCCGATGAATTTGACTGTGCGCACGCGAATTGCGCCAATTCTTTTGAAGCTAGCTTGGGATGGATATCCCCTCGTGTGGTCTGATAAGTATGGGTGGACGTTCCAGGTCCCGAAAGCCGACGTGCACAAATATCAGCATCAAGCCGTCGTACAATGCGACATGTCTGAAGAAAAGAACGAGGTTCTTAAAATTGACACGGCCAATGTATATTACAAGCTGCCTCACAAGGATGGGCCCGAAGCACGCTGTGTAAGCCCGATGGCAAAGGGCTATTTGCAATACTTTGAGGGCGGGAAACTTTCGTCGCAATTTGCATTAGCGAAGGAGGCGCTGGAGATGAATGCTTCGTGCTCATATTGGATAAGTGCCAGAGATCGAATCATGACGCAGCTCGTCGTCTATGAGAAAGATTTACCTGGCTCATCGCGTGATGGAAAATCTCAAAACCCTGCGTCAAATTTGGGTTTCATATTGCCTCAGATCATCCCGATGGGAACGATCACTCGAAGGGCCGTCGAGAATACCTGGCTTACGGCGAGCAATGCAAAGGCTAACCGTGTTGGCTCGGAACTCAAGGCTATGGTCAAGGCTCCGCCTGGCTACGTTTTTGTAGGCGCTGACGTTGATTCCGAAGAGCTTTGGATTGCTAGTCTTGTGGGCGACTCCCAGTTTCAAATCCACGGGGGTAATGCGATTGGCTTCATGACTCTGGAGGGCACCAAAGCCGCTGGAACCGATCTTCACTCGAAAACCGCTAAAATCCTGGGAATCTCTCGAAATAACGCTAAAGTATTCAACTATGGTCGGATCTACGGAGCTGGACTCAAGTTTGCTGCTACTCTCCTGCGGCAATTCAACCCTTCGATTTCAGACGATCAGACAAAAGTGATCGCAGCCAATCTTTACAAGGAAACAAAAGGTACACGAACAATTCGTAAGACGATTAGCGACTCGCCATTCTGGAGAGGTGGGACTGAATCCTTTGTTTTCAACAAGCTTGAAGAGTTCGCAGAGCAGGAAAGACCTCGAACTCCTGTGTTAGGTGCCGGAATCACGGAAGCTCTAATGCGGCGCTTTATTAACAAGGGAAGTTTCATGACCTCACGTATTAACTGGGCGATCCAGTCATCGGGCGTCGATTACCTCCACTTGCTTATTATATCTATGGATTTCCTTGTTCGCCGTTTTAATTTAAATGCCCGTCTCGCCATTAGCGTTCACGATGAAATCAGGTACCTTGTTAAGGAGGAAGATAAATACAGGGCTGCCATGGCTTTACAAGTTGCAAACATTTGGACTCGAGCCATGTTCTCTCAGCAAATGGGCATTGATGACTTGCCTCAATCATGCGCATACTTCTCGGCTGTCGACATCGACCATGTGTTGAGAAAGGAAGTTGATATGGATTGCGTGACCCCTTCGCATCCGCAGAAAATTCCCCCGGGTGAATGTATTGACATTGCTCAGTTGCTCGAGAAAGGCGATCAAGCTTTCCTGGACCCTTCTATTGAGCCGTGTCTTCCCCCGGCTCCTGAGAAGTACACATATACTCCGCGAAAGACAGTGATGTCCTCACTAGACTGCGCTCAAGATATCTCTTTCATCAAGGCGCAAATCGTCAGCGACGACAAGGAATTACGCGCCATTATCAGAGACATAATGAAAAGCCAACCTTCCTCCGATAAATCCAATGCAACTTCTGGGTCGTCCGCCAGCAGACGACGAAGTGTGTCGAAAGTCCCTTCACATGCTGAGCCCCAGCGTGCGGTTCTTATGGAGGTGGAGCCAAACCTTCTCGACGGATTCAAAGGATTCAACAGCGTTGAGAAAACGCCGCAGTTTCCAATTCACCGCTATGGATGGAAACCCAAAACATCGCCTCGTCTCTAGGAGACCCTATCTATTCGACTCCCTTCATCCCTTTCTCTGAAATTTGTACTGTACATGTAACTTCCTGAGCACTACGTTCCTATGTTCTACTACCCCTTTCTCTACAGTGGCAGTATGCCCTTCTGATATATGGAGTAACGTCCTCCCAGGAAAAAAAAAAAAAAAAAAAAAAAAAGGCCGATAATGATGTCCTTGGCGCATTGGCTCACGGGGAGTTGGTGTACAATTGGTGCATAAGACGGCGCTGGCGTAGCTTCGGCACCGCCATGGACGGAGGACAGGCGGACTTGAATAGTATTGGATAGCATCTAATAATGTCTGATGCGGTGAGGATATGCTGTTTGGATGACCAAAGTCAATGTATTATTAGATGATCTCATTTGTCTAAAGTTCAAATATTTATTAATTATGTGCGAATATGGTCTTTGCAATTACTCCGTAACTTTGAGGAGGATGGCTAATTAATCGACGTCTCGCTGGCGATTGGGATTGATCCCTTTAGTGCGGTCGATATCTGCCATCCGCAGTGCCTCTGGCACTGGCAAATGATTAAAACGAATTGATTCGCAGTGAGGTGATCTGGCAAGCGTAACTTGGTCGGCTTGTAGTTTGTCAATCACTCACATACCTCAGTGTGTGAGTTTAGCCATGAGGGTGGTTGCCCTTGGTCGGGGGCTGTGCTGTGGAGCGCATTTGGGAGCTTGGATACGGGAAGAGTCTATCGAGAGGAATTTTCCCGTGCGGCTTGAGGAAACTCTCCCTCAAGGATTACCACGTAGACCCGAGCTATCTCTTCTCGACAAGTATGAACTCCAAGCTCTGTGCTCTTACAGATTCCAGCGTTCACTCCTCGACGTCACGTTGCGGCGTGCTTCAGCAGCTCTTGGCCCCACAAGCAGGGGACAATCAATCCGTGGCGGCCCTGAGGGTTCACCATGAGCATCACAGGATACAACCACGCCCAGTACCCAGAGAATAGCTCAGATTCACTCTGCGATTTAGAAGCGCGGGTGGCCTCGACATCTCAAAAGCGTGACCGCACGTTGTCGTCTCCCCCTTGTGCTCAGAATCCTTGTGGTTTTACCTACGCCGACTCTAGTTCGGTAAAGAGACGCACAAGACGCTCGAACACCGCGCAGTCGTACTATGCAGACGTCGCTGCTGGCCAGCCGGGCTGGCGCCCTGGAGAAGAACCGGGTCTTGATCCCTCTGAGCCCATCCCTCCGCCTTATCGCGCTCCTGGCGAGTCACTGTTACCCCAATCGATAAACAAGCGATGCGATATTACAGTGGTCGATTTTTCGCACGATAATATACGGGTGTATCAATTGGACAATGATACTCTGCCGGGTTTTCTTGAGAAAGGGAAAGAGCCGTGGGTTGTTTGCCGGTGGATCAATGTCAACGGATTGAGCTGGGATGTTGTCAGGTTACTGGCTACGGAAAAGCGGATTCATAAGCTTGCGGTTGAGGACTTAATGCATTCGATAGATCGGACAAAAACCGACTGGTACTCGGATCACACGTTTGTCTTGCTTGAAATGCAGAAGTTGATCAAATTGAGATCTTATGACTCGGGTGGAGGATCGGAAGCTGAAAGTGATACGGAGGATGGAAGGCTGAGCGAAACAACATCAAGGACTTCTTCGCGCAGCAACAGAATCAACAAACGTGGCACAGTCGGTGGTGTTATAAAGGATGCGCTCCTTGACTTGCTAAGACCTACGTTTGAAAAGCGACGCCTTAAGCGGAACGCAAGTCAAACGGGCCTGCAACCAAATGCTATTCGCACGCTCCAGCGGTTCCGAGGTGGTCCTAACGAAGACAGGGTGGAATTTATGGAACGTCATGCCGTACTTGGTCCAAGAGGGCTGGGGGTTGCCATTGAGCAGGTGTCGATTTTCCTTCACGCAGATAACACCATAACGTCGTTTTTCGAGGAGAGTGGAGACGACATTGAAGGTCCCATTGTCCAGCGTCTCTGTTCTCCGGGAACAATTCTCCGTGAATCCTGCGATGCGAGCATGATCCTACAGGCAATTCTCGATGCTATTGCGGATCTCGCCATTCCAGTTACAAGGGCTTACCAGGATGTCATGGGGGAACTAGAACTCGAAGTCTTGACCGATCCGGATATACACCAATCCACAACTCTCTACCTCCTAACTTCAGAGATTTCTGTGCTGCGAAATGCCATCCAGCCGATGATCGGTGTGATCAATTCGTTGCGTGACCGGGGTTCTGGTATCGAGGTTAAGAAAGCCTCGTCAACCGCAAATTTTCTCCTGCCTACAGGACGCCCGTCAAGCAGGAATTCTATACATCCTGATGTAGAAGGGGTAAGGATGGCCTCCGCAGTGTCCATTAGCCCGATGTGTCAGACATATCTGGGGGATGTCCTCGATCATTGCATTACTACGACAGAACAATATGATCAAATGCGGCGTTTGGCGGCTAATATGATTGAACTGATTTTCAATACTATTGGTACGTGGAATTCAACCTACAACTATGGTGTATTTAGAGATGCTAACATGTGTTTGGCTGAAGGTGCTTATCAAAATGAAAGCATGAAACAGTTGACTCTAGTGACATGCATGTTTCTTCCGTTGACATTTCTTACAGTAAGCCCCGATAATATCGCTCCACTCTTATCATACATAGAAGTTTGACATGTTGCTAGGGTTATTTTGGCATGAATTTCCCTCGGTTTACAGGAGTTAACAATCATAGCGATGCGTAAGTTCGTTTACCTAGGATTCTCATCTTCAAAACGCTGACTTTGATAGATTCTTCTGGATTATTGCAGTGCCATTTGTCTTTGCCACAATGGTTTTCTTGATGTGAGTGCTAATTGCATTTTTCAAATCGTATACAGAGTATTTGGAACTTTACTGATGGGAACGTTAGGCGGGAAATGATAAAGCGCTGGCTGCTGAGGCTAGCGCAGAGACGGTTGATCTGGAGTTCACGTCGTCGCCGAAAGGATCGATAAAGAAGCAATCGCGTCCTCTAGCTTTAGTGATATAATCAGTATGAGTAGATGAGGAGATGGGATTATTGAACCTTCGAGATGCATATCGAATACTACGCGCAGAGGTAGGTAGATGCACGTATACACGACATATCGTCCAAACCCATCGCTGTTGCCTTATGTCTTCAGATTCAAATTAAAATTTCCTCCGCTGGAAAGCTAAATACGCCTTCCAAGGCAATTTCCAATCCGTCGAGAGAAGTTCCGGTTTAAATATGTCGAAGTCAACTTTCTGCAGCTTATCTAACCAGAGTTGGGTGGATACGGCGGGCATCAATACTCCGAACCCTCGTTCAACGTCTTGAAGTTGCACGGCCAAATTCGACATTTTAGAATCTGCACCGTCGGCTGCGGGCTCGTGTCCGTAGTACTCATGGCCTTCCTCTCCCTCATGCTCAAAATCATGCCCCACATCCTTGCCTGCGCGGAGGTTCTGTAGCATTTGTCGAGCAGTGATGAGATGGTCACTCGCTCGCGTCGCCACCGCAAAGACAGCATCACGGAGGCCTGGGGCATCCGCACCTTGCCTGAAGACGTCTTCTTCTTTGAGCCTCGTCTGCGCCATCACGTCGAGCGGAAGTGTGATATGGCCCTGCCGGGTACTTCCTCCGGGACCACCTAAGGGATCTTGGTTGGAGTGGTGGTTTGGCGGCGGGGGAAATGCGACCAAAGGCAGACCTCGGAGGATGGATGTTATGCCTGCTGCTTTGCCGATGTGAGACGCCAGATGGTCTACTGTCAATGATGTGAGGGGGAGAACACTGAGCGTCAGATATAAAAGGGTGGAATATGTGTTTTCGGCGTATTGGTCCAGGGCAGCAATATTGGTATATGGTGTGTTTGTTAGAGGCTGCTCTCGGGCATTTATTAGCCGTGTTAACCACCCTTTGCTTATGCGGGCTTTCCCCTTTGTTCTAGCATCCAGGCTGGAAAGTGAATGGGCAAGCAGTATGGCTATGGGCTCCTTTGGTGGAGTGCCGGCGAGTGTTTTTGTGATGGTATCCCGCCAGAATTGAAGTCGCATAAGACCGATCGTAGGGTTGGATGTGCTGTCTGGGATTAAGGACAGGGAGACATTGAGGGCGCGGAGAGCAATGTAAAAGTTCAACGTGTGACGAGGAATGAAGGTGCTAAGTGTATACGACGGCCGGTCGTATTTCCTGGCGCATTCGTTAGCACGGAGGTTTAAGCTGATGCTAGGATGAAAACGGCTGCATACTGTAGGAGTTCAATACAATATTTTTGCGCCGATTCAAATTCTGCCTTAGAATTGGTAATGTAGGAATGCAATGGCGAACCTGAAGCGAAGTGCCTCGCCCCTTGCGGTTTCTTTAGTGGACGCATTGTTGAAGATAGCTGACTGCCTCGAAGCATGCACCGCAAGCAGGCCTTGTCTGCTTGAAATGCCATCTTTTTGGATGGCTAAGGAAAACTGTGGGATTTTCGAGCTAGTAAAACCATAGCCCCAAGGTATCTAGAGCTCAACAGATCTACTCCAGTAGAAAAGGGTCCAATTTCATATTGCGACTGGAATTTGGTTGGATTTCAACACGCGCTAAACTGCTTCGGGAATGCACCTTCACCATCCAACAAACGGAACAATCGGCGGAACCGCGACAAGTGGAGCAGAGACAACTCTAACAGATCTCTACTCTCACGCTACAGGGTGATGCAAGTATAGAGATACAGCGGTCCGCTAGCTTTTATCCATAACTGGCATCATGGCGGACGAAGCCGATGGCGGCGCGCCGTCCTTTTCCGAACCTCTTGACCTGGTCCGCCTATCGCTCGATGAAATCGTCTTCGTGAAGCTGAGAGGAGATCGGGAGCTCAAAGGGCGCCTACACGTCGGTGACAACTCTTCTACTAGGATTTTTTGCTTGTGAGGATAGCATGGTGACTCTTCTATTAGGCGTACGACAGCCATTGCAACCTTGTTCTCGGAGAAGTCGAGGAGACAGTCTATGTGGTGGAGGAAGATGAAAACGAGGAAGAGATCATCAAGGTATGGACATCTCTACAGGAGGAGCCTGGTTATCAGACAATAACTTTGATGTAGACGATAAAACGACAGGAAGACATGCTATTCGTTCGAGGTAGTAGGAAATGCGCCCCGTCCATGACTCTTCTTTCTAGTCGCTGAACAGTACTCCAGGAGACTCCGTCGTCCTGATCTCGCCGCAATCCTCGCCGTGAAAAAGAGTCTGGCGATGAGTCATACCATATGAAATTTTCCAGCGAACGCCTCCCCAACGGGTGTGAATAACAGCAGCCCCGAAGTGGTCGGCGTCAAAAGAACAGAAATTTAGAATAATGGAGCACATCCTAGGTCGATATCAAGTGGGCGTCACCCGTGATATCTCAGGGGGAATCGTAGGCTGGGCCGCCGAACCAATGTAAAGTTCGAGATCTTGCCCTTGAGAATGGCTTTATCAACGCATGCTGTAGTTAATTGAACCGGCAAGACCATGCATCCTTTCCAAACTCTTGAGACTCATATAATCACTCGCATCCTTATTATTGGCTGTAGTCTGGAGTAGAGGGCGCTAGGAGCAGAGTGAGTCAGTCATATAGCTGCTACTGCCAGCGCGAAGGCCCAAACGGGACGGAGTGGGAATTTCTCATAGTTCAGGAGTTCGTTGATTGGTGTGAGCCCCGGCTCGTGCTTGAGCCGCAAACCTTCGGTTCCATCGTGGAGTTAACCAAATGAGGCCCAGCTGTCCGCAACGTCATGCCATCATTATTAAACCCCGATTCCACGCCTCTTCAAGGATGCGTTCATAGTTTTGATTAGATTTCAGCTATCTTCGTTGGATTTATAGGCTTCAGGGGAAATGATCACTCGATTACGAACGTGAACGTCTAGCGCAAACCCGCGCTCGCCCTCCAAAACCGCAGCCAAATGTATATATTATCTTTAGCATGAGTCACAAAGGTTACAAGCAAACACTCGAGGAGAGACGGAGGGGCGAATTGGTATGTTTTTTATGACGACGGTGACCAGTCTGAATCTGACCACATCCAGTCCCTTAGTGAGTTCGCCGAGTATGTTGAGAAGCAGCAGGCAATCCGATACGGCGCAGTGAACGTTGGCGGTGCCCGGGTGGCACCCAGCGACAGCGGGTACTCGACCGCCGCTCCTTCTTCTGTGGTACCTGACGAGCACCCGGAACTGGATATTCTCGACCAGCTAGACTTGTCCGACGCTGCTCCGCCAGTGAAACTAAAGGATCTACTACTTGATGACTCTTCCGATGAAGAAGCCACGCTGCTACAACTTGCTGCCATCGTCCAGGCTCGCGTAGATGAGGGCCACGGAGAAACCGTCTTTGATCTTGGACAAGAAGATAGCGGCGAGTGGATGCAATTCACCAAAAACCAATGGGAATTCGCCTTCAATCGCTTAAAAAAGGCAGCTCAGCACAATCAAGCTGATTGCTCCGTGCTGCTGTCATACAATGTTGGCGGCCCAGCGGAAGCCAGCACCAAAAATGACCGTATAAAGTGCGCCTATGGCAAAGTCTTGATACGACGGGCGGCAGGTACAGTGGAGGATGTCATTGAAACTAGGATCGCAGTTGTTGGGAACGTCGATGCAGGGAAAAGTACCCTCCTTGGTGTCCTGGTGAAGGGCAGGCTTGACGATGGGCGCGGTAGGGCAAGAGTGAACCTCTTCCGTCACAAACACGAAATCGAGAGCGGGCGCACTAGCTCTGTTGGTATGGAGATAATGGGATTCGATGCGCATGGTCGGATTGTTGGGCACGGTCAGCAACGCAAACAGTCATGGGAGGAAATCGGGAAGCAGTCTGCCAAAGTTATTTCCTTCACCGACCTTGCCGGGCACGAACGATACTTACGAACCACGGTCTTTGGAATGCTTAGCAGCAGTCCCAACTACTGCCTCCTTATGGTAGCGGCAAATAACGGATTGATCGGTATGAGCAAAGAACATCTAGGAATAGCTCTCTCTCTGAATGTTCCCGTGATGGTTGTGATAACCAAAATCGACATCTGCCCTCCTCAGATTCTTCAACAGACGATCACTCAGTTGACCCGAATTCTAAAATCCCCGGGCGCCCGCAAAATTCCCGTTTTCATCAAAACCCTGGAAGAGACTGTTAACACCGCAACTCAATTTGCTAATCAGCGCATTTGCCCTATTTTTCAAGTGTCTAACGTTACAGGAGAGTCACTTGACTTGGTTCGCACGTTCCTCAACATCCTTCCCCACCATGGCCACTACAATCCTGACGCGCCGTTCGAGTTTCTCGTGAACGATACCTTCTCCGTCCCGTTCGTTGGGACCGTAGTGTCCGGAGTTGTCAAGTCTGGAGTGGTCCATGCAGGAGACACGGTTCTCATTGGGCCTGACTCTGTTGGACAATTTAGGCAAACAGCGATTAAGTCGATTGAGCGCAAACGTCTACCCGTTCATGCTTGTGCCGCTGGTCAAAGTGGATCATTCGCACTCAAAGGAGTCCGGAGGAAAGAGGTTCGCAAAGGCATGGTTGTTTTGCCCAAGCTTGAGAAGCCCCCAAAGGTCTACCGCGAATTCGTCGCTGAAGGTAAGGATATATATATATGCCTCCTTCCCGTAATGCTCGACTATCACTGCTGGAGTTTTACTTATCAATATATATTTATAGTGTTGATTCTTTCCCATGCGACAACTATCAAGCGAAAATATCAAGCAATGCTTCATGTTGGAGCGGTGAGCCAAACATGTGCAATTATCGACCTTGACCGCGACTTCATTCGTACTGGAGATCGTGCAACTGTTGCTTTCAGATTCATCCAGCGGCCGGAGTTCCTGTCTGTGGGCGATCGGATTCTTTTCCGCGAAGGCCGCACCAAAGGCCTAGGAATAGTCAAAGGAGTAGGCTATGATCCGAAGAACCCATTGAATCCCAACTTAATGAAGCCTGTCGACGAAGATGGGACAGTGAATTAACATTATGTGTTATTTTCCTCCGCGAAGCCAGTAACATATATATGATTTTTATGCTGATATTCATTTTTCCTTACAACAGCATACAGCACACTGGCGTTTTGGGGTTTGTCTGGGTGTTATGCTTTTTGTTTAACCGGAGAGAAGGCAGGCTTGTGTGCTACTCCACAATATTCTTATACTTTTCTTGCTCACTCCATTGTTTAGCCGATGATGACCTGACACCCTGGAATGATCTAACCTAATAGTGATCATGTAAAAACCATGGCAAATGCACTGTTTTATTCCCCTACCAGCTCTTTATTTGGTGTTTTTGGCCGACATTGCGCACTTTTGGGTGAACAAGCTGCTTTGATAAGCGGCGGCCGGGGTGACGTCACTGGCTACCACGCGTCATCTACGCCTAAATATCGACGAGTTGGACGCATCAAGTACGGATTGTCATAGGGAGATTTTCCTGGCGTATAAAATGATAATGATGGTCGAAATGGAAAGACTTGGGTCTTTTATTCATTTCAGTCATATTTGATATTCCTTTTTGGTTATTTTTAACGGTTTGTTCGATACTCACACCCACATGGAGATGATAAAGAACGTGTATCATATCACGGAGAAGGCAATTTGGGGTGAACAGCGGCCCGAAGCGACCCGCGAGGAACCCATCTCTGGCGTCAAAGGCGAGGGAACACCATCTGACCCGTATGATGCTGGAAATGTTACTGGCGATGAACCAATTTCCGGAGTACAGGGGCAAGGAACTGCTTCGGACCCGTATGATGCGGGCAATTTGTCACGTATGCGTCAACCCTTTTCCCTTGAGCTCCTTTATGCGTCCAAGGCTTGCTATATTATCAAATTCTCCTTTATACCTATAGTGCTTGCTCGATTATATCACCCACAGTTATCACCTAAATCAAGGGACCTTCTTTTCAATGCCCACAAATGCAGTACATATGAATTAAAAGCTGATATGGTTTTTTTCTTCTTTAAACAGCTTCCGAACCAGTAGGACATTCCGAATGTCACGTCTTTGGCCCTGCAAGAGGGTCGTTTGACCAGGGCATCAGTCACCATTCCGGTGCAGGAACCTCCAGCCTCCCTGACTCCTCACCTGGCGTTCCACAGCCGTCAGGGATTTTGTCATCTGGCGCTGCAGACACCGGATCTTCGATGGCGCACACTAGACAAGCCTATATTCCTCTGACAGAGGATACTAAGGTCAAGTCCATCGGTTCGGTCCCCCGGGGAAATGGCCCATCCACTCTTGGTGGCAGAGAACCGTTTAAAACCGCACCCTCTAATGCCCCAGGTACTGGTCCCACAGAGCCAGCAGGATCAAAACACCCAACGTCCCCTCCCACGGCCCAAGCATCCACTTCGCCATCAATTAAGCAGCAAGACCTTGGCGGTCAACGGAGGACCTCTGCGCTTGAACTTACTGAAGCGTACCACAATCGAGCTGGACTGGAAGGCTCCCCTAGCCAATCCTCCCCTACAGCATCGACAAAAAAGTCATTAGCCGATTCAAGCAACGAACAAACCAACCCTGCGAAGGCAAAAGGTGAAAGACCAGAACAGAAACCAGTGGAAGAGAAGGTTGTTCGGAGCACTGGTTTTGCCGCTGAGGGCGGGAACTTTGACGCTTCAGAACCTGGAGCTGGAAAGGAGGCTGATCGTACGTATTTCGCACAACCATAGTTGATGGCCGGATGTTAATAATTGAAAATCCAATTTGATAGGGCTCCTTGAAGAGCAACAGAAGAGACATCCAGATGCAGCTCCTGTCAAAGGCGCTATGCTCGAGAAGGAGAAATCTACTGAGCACCATGGCGGACTCTGGACAGGAACCCATAAAGCTGGAATCTCATTCTCCAAAGCAAAGGATAAATTGCACATTGGAAAGCATCATGACAGTTAATACAAATGCTCGTTTCTGTGCACAATTGTTTTATTAATGGGTTATATATCCTTTGAGGTTTCACAGAATGCTTATTATGTGTTTCAGTGGATATTTAGGTCCGGCTTTTGGATATTGACTTTATATGCGACAAGAACCAAATGTATCCTTTCACTGCAACTAATATGGTCATTTTGATGGTAGTTACTATTTCGTGGATCTTGTCCGGGTCTTCCCTGAAGTTATTGTATTAGTCTTCGGAACTTGATATAAAATTCGAATACGTTTGCCATGTTATGCTTCAAGATAACAAACCTTGGCTTGGAAAGCAACTGGTCTGTTCAATGTCTCGAATTTAACTCAGAATCGAAATGTCTACACAAATTATCAAACCGCAAATGCGAGACCACTGTTTATCATAATCCAAAATTGCACTTAAGCAGCCCGTAATGCACCTGAATACCTGAATACATCCTTTCGTATTCGCCCCTACGATCTTAAAGCAATACCAGAAACACCCACTACCAGTATCTGCTTTTCATTCAAAGAGTAACTTCAGCTCCTCAATCCTCTCCTTTCTTCTATCCTCCTCACTGGCATCTCCGACCCTCAATCCCAGCGACCCCGCAATCATCATCTTTCTCTCCTGGACCCTTAACATCCTCTCCTCAATACTATTCTTCACAACGAATCTCGTCACCTTAACATCTTTCAACTGGCCCATCCTGTGTACGCGGTCAATTGCCTGGGCTTCAACGGCAAAACTCCACCATGGATCCATCATGTACACATGATTCGCGGCAGTGAGGTTGAGGCCTACGCCACCGGCGCGAAGGCTGATCAGGAGAACATTCGGAGAGGGTTGTTCAATATTACCCTTTGAGTTAGATTTATAGCTTCGCGTGGACAGGAACATCGGATTGTCGTCTTCATCTTCTTCAGGTTCGGAAAAGGCTTCGGGCATCTGATTAAACTGAGCAAGGATAGCTTTCCTAGCTTTTTGTTGCATAGATCCATCAAAACGGAGATGTTCAATGCCTTCGCGAGTCAGCTGCGCCCCAATCAAATCCAAAAAAGATGTAAACTGGGAGAAAACGACGGCCTTAGTATTTTTAGGCAAACTAGAAAGATGTAGGATGAGTGCATGGATTTTCGCTGAGGTACGCGCAGATGGTGACAAAGGATGTATGCGCCGAAGAGAAATGCGTGGCCCCGAAGACAAAGATTGGGGGGAACTATCGTATAGGTCATCCTTTGGCGATGATTGCCCGGACGATTTGTGGCGGATAACCTCGAATATGTCACGGATACTCAACGTCTCGCGACACGAGAAGCACCGAGGAGTTTCTCCTTTATCCGCTTGATGTTGTATATAAGTCTCCAAGCACTTCTTACAGGCAGAATGCCAGCAACTAGTAACAGCCGGGTCAATCATTGGCTCTTCGGAGCAAATAGGGCATTCGCCACTTGATTCTGTTTGGATTTGCTTTAAAGAGTGCGTGGTGAACTTTGCCATTGGATCTTGAGATTCTTCACTATTGGTAGAGCTGGTAGAAGCAGTAAACTGGTTAATTAATTCCTGGAGATCCATATCATCCTTAAGCACATTGACATCCTCGGCGGCGATGGCAGCATCTTCCTCTTCAGCAACAATACTTTGATTCCTTGTGAGAATTGGATGACAGCAAGTTTGGCGTAAACGAAGAAGTTGTGCGAATATTGTGGTATAAGACTTTAGTAGCGTACCAGCCGCAACGTTATCATTAAAGGTACGCTTTGCGCGGGTGAAAATAACATCGTAAATATCCCGCTCTTGGTCTGAAAGCTCAATGTGTTCAATAGCAATTGTTCGCGACGGCAATGGCACTAAAGGTTCGCCTTCGGGAGTCTTCATGGTTTTTGTCCGTCGAAGAACCAAGGGCTCCAGGACGGTTTGCACAACATTAAGTGCACGAATAAAATCCTTGGACTCGAATGGGATAGTGATAAACGTTCTCCAGAAGGAGAAATTGCACCATGGCTCAACTTTGAGGTAACGAACAAGGCTAAAGAGGTCCTCGAGCCGGTTGACAATGGGGGTGCCGGTCAATGCCCACCTATGGATGGCCTTGAGTTCACAGCACGCCCGCGAAGTCTTTGACGCACGATTCTTAATGTAATGCGCCTCGTCAAGCACAAGCCGGAAAAATTCGACTGAGAATAATCCAGTTCGACCAATGGCACTGCGATCGCGGCTTGAAGCGATTTGAAAATATTCTGAGCGAACAACACCATAACTGGTGATAATGAGATTAATCGGGCCCCCCGGATTTGTAGAAGAGCATAAAGACCTGAGGTCGACAGACTTTTCAGTTCCGTGGTAAACAAGAACCTTCATTGAACCAGGCTTTGACGCTTTCATAGATTCACTCTCCCATTGGGAAAGTAAAGAGGTTGGAGCGACAACAAGAGTTGCACAAGGAGTTCCTTTTGTTGCAGGAGGATTTGTTAAGGCCGGCAGAGCGTTTGCAGAGGTTGGATCGAAAGTGCTTGGGGGAGGAACAGAAGCTGGCTTGTGGGAATGGATTAAGCTCATGATCTCGATTGTTTTTCCAAGACCCATCTCGTCTGCAAGTATGCCACCAAGACAATGTTGCTCTTGGAGAGGGAACTCCAAGCTAAGTTCTCCTGAATAGGGATTTACGTAAAATTTGTCTCTATTAAGAACCCGTGGAAGTGGTTTCTCGTCAACATCCTTGACAGGCCAAGTATATTCTTCCCAAAGTGGATTCATGGATGTCTCTCTGTTGGATTTCATATCTTTCTCCTTTCCTAGCATCCAGTATAAGGCCTGCTTTTGATATTTTCGGAGTTCCATCGCAAAATGCTCTCCTGGGGTCGCCTCCGGCATCGTAAAATCAAACCGTTGGGCTTTTTGATACAGGCTATCCAGTTGATCCTGGTCCAGTCGTTCTTCTTCTTCTGTGTCAGAGGACTCCTCTTTGGACTGCGTTGAAGACGGCAAGCCTTTTATCCCACGTTGTTCGGCCACTTCAGCAGCCCGAAGTAACCCTTCTTTTTTATGCCGAGCAGATATCTCGTTACTCGATGTGGGCTTCAAATTAATTTCATCGAAAAGTGTAACAAGTGCAACTTGTCGCAGGCGGAGGGACTTCTCTTCCGCAGTTTCTTGCTGTTCAAACAACCGAGGGACATGGTCGTCATCTTCTGAGGAAAAGGCTGCTTTTCGAAAGGAATTTCTCAACAAAAAGCACTTTATTTGGATGTATACAGTGTCGTTGACCCGAATTAGGTCTGGTGCATAAACGCAAACACCAGTGAATTTGCAAATCTTTTGGTCAAGGAGGGTTGAAACCCATTCTGCAGTTTCTCGAGGCAGCCGACCGATCTCATCGCCGCGAGCATTTGTAAACCTTGTTATAACATCGCTTCTTTGAGTTCCGGACCGGGAGGCTCCCCGGCCGCCTCTCCCAATTTTAAATGTTGGTTGCGGCTTGGTCCGTTCGATGCGAACCTCATCCCCATGGCTGATTAACTTTAAACCAGAGCGAGTAGCCCAACCACCGACTCCAAAGGCGCCAATATATCTAGTCTCAGGGTCTTCGGCGAGGTGATTATCCCCACTGGGCGGTTCGGCGGGCGGTTCGGCAAGAGGGGAATCGACACCAGGTTTCAATGGTAGAGGGGTTTGGAGGGTTGGTTGAACTGTGGAGTGCAAAATATTCGAATCAACAGGATCCGTACGATGTATTTTCTTCTTCCATGATCCGTCGAAGTATATATTTATAGCTCTCTCCATGTTGCCTCTAGCCATATCCCGAACCATTCGGATTGTATCTTCGGACAGATCATTTCCAACCACGCTTGTAAAAAATCCGACATCAAATTCATTTTTGCATTCTGTAGCCACTTCTGTATGAGGTTCAAAAGTATTCGAAGGATTAGCTGCTTGGGCGTTTGAAGACGTTACGGTCGGCGATCCGCCCTCAATCGATGGCGCACGCGACGACGCGTCGGGAGTCTGTAAAGGAGGAGGGCGGCCTTCTGGTGTTTCGGGTTCATCATCAAAAAAAAAACGTCTTTTTTTCGCCGGGCGCTGGTCTATGTCGGAGGAGTTCATGCTAAAGGAGAGCCGGCTGGAATTGCGCTGTCGTGGTTGCGTCTATTCGACGAAATGCCCAGGAAAGACGCGATCTCAACGCGACACCGGAATAACTTATATTCCGAAAGCCACTTCTCGGAACAACTGTATCCCCGCACGCCGTGCTCCCAAAGTTGATCCAGCACCTCACACACGACAAAAATAGGTCGCGGACAGCAAGGTACTACGCTGATTCTTCCTCAGTCTTTATCTCTTGATTATCGGTATTGCTCGGGTACTCATCGCACTTTTGGCCCCCTTTGGAGGGTCTCCGGCGATTCTTGAATGAGGGGAATTGGCATTTTGGGAGAGACAGTCGGGTCTCAAATCTGTCCATCTTGCCTATGGAGGATTGCTAGCCAAAATGCCTCCGGTGGCCCCCCGCGAGGGCCATTGGAATTCTTTCGATCTCTTTCCACGCTTCCTCGCAGACCCTTGGTACCCTCGTCCCGGCGAAAACGCAGCGCTAGCCTAAAATGGAGGATCGGAATTCCCGCAGCGGTACATGGAAATACGACAGCAGCACTACCTAGCGAGAGCACCCTGGACTTCGATCCTTTTACACTCGGGAAGGACGTCGAGAGTTGTAATGGCGATCAGTTGCTCAACCATAACCCTGTACAACAAACTGTTGTACCGCCACTCGACATCGACGCAATTCTCGAAGAAGCACAACCGGGGAGGATACTGGCTGGGCTCACAAGCTCACCCGAATTTCAGCAAGCAGTATCCCAGCTGCCAGCAGCCACCTTTTCCGAAGTCATACGGCTACTTTCTCCCGAATATTTTATTGAACCCAGCAAGGAATTACTGTCTCATCTACACCCCACCACCGCCTATGTCAATCGAATCTTACCACTATCCATGCTCATGGCACGGTTTGCAGAACAGCTGGAAACCATTGTTGAACAGCGGCGCTATGCAGGCCATCGCCTGGGTTTAGCGGAATACACCCACCTTCTGTCCTGCGCTGCATCAATGGGTTATGGTCGAATGGCGCACCGTTTTTGGGAGGAAATGGCTGAGGATGGAATTGAGCCGACTGTCGAATGTTACAACTACTTGATGGAAGCTAAAGCATGGGACGGTGGATATGTGGCTAAAGAAAATCACAGGGTTCGGTCTACCGTTTGGAATTACGAAAAGCGAAAACGATGGCCGAGCAATCCTGGTTATAAAGGGTTCAAAACCGGCAAAGGTGGCGTGAGGGACCAGGTGCATGGCCTCTTCAGTATGATGGTGGAGTCCGGATTGAATCCAAACGAGGCCACTTTCATACATGTTATGACGGCAGCTGGTCGTGAATGGGATATGGAATCCGTCAAAACCACGCTACGGACGGTATGGGGTATCGATGTTGATTTACTTGAAAAGGATCCCGCGAGCCACCCACCAGTAACCGTATACGCCGTATCCTCTCCGCTACATCCTACATCCCATTCTCTATTCGCCGTTGCTCATATCTTTGGCTCTAATAATGAGTTCGCAACGGCTTTGAAGCTTGTTGATTTTATCTCCCAAAGCTATCACATTCCCATACCGCAACGTGTTTGGCAAGAGTTGCTTGAGTGGTCGTTTGTTCTCTCGGTCGATAGATTCGGGGAAAATCTTCGCGAAAAGTCGGTTGGCATGATCCCACGAGATTCTGCCCACAAACTCTTTGATGTTTTCACTTCCTCCCCTTACAACACGCCCGCTAATTTCAAGATGTACGATTTGGTCGTTAAGCTTGGCTGGATGAGACAGTCGAAGGACCGCACTTTCCGATATATGCATGCTGCTCGCGAACACTTCCTCCAGACGCTCAAAACACGAAATCAGCTTTTCCATAAACTTTCGAGCATGCACAAAGAGATTATGTCCACAAAAGGACCATACAGAACCGACAACTCATCAGTAACAGGTGAATATGGCTCAGTGTTGTCCGAACCAGCCTATGACTACCGCCTTACCCACCTTTATCCTTCAGTCACCTCTCCAGGGGCTTACTGGGACCTGTATAACACCGTAAAACACCTCAATGTTACTGTTGCCCGCGAAAGCTTACGCTTCCAACGGTGGATCCGATTAGTGCTCACGCGACGAAAGTGGACTGGCTCAAAAGCTCGGTGGGAAAGACAGGGGATCCCAGATTTTATAGCCGAATGGAAGGAATTCCTCCCTCGCCGTGTCTTTTACCATACAAGGGCCGGCATAGTCGAATTTGACCCCGTGAGCTTTTGGCCTGAAGGCCATCGGTGGGACCTTGCAAGCTTCATGCTGCCCCTTTGGGATGCAGAAAATCGGCTGATCCAGGGGTATGGTGAGAGTCACCAATCCCAAACGACAGACGATCAAGAGAATCTCAATGACCCAGCCACTTGTGCAACGCGACTTGATTGATTTTCTCTCCCAAGTTATCCGGCCCCCGAATCAGTGCCGCCCTGCTTCGTCCTGCGGTTTTCAATCAATGTCTTAATATTTAGCGGCGTTTGTTCATGTATTCTGCACTGTAGGTGTACATTGTAACCAGCAAAGAGTTTTCTTTCCCTCACTGTATATATACCCGCTTCGGTTGGGCTTCATCCAGCATTTGGTCTCTTGATGAAATTGGTTTAGTAGGTGCAGCCACCTGCTTCCTTTTCTACACTATGATACCATAAATGACAATGCAAAAGTGGTAGCGGACCCATTCGTGAAATAACAATAAGGCTGGAGAAAGATCCGTATATTGGACAAAGTATGGGTCATACGGCCAAAATTGGGACGAGAAATGGTCACCCATGGCCGTTTTAATGCCATAAGTTCGGAGAGAATAACAGCTATATACACATACATGGTGGTACTAAAAAGCTCGCTCGCCGGAAAGTACGTAAATTATTAACATAAAAACACGGCGAGAATTCGAAGTACACTATGTTGCTCTCTCTAGTGCGGCAATGGCAGAGACATCCGCCGGAACAAGCGCATACTTCTTTTCTCTGACTGTGGACATGCTTTCTTCTGCATTAGATATTAATATGTTCTTAGAAACAGGGTGAGGACTAAAAAAGCAGAACAAGGATTGGTTATATTTTCTCTCTCTTCAAATCATTAACGACCATATATCGGCCAATCGTGATCCATCCCCATCGAAACCAGACCATTTGGCTCTTATGCGCCTGTACCATCGCCTTCCATCCTGAAAACCACTGGTCGACATTACTCACAAAGAGTAATGTATTTGGTGATGGATCATTTCCCTTGATTTCCGTGTCACTCTCGCCAATGCCCGCTATTATATTTCTAATTGCGCCTAGTAACATACTGATAGGTGCGTCGAAGACCCCAAGATATTTTCGGACGACATTAGTGGTAGTGAGGGTGTACAGATCAACGGGACAAGGATGGCTCTCGTTGCGTTTCATAAGTATCTGTAGGAATGCCCTGGCGCCGTGGTACAGGGAGCGATGGTTTGGATGGTGGCTCACGCCGGACTTATCGAATGTAAGGAGGACGTCGATGCTCGCGGAGGGTGGGGAGGTGTGGCCGTTGGTAGAGCCGTTGGTCCGAATGGACGCTCTGCGGCGTTGTGTCGAAGCGGGTTTTGAAGACGTGGAATCGTCATGGGTTCCGTTGGCAACAGCACCGGGTGCAAAGGCGGTGGCTAAAAGTGATCCGACAGTGGTTGCAGACCATTCGGTGGTCATGCTATCTGGGAATTGGGATGGATCGTCAAGGACGAATACGTCAGATGGTCCCCGCAAACCGAGGTGCACCGCGCTTTTTTGGAGCTCCTTTTTGCGAATATGACCAAGTCCCTCCGCATCACCTGAATTTGGAGATTTTTAGCGAAACTTTCACGCAAGCACACATGAGCAGAAACAATTAAACCCAGATTCGACCCAGCTCTCCAAGAACGAAGGCAGAACAATAACCATCCGTATACACGTACCGGAGCTCAAACAGAGTATTTTAACATGGTTTCCTAACTCAGGCCTTGTGAGAGCCAAAAGTGTCGGCGCAAAGAACATTGCCTCATCGTCAGGATGGGCGATTAGGAGGCATATCCGCTTATCCTGCAACGAGGGGAAACTATTCGCCAAAGGCGACGAAGGTCCGGTGGCCGATATGGTCCAAAACGCGAAGAATAGAACTGGTAGAAGGGCGAGAGATATAAAGGTGGCTATCGAAATCATGTCTCTTCGTGAAGCGTGCGAAGGCCGAGAGGTATCTGGAATACCACTTCAATGCAATTGATTCAACTGAAGTGGCTGAAACGCAAAAATAAAAGCTCCTATGACGGAAACTGTCGAGTTTCAAGCCCGTCCGGCGGTGACGCGGAAAGCTTAAATGTGTCAATGGTTCGCGATCAGGTCACCAGACGACGTGCGCAGTCGACTGCGGCCAACAAACAGTTCAATCGCTATGATGAATTCGATGCAACACAATAGACGGAAGCTTAGACTATTATTCGGCCACGCATGACAGCATGCGACTCGGGCATTCTTCGAGACAAACTTGAAACGTGGCGTATCTAGAGAAACGGATTCAGGAGAGCGGGCAGAACGTCGAATAAAGCGCGCGGAGAGTCACTCCGGCATAGTATCACAAGCCGGGCAGAGAATTCAAAAATACGACCTTTTTAGAAAGCTTAACAATCCTCTATCCTAGCATCCCCTGAAGTCCTGAGAGCATAACCGGATTTCGGCCTCCTTATACGTATTCGCGACCATGCACAACGAGGCTCTCGCTGTCTAACTCTCGCTTACTAAGCTTACATCTGGCAATTAGTTATTCCTCTCCGAAAGACGCGTTGCAGGATGACATAACCACTTCGCTCTTGGCGTCATGCTGTGACTGTCGCCGATCGACAGATATCCCACACAATACGGAGGACAACGAAGAGGAGAGATATCCCATTTCTCCGTACCTCTTCTAGCGAGTTGTCAAGTGAATTTCTAAGCGCTTCCAAATTCTTACGCAATCGGAACGAGGTGAGGTTCTCCCGGTCAGTTTGCAGCATGATCCTTGGGACCCACTTCAAGAACGTGGCAGATTTATTGAGCGTATTTTTCCCTCGTCACCACGACAAATTCGTGAAATCAGGAGTCTAACTTAAGTTATTGACTCCGGACGTTTGAAATGAGTCTCCCGCAGTCCTGCTGTACTGGCCAATGGTCTTGTTTCACACAGTTTGAGCCTGCTCTTCAGTTGTCTCGGATGCAGCTGCTTCCCCGATCCAGCACCAAAGGCCGAGTGGTGTAGTTGGTTATCACGTTTCGTTAACACCGAAAAGGTCCTGAGTTCGAGTCTCAGCTTGGTCATTCAAAACTTCTTTTTTCGTGTCTTTTCGCCTTTTTCTTTCTCCCATGTTGTGCGGTGGGCCTTTCGGGTAGAAGTGGCCCGAGATTTTTTGCGTGGCCTTCAGGTGTGCGTCCTTGGCGCCCTAGAATTAAGCTTAAACGGTTTAAGCTCGCTGGAGCAACATTCGGGCCGACGCGGGATCCCTGCATCAGAAACGCGGGAAACAACCACCACGTAGAAACAAGATGTGTGGCGACGGGGTATGGAGGAGGTATTTATTTTAGGCTCTCACGTACTCCGTACTGAGCGTACTTTATGGATCCTGGATAGCTATTACAAGTGCATCCATCAAAGCACGACATACTGATTGTCAAAGAGGTTACAGTCTGTTGGTTCGCAGTCCTGTATCCTGTTTCCTTCTCCCGAACTTTCTGCTATCCTTTCTCAGCAGTCGTCACATTCCTGGGCCTTCTTATGCAGATAGCTGATGTACAGGACAATGGAGTACCGGAGTACTTCCGTTCCTCGCTGCCAGTTGGTTGATTATATAATCATTTCCATGCTGTCACGTGCCAGCATCTTGGAACCTCAAAGCGTTGATGGCAATATTTGGTTTTCATTGTATGCAAGACTGCATTGTTATCACCCTCGAAGTAACCATGCCGCCCCGAAACCGTAAAGAACGTCGGGCTGTTGCTGCGTCTTCCGCTGCCACTGGCAATTTCGATCCGGCGTCAATTCCTATGGCTCGACCGTCCACCAGCCGGCCCCTATCCCAGAAGACTCTCCTTGAAATTGCTACAGAACGAGAAGCAACCGGCAAAGGCGGGACCGAATTTATTCATGTCTCTTCCTCTGGCGAGATAATAGGAACAGAAAATTTGATCGACTCCTCCCGCTCCTTTGGCCGCCCCGCGCAACGTTATGAGTCAGACGAGATCTCTGAAGCTAGCGAAGACGATGCCGCTATCCCTCCCTTCGCCGACACCATCTTCCTTTCATTACCACTCTCGACTGTTTACTTCACGCTCTCGTTTCTAGCGGCTCACCAGTACGCGCAAGAAATTCCATATAAGAAGCTCATCCGAGATTCCATATTCGTCGCTTTCCCTATCTTGACGTTTTTGATCCACTTCGCCCATGGTCACATAATTTCATTCAAGCAAGTCAACATCTTTGGAAATAAAACGGAGTTAGACGGGACAACCGCGGATAGCTCGGCAGCTACTCGACCCATATCCCTAAAATCTTTATTCCCTCTGACTACCCGAAATATAATTTTCTGCATTTTGGCCATTATTTCGGGGATGCGCCTTATCGCCATGGCAAATGAAGGTTCATATTACGCAGTAATGAAAAATACTCCGCCAATTGGAACAATATGGGTCTGGTGTGTTTTTGAACTTTCTCTAGGTTTCGCTGTATTAGGTCTCTTGATTCCGGTCGTGTGGGCTGTTGGGTTGAAAGGTTACAGCATGATATGACAGGTCAAGGAGGTATGCCTGTTGACCTAGCTCGAAAGTGCTCTCACCTTTGCACTTTACGTTGTAAACCATGCTTATGGCCGTCACTAACCAAGCCGGCATCCTTATCGCCGAGAGAGTGTGCTTGGCAGAAGTCCACATATATTGTATCCGCCCCTGAAAAAAGGCCCTGTCGGCTAGGCTGCTGATCAACCTTAATGCCGTCGATGAAAAAAGGGACAAATAAAAGAATATGGAACGAACTCGGGAAGCGTTTATCTGACGGAAACCAGAAGCAGAATGAACGATATACCCCACGGAAAATCGATGTTCTCCTGAGTCAAAACCTGTTATCACCGTATCAGCCTCCAAGCGATGTTTGGCCCATTCGTGATCCAAGCCATAGCGGTATGACAATGTTCATATGTTGACGAATACTGAAATAGAAAGGTTAGAAATTCATGAAAATCTGGAGTTTCCAAACCTCTCCTCACGTAGTTGCAATTAAATATTTGCATGTTATAACCTGCCTCGACGACGACGGCTCAATGGATACTTTGGAAAGCAAGGCCAGATCTCCTGTGTTAGCAGCCACAGCTTTGGCCGCATTATCTAGCGGATAGGAGGAAATACAATTTTTCGTTTGTGGTTGAATAAACAAATCAAACATACCGAATTTCCATTGACCGTTACCCACTGTGCCCGAACGATTCTCAATTGGCATCTTCAAATTCACTACGAGAGTGCGGCGTATTGATACTTTTCCGTTCTCTCTACGCACGGCATTTCCAGATTTAACCATCGCCCAATGGGACCCGGAAAGTGTACCTGCCGAAGTACCGCTACGTCGAACCGGAATCATTCCTATTCGTGGGATTTTGCGGATTCGGTTGACACAGGGCGTGGGGAACTAGCCGAATGTGCTCGACGCCCGGGAGCTTGCAAAGTCCGACCAGAAGATGATGATTCATTTCTCAAGATTCCCGAAAACCTACGCGCAAAATTCCTTATTTAGTTCAATCCAAGGACGAAGCATCAACATCGCTGTCGACTGAGACTTTACATCCTTTTCCCCGACAATGGCAGACCCCGAAGGAATCGAGCTACGAACTTAAGCTTCTCGACCCACAAGGTTCGAAAGGAGCTCAAGTGCAGAAAGTTCCAGATACGATGCGTCAGACGATGAGGAGTACATCACAGCCGAGCTTACCCTACCACCAGTTGATCGAGGCATCCATGCCTGGGCATTCTTGATTGGGTGCTTCATCGTCGAAGCTATAATCTGGGTTAGGCTCGAGTTGTCCGCTTTATATCTCTACCAAAAAGGTGCGAAACAGACATACTAATGGCTAGGAACAGGCTTGCATTTTTCATACCGTCTCTTTCAGGACTTTTATACCACACACGGACCTTTCAAATCTGATCCTTCGGGCATCGCAGCCATCGGGACGACAGCACTTGTGAGTGTAAACGGTCCCCGAATCTCATTGATCAAAGTCCTTCAATGGCCCTTCAAGCTAACTTTCCATCTTCCTGGGAATGATGTACCTTGGGAGTCCTATTTGCTTCATGGCTATGCAGAAATGGCCATTCTGGAGAACTTGGAGTATTCGTATTGGTTTTATTATTATAATCGCCGCATTAGTTACATCTTCCTTCGCAACTGATGTCTGGCATCTTGTTTTTACGCAGGGCGCATTATATGCAGTTGGAGGAACTCTTGCATATGGCCCTGCAATTGTCTTTTTGATGAATGGTTTGTCCGCCGGAAAGGGCTGCCTATGGGGTAATGTGGGTAGGTAACTCGACAGATTTGCTTCTCTCTTATACAGTTCTAACGTTAATTAATTGCAGGCTGTGACAGGATTTGCAGGTGTAACAGTTCCTTTCCTCATGTCTTAGATGCTAGGGCGCTTTCACTCAAAAACAACCTTTCTAGCGTGGGCAGTAACAGTTGCAATCCTCGCAATTCCGTTGCTTTTTGTTGTGAAGCGGCGAATCCCGAATAGCCAGAGACATCATGCACGCCGCCTTACTTTTAACTTTCTAAAAGAACGAACCTTTTGGTTTGTCCAGCTTGGTAATATTTTCGAAGGGCTGGGATACTTCATGCCCACTATTTACTTGCTAAGCTACGCGCGCTCGCTTGGAGTCCGCAACGAAGCCATCACTGCCACTGTATCTCTTCTCAACAGAGCAGCTGTTTTCGGCTGCATTTTTGTCGGTTTCCTTATTGACAGGTTCCATATCACCACCGCCATTCTCATCAGCACCATTGAAGCCACCTTTTCTATTTTCGTTCTATGAGGCCTTTCCTCTTCAATCGCAGTTCTCGGCATATTTTCAATTATGTACGGGTTCTTTGCTGGGGGTTATAGCTCTACGTACGCTGGGCTCATCAAAGAGGTGCATGCCGATGAGAACGGCAACGGTGGCGAGCCGGGAATGGTAATTGGCTTCCTCGCTGCCGGTCGCGGGATTGGCAGCGTAATCTGCGGTCCGTTAAGTGAAGCCTTAGTCAAAGGAAGGCCCTGGGTGGGTAAAGCCGGTATGGGCTATGGAACGGCATGCGGTCCGCTAATCGTTTTCGCCGGGATAAGCGCGCTTCTGGGCGGAGTAAGCTTCTGGGCGAGACTACTTCAATGGATGAAGTAGTTATTAGGGAGAGAACGAAAGAGTTTCAGACAGACATTGTTTGAAAGTCGCTTGGATTTCATTAGAAAGATCTTTAATGCGGTTCGAGAGGGATGGGAGGCACCCTAGCTAGTCATAAAACGATAGGCGCGGGAGCAGAATTCAACCGATGCCTAATATATATTCATAGATACAAGGTCAAGATAGGTGGGAATGAGATTGGTGAAATACGTGATTGGTAAAATATCGAGGGAAAGTCAAGCCTGCGAGCTATCAAAGGTCGTTGACGGTTCTCGATTGTCCATTAACGTATTCCAACCAAGGAGCCTCCAAAGTTCTTGAATAAACCAGTCACCGTTGTTTTCGCCGGAGCTTTCGATATTATCTGCTGAGCCATTCATGCCTCGTGACTGCACAACAGGACGTGGGAGCTTCAATGAATCTTGAAATTTAGCATCATCTTCTCCAAAGACACCCCGCAAAAGTGTATTCTGCAACTTCTTTTTAGTATGAGCGAGGAAGGGTGAGGTGGTAGAAGTTATATTACAACCTCTCACCCCACTTTTTAGGTGATCGCCACAGCGATCCAGAGTTGACAGTGCCTGCTCAAAAATCCAGATAAGATGGTAGCTTTGCAGCACTGCGGCATGCTCCAGGATAGTGGGCTCAATCCTGCTAGTTGGTTCTTTCGCAAGTGGACAGGGAAGAGGTAACTTGGACGGACAAGTTCGAAGGTCGGAGTTGGATCGCAGCTCTTTGAACACGACCAGGCCAAGCATTTGGCCAATGTGCTCCAGAAGAATGAATAAAAACCCCTCTAGCAGATCTATCTGCCTATATCTGCTGGTGTTTATTGAGAGTATCATGGTAGCGAGAACTCGAGAGATAGAATCCAGTGTCTGGCTGTCTTCGCGTGACAATTGAGCTAATGGCTGCCCAAGTGGATTCGTAGTCTTGGTTCTGGGAACTTGTCTGCCTTTCTTTGTGGACACCTTTCCCAGATGAGAGATAGCTTTTGCCTTGGCCAGAACATGTTGATGCAGCTGGAGGAGGATAAATTGAAATAGATGAACAAGGTGATAATGAATTATTCCTTTGTTATTTTTCACCTTATCTTTTCCTGCTACCTTTCTCAAAGCCTGCAAGAGTAGGGGATAGCATTGTTCAAAAACAATCAAAATGTCCAAGAGGCCTGGATTCTGTGAACGGATGTGAGAGCTGTTGTCAGAGTTCATGGTTTTGGTGCGATTTGGACCAATAGATAACCGGATTAGTTGCTCTACATTGGCACAAATATCAGCGCATGTAGTCACCAGCAGCTCTGGTTCCGACGGCCTATGAAGTAACTTTCGAAGGGTATGAACACGTCGCAAAAATGGAGTTGTAGCTACAAATTATTTAGTAAAAAACCGATTGAAGCTTATTTAGAGGGCTGTCGAATACCGTTCTCTAGAAATCCAGCCGCTATGCCTAGCTCAGAGGCAGCAAACTTTGAATTTGCTTTACGGATATTTATTTTCTCATCAGCCGTAGTTTTCGACCGTTTCGGTGGCCGTAACGCTATGGAGCCAGGACTACCGTTTGTTTTTCTCTTCCTTAACGGGGCTTTCGACCCAGATTCGGGCTCTACGTTAAGAGCTGAAGCCCCATTTCGTTGCTCAAGTTCATAGATTCTGTCGAGTAGTCGGCTTTGGGCGGCTTCAGATTTCTCGTATGCCTCTCGCCAGAAAGCGGTACTGTCTAGATGATATTCCTGGCTCGACTCATCCCGTTCTCTCTGCCCAGTCTTGATGTAATTTCTGATACAAAGAATGTAGTCTAGAAAAAATCAGCATGTGAGCTGACACGGGGCTCGTTCGGGGCTCCCTAACCTTTGATGGTTGTATGTGGCGGCTTTGACTTCAGAATGGCTATTGCTAACGCCAACTGAGCTTGAGAAGGAGGACTAGGTCCCCCCGGATAGGGTGATGCAGCCATCTTCGATAAATGGCGACGAGAGACGTGCCAGAGAGCACTGGAGACGCATGGTCAAGCATGGGGTGTTGTTGGAAGAAGAAGAAGAAGAAGCCCCGGCTCTTATACCCCGCCACGTACCAAATGAGGATGTCTATCTGATTTCCGAGTAAGGAAGTAGCAAAGTGGATGCTGAGTGATCAAATCTCCCAGTGTATCTCTGTGCTGTTGGACGACCTCACTGAGAGGCTTGAAGCCTTCGAAGCAGTCCATTCGGGGCCTGGCCGTCTCATATGGCTGATACTAGACGACAGTCTTCCTAAGACTCTGTCGCAGCCATTTCAATTGAGAACATTAACTAGTTCTTGCTCGTTGCAGCGCATGCTCACGCTGCCGTCGACGAACGGGGTTATCGTAATTCCGAGTTGCTTATTCATCGAGGCTTGGCACATCAGCAGTGGCGGCAGCTTGCTCGCTGAATCTCTAACATAGAGCAAACGACCCGACGGCTCACATCGCGAATACAGCAAGCTTATTGCTTCGGCTTGCAGGTCATTTTATTGTCTTATTCATTATGGCACCTTTAGACGACCTAAAGGCTCATGCAGCTTCCTCTCATGACTTTTACGCCTTACTAAACATCCCCCCTGCCGCTGCTGAAAATGAAATCCGCCGCGCATACCGCAGGACAGCCTTGAAATACCATCCCGACAAACTCCAGAACCCAACGTCCGCTGATATAGACAAGTTTCACTTGCTGCAGATTGCATATGATGTCTTATCCGAACCGTCAATACGGCAGCTTTACGACAATGCCCGGGAGGCTAGGGAGCGGAAGAAGCGGGAGAATGAGATGCTGGAAGGTCTACGGCGGAAGATGAAAGAGGACTTGGAAGCCAGAGAACGTGGAGTTAAAAGACCCTTTGCGACAACAGGCCTTGGTCCAAGCATTGATCTCGATAATGCCGAGGAGCGGCTAGAGCAGGAGATTAGAAGATTAGCGGAAGACGGAAGAAGGAGAAGACAACAAAAAGAAGAATTGATGAGACGGGAGGTTTTGGAAGAAGAAGAGAGACGGGAGCAGGAAAAAGAGGAAAAGGAACGTGCCGCCCAAAAAGAAAAAGAGAGCCGACGGAATGTTGGTGGTACGGCTGTTCCCGAAATTGAACGAACAGTTAAGGTGCGCTGGATCCGCGAGGACTCAGGATTGGATCTCGATAAGACCCGCCTGGAATTGTTGTTTTCACCGTTTGGGGAAGTGGAGAGTACTTTTACACTCAAGGACAGGAAACAACGTATCGGAGAGAAACGGGAAAAGAAAACCGTCGCCACGGGCGTCATCGTATTTTCGTCGATCGTTGGCGCCCATGCCGCGGTCGAAGACAGCAAAAGACAGAAAGGCGGAGAATGGGACATTATTGAATCTGTCTTTTGGGCTTCGAATAAAGAGCCAGATTTGGAATCACATCGGGCGCCCTCTCCTACAACTGCTGCCCAAACGGAGCCCGCGGCAACCGCTCCTTCCGGTGCTAAGCCGAAGTCCTTCAACTTTCCAGGTCTGGATATGCCTGCTGCAACTTCTGACGACGGCACGAAGAAGGCCCCCTCGTTTGCCTCTTTCTCTTCAACGGCCAACGTCACTTCTACGCCCGGGCCTAATCTTGGGACCAACAGCCCAAGTTTGGAGGAGATCACCCTGATGCGCTTAAAGAATGCGGAAAGGAAACGGCTCGAGGAACAATTGAGAAAGGAAGATGAGGCTAATGAACTTGAGGAATCCGAAGGCACAAAATGAATGAGAGAAGTTCTTATTTGACGCAGGTGATTTGGATATGTCGGGAGGAAGTGACCTATCAAGAAGCCGAAGAAAGCATCAAGTTCTGAGAGGATCTAGGGGAATTGTCTACTGACTTAATACTTAGGATCATGACAATATCCCGCAACATACCAGCTTTGGGAATCCTCAATGGCTTTGGTTCGAGTCCATCGCCAGTTCCTGGGGAGCCATTACCAACTCTTCAATATAGGGTTTTACTGGGCACTACGGCCGGCTAAGAATGGATGGGAGCTGCGCACCTCATTCAATATGCTGTGTGCGAATATTATGGCTGAAATGGAAGAACCCTTACCAACCAGCCAGTTCACCTGGCAATTTCTTGGATCCTTTTGAACTTAAGAGGCAAGCGCACACTGCTACACCCCTCCAAAGTCACTGTGCCGTTCGCCGTTGATCCCGCCAGCATGGATCACTTTTAGTATGTCTAGAAAGACAAAGCTTTGGAAAGTAGGCAGCTTTTGCCCGCTTGACCGTTCTTCTAACAACTCGGATTCACCACGGGATTCACCAGCGACTCTCCAAGCATACTTCATGGCTGGCATTAGGAGTGTATCGTTGCTGAGTCCATATGTCCTTGTAATATTCGCCGCATGCAGAGAATTATGATAATTTGTTAGGTTAGCGTGGCCTCCTTATTACGAAGATACCCCTTTCTTGTATGCAATAAATGTACGGCCCTAACATTAATAGAGGAGTTAGCCTGGAGATTTACATGATTATATACATATACAAAATCTATGTGTACAGTGCGGAATATATGCATTCATACCATCCAGACGTGCTCACAATATATCCACTGAAAGAATATTCATTCGTTATAAAGTACGGAGCACTCTGCGGTCAGTCCTCTTCCTCTATCTGCTCCGTCCCGCTTTTGGCCCTGTGTACGTCTTCTTTCGTCTGCCTCTGCCTCGTTCCACCGTGTAGAATATAATCTTTTACCCAGGGCGGAATAAAGGCTGTCACTTTCACCTCCCCCGCCTCAGCGACACCAGCATCCGCATTGGCCTCCCATGAAATTTTAAACTCCTCGCTGGGATTATATTGAGATGACTCTCCCGTTATAGAGATATCCGTCATGGTTTCTAGGCGGCACAGCGCTAGTCCAACGTTTCCAATTCCAGATATGAACTTGCCCGCACTCCGTCCCTTCCCGGAAGCGCTAGACTTTGTTATATTCGCTCCCGCGGATGGGAGGAGTAGTTGGGAATCTGGCGAATAGACGGGAATTCGTAAGCTGGATGGCATGGGTTTGGGATCCTCTGTATTGTATAGTTGTACAGGTAATACGCGTTTGCGTACAACGCCACGATGGTGCGTCCGGATCGTTAACTCTTGACCGAGATAGCAGCCCTTGTGGAAGTCAATTCCTCCCATGATATCCATATTACTATCCATCGGCAAAGCAGATTCGCGGCCAAGTTCGTCTTGTCCCTCCGGAATGCCATGCAAAATTCGGCGGAGCGTATAGGTAGAGAGCGACGCTTGTTGTCCAGGAAGTGGCTGCAACAAGTTCTGCAAATTGTCTCCGGCTAAAAGCACTCTGTACCCGAAAGCCGGAGCACGATTATCAGCACAGGTTATAACTTCTCTCAATACGTCTCCAGTGTCCTTCGTCTCCCAATTTTTGGTATTATCCCAGACGGCCCATACACCCCTCTCCCCTTCATCCAAAGCCCTAAACTTCAACTTCGCCCTCAACTTATGCTTTTTCAAATGTTTCAGCAAATTTGTAACCTGTTCTTTATCCACTTCGATCAAATATCCCAGCTCTGTTCCCTCATTTCCCCCATTCTCCTCCGGCAGTGTCGGGTAAATAAACGTATCATGCAGCAGTCTTCCTTGCGCATTCAGAAACCCGGCATAAAAGGGCGTTGTAGGACTTGCGCGAGATTTTGCAGATACAACATTCTGCGTAATTAGGCCTTGCAGAAATGAAGTGCTGTCTGCACCGGTGAGAGAGATAAGTGCCCGGTTAACGAGACGGACATGACCGGCTTCTGGTGGAGGTGGAGGGCGCTCGGCTTGCTTTTGAGCAAGGAATGCTGTTGAGGATAGGCTACGCCGGTGAAAATGACAGCGAGAACAAACAGATCCGGGACGTAGCCGAGGCGGCATCTTCTTCTAGCTAGTAAGCTGGCTGATGATTCAATTGTACCGATATACCCGATTCACGCTCAACCTTGTTCAACACGGATCTTATATCACGGCGGTGAGAAACGGCAGTAAACGGCCCTATGACATAAGACGCCCAAGCAACCCACGCTCGCTCTGTACGAAGTAAAGATGATAGAGACAATTAGAGTACGGAATAGACGGGGTGAAGTGTACGGAGCATAGAGCTTTACGATGGCTAAAATCTCATATCAATTCCATAATTTATCAGTAAGGCGAGCATAAGCCCGAAACTAATCCACTAACCCCAAAACACACCGCCACTAACGTTGACCCTTTACAACACCGTCCAAATACCCAAGTAAAAATGCTTTATCTACTGGAGATCTCATTTTGTTTCGACTAGTCGGTCTTGATTCGCCATTGCCATGGGTTTGCGGCAAGGAACCTCCCACGAAACCAACAATACTGGATTTGGCTGACGACCTTAATTGCGATGGCTCGACCTCCGTGAACTTGGGAAGCGGCTGTTCCCTGGATGGGGCAGACTTGCCGAATAGAGAAAGTAAAGTCTCTTTATGTGAGCTGGATTGACTTTGACGATCGTAATTTAGTTCCTTTGGCGGGCCCTTCGATGCCTCGGGCTCGTCTAGCATGGTCTCTCGGTGAGGTTTCGTGAACGCGCTAACGGTCACGGTATGCGTTGGCAGAGACGCTTCCAAATTATCTTTATCCGGCCGACGGAGAATCCTGGGCTTAAATGGTTTCGTAAGCTCTGAGATCTTAACGTTTTTCCTTGATGGAGAACGCGGGGTTTGGGAACGCGGCAGAGTCTCTGAGCTTTCCTTTGTCACGGCGCTCGGGCGGGGAAGAATGGTGATGTTAGATCTAGGCTCGATTTGAGACTGAGCTGGAATTGGCGGGGGAAGCCGCCCCGCTGATTTTGGTCGATCAAGGGATTCCTTGGGGGCAACCGAAGGGCCAGGGTCTTTCGGGGGTATCGCCTTTTCCCCAGTAACAGATTGGGACGTAGGAGGTATCCTCTCCTGTAATTTGGAGGTTGCCGCCTTTTCGCTCTCCGGAAGGATTGACAGTTTCACAGCATTTGCTTGTGACGTCGATGGAGTGACCGCGGGCGAAGTAGGTGTCCTTAAAAGTTTCAACAGGCTATCCTGATGATCAAACCTACGAACTCCAGCCTGGCGCTGTGGTTCAGGAGGAACTTTCTTGGAATCCGTGGTAGGTTGGTGCAAACTATCACCTTTAAATACATTTAAAAGCGCCAGAGAATGCCTATTCAATTTTGGAGGTGGAAGTTTACTCGCGGGCGGAATGGATGGAGCCTGGAAGTTCGAAGGTCGCGAACCTTGACTCGATTGATGTACATGCTGATTGGAAGGAAGTCGGGGCTGAGCTTGAGGAGCATTAAAATAGAGGTTGGCGAGTGCCGGAGAGATCAAGGTTCCTGAACTATCGACAGGAGGGTGTGCCAACGATGGTCGGTTACTTTGTGGTATATGATACTGGTGCCCTTGGTGTGTGCTGGTCACCATCGGGGGCCGAGGGAGTTGCGGGAAATGGGAGAAACGTTCCGGCGGGGGGTGCGAAAATCCGCTTGCAGTGATGAATCCAGGTTGTGGATAAACCTGGTGGCTGGGAAGAGTAGAGTTGGGAAGGGTAGGGACACCTTGTCCGATGGTTCCAGCCGTTGATGTCGGCATTGGAACGGTGGGCTGATTGATAGGTCTGTCGTGAGATTGAGCTGGAAGTGAAATTGATCGTTGAGGTAAGGTTGCAGTCGTCTGTTCTGGGAAGGACGAATGGGCAGATTTTTGCCCCAGACTCGGAGAGGTATAAACATCACCTTGCCTAAGCAGCTGTAAAAGCGCGCTGCCCGTTGCTGGCTCAGGCATGATTTGTTCCGGTTTAAGTAGAGGGAGAAGCGGTTGGGTAGTGGATCCGATATTGAGCAGCTGTTTTAGTTGAGCAGAAGGGTCTTGATGTGCGTGAGCTCCAACAAAATCTTTGGGAAATGGCGCTGCTATGCTCTCATCCTTCCGCAAAGTGCCACCATTTGTAAGTTCTCCGTCCTCCGCTGTTATATATGCAGGATTCTCAGCTTCTACCCGCACGGATTGTCCTGTTGTTTCGGCAAGATCTCGTTTTCTTTGAAGCGCGATCCACCTCTTCAGAGGCCCTAGGAAAGGGGCAACCATGTAAAATTTATTCTTGCTGAAACTCTGCCCGTTGCTTTCTTCCTGCTTAACTTTTTTCTGGGTGGGAAGATCTGAAAGCTTGTACCACTCGATCTTGCTAATTTCCTTCCTTGTCCTCGGTTCAAAATGCGTGTCTTTTGGTACTCCTCGAATCACGTATAGTCGCATATTTTGTTCTCTCATTGAGATGTCAATATACTTAACCTTTTCCTCATCCTTTATGAGACCGGATTGTTTAATATCAAATCCGGTCTCCTCGTATACCTCTCTGGCTGCACAGTCCAAGTCCTTTTCATCCTTGTTAATCTTTCCCCTGGGGAAACTCCAGCCGGCGGTTTTCTTCCATCCCTTGACGAGGACGACTTCATCCATAGTCTCATTCAGCAGGATTGCACCGCGGACCGGAACCCGGGTTTTGTAGGCCAAAAATTCTGAAAAGGCAGTTGAATGGTGGTAGCTTGACCATTGTGACATCAACGGACAATGCTGAAATATAAGAAGCGCGAAGCTACGAAGATTGAAGGAAGGAAGATTCGGGTCTAATGCTCGAACGAAATCTTCGTAAAACCATTGGGCTTCTTCCACTTGGAAGCATATTCGCTCTACCGATTCCAACTCCTCTCGTGGGAGGTTAATAATGAAGCGGACGCACAGGTCATCCAGCCCTGCGAAGAAATACGGTTACGGACCATCCAAGATAAATATATACTGATGGGGATTCAGAGGCAGTCACTCACAGTCTTCGAGTTTCATCTTTTGTTCCACCATAACTTCTATATTTGTGCATTTCAACACAAACGGAATGCTGATGAACGATGGTTACATCCGCCAGAGCCTCGATCCGAAGTCGGCGACAACTGCAAGAGACTGATGGCGAAGGTAGGGTTAGGATTCAATATAAGCTAAGTTTTGAGGAGAAGCTGACATATAACAAGAGCGCTTCAAAGAAGCAGCTAGGTTTCTAAGAGAAGCACAGAGAGCGAGCTTACCTGACACGGAGCTTCCTCTGCTGCTTTGTTGTCGATCGACGATGATGCTGGCGCCGCCCGTGGCTGCGGCTGTGGCTGGCCGAAGCAACCGTGGCGGTGCTATGGCTAGTGAGATGGCTTTAGTCAGCCAAGCAAATGCAGGATGACGTGCATTTCGCAGTTCTCGACAGCGATTGGGAACAGCTTGCCGCCGTCCGTGAATCCGGACGAAACAGGGAAGCGAACAGACAGCGACAGCGAAGATGGATTCGAGACAATTTAATTATAAATCAATACGGACATCCCTGGCAGCCTGGCAGTTTAGCCGCTGAGGGGAAAGGAATACACTCCATGCTGTTGACTGGTCATATGTCACTTCTGATCACCAGAACCAGGAGTCAATAACTAATGAAAGCCTCCGGACTAGTCATTTATACCTTTTCACTCTCTATTCAGAGCCTGCTAACTATTATTTAACTCCATCCTATTCCTTTCAGGTCCAAGGCGCCATTCTTTCCTACAGAGTACTTCCTTAACCTTTGTTTCCTTTTTTCATATTATATTAAATTAGGTGTCTGTGACCAGCTGCATTGCCATTTCATTCTGCAGATTCTTCGACCTCGTTTTACTCCTATCAACTGCTCCGCATGGCAGCCAAAATTGCAGGCGCTCTTTCGAAGAAAGTCCTGAAGGAGTCCGCAGAGAATCGGTTTGGACAAGAAGTAAGCACATATTATCTTTGACCCCCTGAATTATTTGGCTGCCCGTCCTGACCCAACTTCAGGACCCCTATTTTGAAGAAGTCTCAGCGACCAACCTCCTCGGCCGACCAACGACCAGAAGACGACGCAAGGCTGCCCCGGAGGGCATCTCGGAAAACGATGCAAAGGTTCTCACCAAGGTGAAACGCCGTGCATATAGGCTAGACTTGTGTCTGTGCAATTGCTGTGGAATAAAATTTGGCTGGAGCAGTGTTATCGCTCTGGTGCCAGCGTATGTTTCACCTTTTTTTTTTTTTTTTTTTTTTTTTTTTTTTTTTTTTTTTGCATGCAGATTATCTGACAACCTCTAGTTTCGGTGACGCTCTTGACATGGTACTCGCCCTTATGGTTGTCAGGAGTTGCAGCAATATTGACGGCGGACTTCCCGGAAGCCTATACTTACATATGCTCCTCAATGTTGCTTTTGATTTTGCTATCGGACTAGTGCCTTTTGTTGGCGATCTCGCGGACGCATTATACAAATGCAATACAAGAAATGCCGTTTTGCTCGAGAAGTATCTCAAGGAGAAAGGCAAGCAAAATTTGAAGCGTCAAAATCAAGGCACCATAGAGATGGGAGATGGCGTCCAGCCTGGATCAGGGCAGACTACCCCTAGAATGAATCAACCAAGGCGGCCGGAGCACGCGCATATACCGCGAGACGACGGCCAACCTGGGAATAGTGGACGCTCGGGCAGGATAAGAGAACCCGACTTGGAAATGGGAATACGATGATTTTTTCACCCCTTATGGCTTCCAGTTTCACATATAGATTCTATTTTCCTCTTCTTGATATATTCAAAATATCCATCTGTTTAATCAGAACTAGTTTTTGTTGGCACAACGGCATCATAACAGTTATTTATGACTTCTCTTGGTACTTATGTTTCATGATCTCCGTCCTATGTACCATTTTGTAGTGACAGTTGAATATTGAGCAGATAGCCTGATACATAACCAGTACATGTTACCTAGCAGCTACTTTAGAACTATCAATTGAAGTGCAGACCAAATAGCAAAACAGTTATTGATTGGTCAGGTTGAACGCAGCTGAACAAGGTGAGGGTATTGTGATTTCATTTGATCAATGGAAAAGAATAAATAAACAATGGGGGTTACGGGCAAATTCAAGATTAACGAGGGCCTATAAATGCTAAAACCTGATATACGGAGTTGTCCTTTGCAGTTCCTGAACCTCAAGCGATTTGGGTGTTCGACAGCTAGCCACCATCTTCCATTTCCTTCAAGAACGCCGATGCAACGCAAATACGCGCTTTCTGCCTAATGGCATATTTGTCAGAAGCCCCGCAAGGATACCGCGCCTCGCAATTCAAATTTCTACCGCTAATTGTTAGAACGAGATCGAAGGTTACTCGATAATGTTTCCGGGCGTTTGGCTCAGGCGGCATGATAGGCTGGATGTGGCCCTCTGTTTTCAAAAATGTCATATCCACAACAATCTTGCCCGCTTCTTCATAGCCTGCCATTCGGGGTCATGTCAGCCTACGCCAATCGTGAAGGAATTGGTTCATTCCGGGCTTTTAATATCTTGCCTTTATTCTTTTCATGACCCCGCTCATAGTGAGATTCGTGATTTTTGTCAGACACATAGAGGATTTCTTCGCAAAGGAATTTCTGAGAGGGTCTCGTCGGAAAATAATGTGTGACGATAATGGTCTCACAGTCATTGGGTTTAATAACCTTCCCCTATAACATGCTTAATTAGACGTAATTCATAGTAGCACGCCATGAGTAAGGTTGCTGACCTTGTTAAAAAACCAATATATGGTGTTCTTAATATAGAACTCATTATCATATTTGTCCCGCCTCTTCCTTCTAGATTGGGATTTATGCGCTGGATAAAATTCTGGATCGTAAGGCTCTGTGCGTAACAATCCATAACTGCAATATATCTCACGCTCGAGATCATCTTCATTGTTCTTCATTGCCCATAGTACAGCACCAGAGGCCACAGCTGCTCCGCTGTAAGTCCCTTCTATCAGTTTGGCAAATCATTTCAGTCCTTGAGGGAAGACGAGAAGAGCTTACCGCAGCCTCGGCGCCAGTATCCCCACTTGACGGTTACGTCTGTTGGAGAACTGTCTAAGCTCTTTCCTCAGATGGTACTCAAGGGCAGGAGATGCGGCAAACCCGCCAATGAGTAACACTTTCTGCGCAGTGGGTTAGTTTGAATCACAGCCAGTAGATATTCCGCATGTGTTAACTACCGTAACAAAAACCTGATGGGCTTCTGCCTGCTCAATTTGTTGCAGCATGAGCCGCGATATTTGTTCGAGACACGGATTGAAAATCGACAGCATGTCTTTCCTTAGGTCCCAGAGACGAAGCCATCGTTTAGTCGGGTCCTTGCCTGTGGAGTTGCTATGGTATTAGAGATAGCTCGGCTTACTTACATGTCAACGCGCATCTCGTGCGGTCTAAATTTCTTTTCCGTATTTTCCCTCAGCCCATCAAACATAAAAACCTCTATTTTGCGTTTTTCTCTAGGGTTAAATGTTCTTTTCACCCTATTCTCAAACTCCTCGAGGATGAAATCTATTTTCCTTTCTACCGGGTATCCATTGTCAATCAAGTAGTATTCACCGGCCAAACGATCCCTGATCAGTCTACTAAAGTTCTCGTTAAGATAGCTGGACCCACAGAGGGCGCCTATTGATTGTCCCAGTGTGTCAGAAATCATCCAGCTGTTAATGACTGCCTTAGAACTCACCACCTGGGGTTCCTGCTTCTCTTTCAAGTTTTAGAGGTAAGGTACTTGTCACCTTGTACGTGACAGCGTCAACAGTCCCGCCACCGGCATCGAGGAGGACAAACGCTTCGCCCAACTAGTAGTTCGCTAGTGTCAGTCTCCGTAAGACATTCGAGGATAAGAAGAGACGGATGACCTCAATATCTCTAGATTCTGCCAACACATAAAATGCTGCCGCTTCCGGTTCATGGACAATGAGGAGGTTGTCAACATCATGAAAAGCTTCCGTGATGAACTCTACTCTTTGAAGCGCTGTAGTCATTGCCGTTTGCATGACACGGCATGCCTTTTGAGACCATATGGCAGGAATGCACAAGACAAATTTTATAGACTCGGTTCCCTCGTATTGGTACTGTCGACGCATTTGGTGTTTGGTGTGGGAAAACAATTTTGTTAGGAAGTCTGCAATCAGATCAATCTCCCCCTTAATGATCTTCCGCTCCTTAAGGGTTTGCACGGTTGGCGCAAGTTCTTCTCGAATTGTTCTGGTAAGTTCACCCCTGTCAAGAAGCAACTTAAACCTGTGGATAGGGCTTGCGAGATTGTTGGGTTCGCAGTGCTGTCTAATTGCTTGCCGAACTTCATATCCCCAGTACAATGACTTACGCTCGTCCTCCTCGTCATCAACCTCATCAATGTCCATAGTATCCGAGTCGACAATATTGTTACCTTCGTCGTCGGACGCTTCAGCGTCGTCGGAGGCGTCAACGTCGTTGACTTCATCATGGTATACTGGGTTGCAATATGGCGATCTTTTTGTGTACCAGGACTCGGTGGGCACGTCAACGCGGCTCTCGTTGTGATGTGATGGCGCGTTCGGGTAATTCGAAATATTGACGATTTCGTCCTTTCGGACCGCGATGTCACCAGCGTCACCTTTCGGAACGCAGAGAACCGAGACGGATGAATAAGTTGTTCCAAAATCAACACCAACAATAAAGTCTCTATGGGTTAACCGGGCTTCACTCGATTGGGCTTCTGCGATGTCTTCTGTTTCAGCACGAGAGAACGATACTGGTTGAGGCTCCCGTGGCTGCGGGGCTACAACGCCTTCCATTGGGCCAAAACCGTCCGGCTGCACGTCTAACATCATTAGATCCGACAGTCTGGAGTTCTGAAAGTAGAGTTGAAAAAGGCAGTCTTAAGTGCCTTCGTGGGCGTAGGCTCTATATACGTATGGTCACTTCAGACGTTCAACATTATCGCACCATCGGGCAGGGGTCCCTGTTGCCAGTCCGCCGATATACGAGAAAAGCCAGCCATAGTGGCAAAGCGCTGGCTGCATCAGCCTGGATATGGAAATGGATAAACGCGGTCTGGGGTGCTCATTGGGCGTGTTGAATCGGAACATCTCGACTCTTGACATGGATTTCAATCCCTTAGCCAATAAGATTGCATTCGACTTTCCCGGCGCTTAAGGTGCAATAGGCTGTGCAACAGAGAATCATCCGGGATCCCCCATTGAATTTTGGTACTATATCCGTATTTTGCCCTTATTTAGCAAGCTGATTACCCAGGAGTTCAACGGTGGACCGAGGGCTTAAACTGCAGCTACTATTCTCCTCCTGTTCTCTCCTCTTTCCCTAAACCCGGAGTGATTGCTTTGAAACGATCTTAAGGCTTTTATACTTGGTGTCGGATATGGGCCGCAAGAAGAACTCCGCGCGAAAAAACAAAGAGCCGCAATGGGACGAGATAGACAAACACCACCTCATCGGTTGCTTAGACCACCTCCTGTATGACAGAGAAATAACGGACAGTAGGGCCATACGGGAAGAGATCAAGTCGTGTCTCCAACGTTCACGCGGTAAAAATTTCGCCATTGGCAGAATTTCAGAGAAACTGCAGGAAATTCAGAACGAGCACGCCCACGGAATCCGGCGGGGAACACTTCTCACAAGAGGGAGTAAGGTTTTGAAAGATATAGACCATGAAGAAGTGAAGAGATTTGCGGGAGAGCTGAAGAGCCAGCATACTGCCTCAATTCTCCAGTCTGATGGCCGTCGTCTCCGGAACACCCCTAAACGGGCAGAACTGCGTGCACATCTGAGGCCCCATGCAAACATCGTGACTCGAAGCATGTCTGCTGTGCGATCGATGTCCGAAACTCCCACACCAAATAAGGTTAAGCGGAAACGCAGCACTAAGACTGAAAAGAGCGAAAGACCATACGCCGAAACACAGCTGGCCCTGGGAGAGAAGGTTTGAAGCCATCTAAATAATTAAACCATAATTTGTTGACAAAACTGATTTTCGAAAGGCTCCCCCAGAAAAAGCTACCCAACTACCCATCACGCGCGGAAGAAGTGCATACCAAGTCCTCGGATCACGCCTTCACAGGGAGCTATCTGTACCAGATAGCCAAGAAGCCTACAGCACAACTGAGAATGGCCGGAGTCCACAAAGTAGAAATGTTGACAGCCGCCGAGAGCTAGAGCGTGAGCAAATGAATCCAACCCATCGTATGTAGTGGGGATATCAGGAACATGGGCCGACGCTGATATTGTTAACATCAGATGAGTATAAAATGGAACTAATGCGGCTTCAAAAGGATCTCAACACTATGCAAGTGCAACTAGAGGACGCAAAGAAGCTGCGCGATGCAGCTCTCGGAAATTTAGCAACAACCCGAGAGAAACATGACGAAGCAGTGCAAAAGATAAAGGCGCTAAAGTGCACGATAGCTGAGATAGACCCAGAACGAGGAAACATCGCTAACAAGGTAGTGTACCAAGAAGAGAGGATACTCGCTCTGGAGCGTGCGCTTCAACAGACACGAATATCCGCCTCTTTCGCAGGGCTGCGCGCGCGAAGTGATTACAGTCCCCGAGAAAGTACTGTTGAGGAGCTCATGCAAGAAATTGAAGGTGAAATGCGACAAATTTTATTTGCTTTTGATGCCTGCCCAAAAATGCATTTAATCAACCTCAAGGACAGGGGTGAATCAAGGACTCTTTTGGCCCGAAGTCTTGATGTGGATTGTAGCCAAATGGGCTCTCCCGGAAAGTTGCCTGTCGACCTGCAATATCTCGGTCTGAGAACTATTGTTCATGCGATTACTGCTGCCGCACTGTGTGATTGGGTATTTGGGCATGATTTTGAACACCCTCCGCTCTTGCTCGACATGTATCGACGCCATCTATTGCTAATGGGTATGTCCTGAGAACTGTGATGTGCTCCGGCCCGTTGTTTCATCTTCCAGGTCACTGACGTTCCAGCACACAGGCACGCAGTCATCGGTGCAAAATCTAGACCTTGCTGCTCACAAGAGTCTCTTTGAAAGTAAAGAATATCAAGAAGTCATTATTCCTCTGCGGGCAGAGCATCTAGCAGACCGCCTGGCTACGGCGCTCTCTCCGTTTTCCAATGGCGAATCTGGGGACTGGGAACTAGACAACCATAAAAAAAAAGACTTGATGGATTGTTTGACAGACATATTTGAATTGGCTCTGAAGCTTAAAGTACATCTTTTACCCAGCGGCAAGCAATATTTTTGCCTACTCTACCCTCCTGGGTCAAAATTTGACCCAAAGGCTATGGTGCCTGAAAGCAGACATGGGGATCGGAATATTCCATATCCTGATGAATTATCGGAGATCGAAATATGCGTTTTGCCAGCAATATGTGCCCGCAGGAAGGATGATGGAGGGTTCATCAGTTATCAGTTCACAGTTCAAAACAGCATGCGCCTTGAAGCAGATGTTTCTGTTCTTCAAAAGGCAGTTGTGGTTGTGAGATATGACCGACACAACTGTTTCTGGTGATATTAAACCTTTTAATATGAGAGGGTAGTTGGGTAAGGTCCACTTAGTTAACGCGGATTCACCTTTTACCTCACCAGCGGGTTTTTCCTTTTTCACATTACTCCGTAGCTTATTAACTAACCTAACGAAAGAATGTGGCATTAGCAACGCACGGGAACTACACTGGTAAGTTACAAGGTATATACTCCGTACATGCCGTTAATATCCTTGAAATCATTGAAGGCGCTTCTTGCTCAACCCACTACGAGAATAAGCCCAACAGTACGGAGTACTACGTAGTTTTCCCCATATGCTATTATTATTCGCGTCAACATGTAAAGAACCAGTAAAAATCCTTCAGGCTTCCATCACATCGTAACCACCTAACTAATCAATCCCAAGTGCCTGAGTCTCGATCGATCTAGCTGATATAGTTCTCCAGCCAGAGCTCCAAAGCCTCTTGGTCTGCTTCTTCTTTACGATAGCCATTCTCCAAATACAACCCTTTATTGGAAAGCACTTGTAAAAGCTTGTGACGAACATTATCTGGGTCCTCGATGTCGGAGTTGTCAAAGACAACCAAACAATACTTTGGGCAACTCTGGAGCCATGCTATAGGTCTTTTCAGGATGATAGCGCCGTCAGATCGCGTTGCCATGCCAAACCTTTCGAACTGGTCCAGCGTATCAATCGCACATGAATCATGTACCACTATGCTCACGGTACTCGAATGAAAGGATATGGAAGATAGAGGTATACCTGGGATATGTTCTTCGAGGGCGACCCAGAGAGCATTCGAGCTTTGCCTGGTTTCCTTAATCCATCGGTAATGACCTTCGGCAAACTGTAGAGATAAACATAGATTCACAGCAGCAGCTCCAGCAGAGTCAGCCCCGAATAGTAACCTGAGGTCCCGCGCTATATCCAGGGTAGGTTTGGGAGCCCGTCCTAGTTCACGACACAACGAAGAGAATCCATCCCAAACAATGCTAGCCAAAGCATTGATGGCCTCGCAAGAAGCGGTGATGCAAGACAGTTGTCTTACAAGATGCCAGTCAGTGGGTCTAAAGTACGTTCGGAAAGAAATATGGGCTACTACTGCGCCATCCAACAACTCTGACCGCCCACTACGCGTTTCTGTCCACAATTCTTCTAGATCGGTGACGAACAACCTTGTCACGACCACGGCCGACTCAGTATCCAAAAAAGTTAGAAGATATCGGGCGTTGTCAATAATGCTGACACCAGGCTTGATTGCGGCGAGAATTTCAATCAGGCTGTCGCGGGATTCAGGTAACATCAGATGGCGAAAGGAGAAAAAGACTTGATTTGCATTTCTAATGACCGGCCCGGCGTTTGACTCCTCATGTCGACCTAAGCACATATCAGCATGTGGGGCTACATCGAGAGCATGGCTTGCTGGATGTTGTGTACCATCAGGATTTGCTGTGATGAGATCTATATCATCTCTAGCAGGAGTTGATAGATTGATTATATCTGGAGTACTGATGGTACTCTCGATTCTAGCATCGTCGCATTCGTCAACAGGAGAAATAGACATGTCGAACACACCTGAAGCGGTGGCGCTTAAATCGTCGGCATTCATAGTACTCTCTGTCTCAGAATCACTGCCTTCGTCAAGAATGTCGGAATCAAAAAAGATGTCGTTTTCAATAGAACTTCCCGTAAATTGATTGACACGATTGCCTATACCCAAACAGCGGAAAATCTCTCGCCGGTAGACGTTTCTTGCCCAATCCCATATGAAATCAATGATGAGCAACAGTTGCAAAGCGCAGTCATGTCTCAGAATAGTGCCGTGCCAGAGATCGATTACTCGCTGGAACGGGTGTCAGGACCTCTCGAGATTGTCTATTTTGCAAATCAGCCACAAATGACACTCACCGTTTTATCTCCATCAAGGTAGCATGCATAAACTCTCCACTCGTCTCCTTGATACGCCAAGAACCATACCAGGGGAAGTATTGTATTTCCTGTCGCTTCGTTGAGCGCCTTTTGAACATTGAGTACAGTCTTGATAGGGAATGCTGTCTGAATCTCGACAGAAGAGAATCCGGGACCACCCGATTCCGACTTCGCTTCCAGAATGAGGAAATGAAATACACCACAACCTTCCCCCTTGATAGGGCTGAATACAAGTCCCTGATATTCTTCCGAGGCATTCTTGAGCTCAGGTGTCTCGCTGAGCCCTACTATGATATCTGGCTGCCTAGTGCCAATCTCAGAGATTGCATCATGCACAACCGGTGCATTTGTCCGCCAGACAAACGGCTTTCTGAGTGTCTTCCCAACTATTAGCCGTACCATCACGACAACTCTATCAACATACCGCATCATACCTCGCGGTTTACCACACCAGTCTGGTTGTAAGAACACAGGCAAATCTTGCGAGCGCTGTCAGGAAATGTTTCGAGAGCCACAAAGGAGGGTGCTGCAACTCGGAATTCGGAAATCCAGCGATACTTGCGGCATAGTTCGCTTAAAGGTTACACTCTCTATTAGTATTTGACTGTTGTATGGAGAGCCCGTTATCCATACATACCACTTGCTGTCGCTTGAGAATCGCTTCAACAGAAAGTCTTCAGTTTTTCTCCTCCAGTTCTCCTCATCTAGCGAGGAAATACGACACTCATAAGCAGCATTCACAAGATTACTAGCCCTGTTAAAGTTTCTGTTCCGCTGCGCTTCGAGCAGATCATTGCGCTGGCTAGAGCAATACTCGTCGGATCTCACTTTCTCAATATCACGGACCTTTCTAAATATCTGCGCGTAGGAAGTCGGCCATTCTGACGGTTGGATTGGTCCATCGAATTTAATATTGTGTTGGTCTACTAGTCGACGCTCTTTCTCTCGACTTAATTTCTTCTTTGGGCCCATCGCCTCCGTGTTATAATTATAGGTTCAGCTGACGGACGTTGCTAACAAATAGGCGCTTCAAATTATGAGTAAAGATCAAATCCGGTAGCGAGAGGTAGCGAGAAATGGATTCCATATTGACAGGAGAGAGACACAAAAGGGTGGGAGTGAAGAGAGTACCATAGGTGTACGTTCCTTCCTAGGACTCAGCATCCAGAGTCGCAGCGGTCAGGAAGTGGGGTAAAAAATGCGGCGCATGATCCAGGGTGTAAGTAACCAACAGATTCAGGCCAATGCCACATATTTTTCGGTATGTGCAGTCCGGAGTAGATCCGACGTAAAAGATCATCAAGAAAGAGATCCAGCCGGGACCTTAAAAGGCTGACGGAGACAGGTGCTCTCAGAAGATCGGGTCAAACAGTTGGTTGCAAAGCTCCTGGTGTGTCTATATACTTCATTGTAGCCATGGACACACAATGTGACCAGGAGCTTATGCCGGTTCCGGAGTTGGCTATACCCAATTTCCCTGTATTTTTTTGATTTTGATTTTTTTTTTTTTAAAGAAAGAAAAGACGGGGGATAAGACTGAAACAACTTAGGCTTGGAGTTGAAGACTTTCTCTTGCAAGGCTTCCAGATGCCAGAGTTGACCACACCGCTGGTGACAGGCACAGAATGTCCAGCCTGGCTGAAGGCTCCATAGCCACAAAGCCATGAAACCATGAAACCACGAAACCAACTCTAGGGTTACAACATCACTAAAGAATTTGAAAAATGATGAGAAAGGTGTAAGAACATTTCTTTTATTTGGTGCTGTTCATTTCCTGGGATAGAGAAATAGAGAAATTTGTATTAGAACGTGTAGTCTGGTGAAATTATTCGCAAAATAGCGTAGAGATGGAGACTGGGTTGGAGCAGCGACCAAACTCAGTAAATCAGGACAGGGAAATCCCAAGGCTCTAGTAAGCAATAGGCTTAAGGAGGTGTCAATGTGTCATGGAAGAGTCAGCAAAAGATTCACATCTGGACAAAGTGACCCAGCAATAGCGATGCGCAGGTACAGCGTCCAGAGAGTTTGAAGCACTCTGTAGTCATCACGACAAGGTTTGAAGTGTGATCAGCATCCTGACGGACTTGAATTTGTACCCCAAAGCTTCATTGGTATATATTTTCTCTTCTGCATTGCAAGCTGGTTTTGGACAGCTGGGTAATAATGACCTGTTAACAGCCTTCAACATGCGACAGTTTAGACTACCCACCAGATATGAAACCCGGGATTCTTTCCTGAGAAGGGCCAATGTGGAGAAACACACAATCGCCAAACAGCCACACATGAACCCAGAGAGGCACAGTAACTAGCTAACCAACAGGTTGTGTGACAACCATGATCGAGAGCATGAAAACACTCTGTCAAGTCTGATCTAGGAATTTAAACAGGAGAAGACGTGAAAGGAGAACACAAAGTGATACAAAAAAGGCAGGAATTTGGAGCAATTTGCCTTTTTAACCAGGGTTTCATTGCAACGGAATCGACATGGTTGATTAGGGTATCATTCGCAACAGAAAGATACTCAGTCTGCTTCAACAAAGGCTACGCGTCTCACACTGGAGGAAGATGCCCTTCTTGCGATTTTCGAGGCGCAAAATAATTGTTGCTCTGTTGACCAGCTGCCTGCTTTTCTTGTGGAGCACCCAGACCGCCCTGCACAAGCACACAGTCTTCTTACCAAATGCGAACGAAAAACCCGTGGTGGTAGACGACGAACCGCGCCGTAACTCTTTTTCGGAAAGCAATAATGATCAAACCATTTGGGCCCGTGTTCCCCAACGCCACCCTGTCCGGTCTATGATTCCGATCCCTTCTCCTGTCCCGAGCAGTATCCCCAAGATACAACATAAATTTGGGGAGGAAAGCAGTGAAGCACGAAGGGTGAGGACAGGACGCCTAGACGCTGTGAAGGGGAACTTTACACACGCTTGGAGAGGATATAAGACACGCGCATGGATGAGCGATGAGGTTAAACCCATTTCGGGTGAAGCCCATAATCCATTTGGAGGATGGGCAGCCACTTTGGTTGATGCGCTTGGTTTGGAGCCTATTCTGGGGTCATATTGAGTGTAAAGCTCACTGACAATGCCATTAGACACTCTCTGGATTATTGGTCTTCATGATGAGTTTGAAGAAGCTGTCCAAGCTATTGCTAAGGTCAATTTTAGTCGCTGCGCCTTAGAGGAATACAGTGTCTTTGAGACAACAATCCGATACCTTGGTGGTTTGCTCTCGGCTTACGACTTGAGTGGAGAGAAATATCCATCCCTACTAACAAAAGCCATTGAGCTGGGCCAAATGCTTTATGTAGCATTTGATACGCCCAACCGGATACCCATTACTCATCCAAATTTCATTGCTGCTGCGAAAGGTGCTGCACAGAAGCCCCAAGATTCTGCGCTGGCCGCTGAACTAGGGTCTCTGACATTGGAGTTCACCCGACTCAGCCAGCTAACCAACGACCCACGGTATTTTGATGCAGCTCAGCGCCTCATGGACATATTTGAAGAACACCAAAGTCAAACACGAATTCCTGGTCTGTGGCCAGTTGTTATCAATACAAGGAAGCTAGATTTCACCCGTTATGGTGGTTTCACGATTGGCGGTATGGCTGACTCTCTCTACGAGTACCTTCCAAAGGTGTGCATCTCTCCAGTTTCTAGTCCATTATACTACTAACCGCCCTCTAGCAACATATTCTACTAGGAGGGGCTACTAAACAATATCGAAAGCTGTACCAGAATGCCATGACAGCTATTAAACGTCACATTTTGTATCGTCCCATGACAAAAGGAGGAGAAGATATCTTACTTCCAGGCAACGTCTGGGCCGACGGTAATATCCCCCTCTCTGAGCTAAAGGCCGATGGAGAAGCACAGCACCTAGGCTGTTTTGCTGGCGGTATGGTTGCAATTGGTGCGAAGATATTCAACAACCCCGAAGAAGTAGATATAGCTCGTAAATTGGCCAATGGTTGTGTTTGGGCCTACGAGACAGCAAATCAAGGGATTATGCCAGAAATCATGCACACAGTGCCATGTGAAGACCGAGACAACTGCCCTTGGAATGAAACTAAGTGGCATGAGGCAGTCAATCGAGCTTATCCTTTCGGGAACGTGCCTGCCGAACAAAAAATCCGAGCGAAAAATTTGCCTCCAGGGGTAACAAAAATTGGCGACGCTAGGTACATCCTTAGGTATGGTAGAGCAAAATATACTGAGAAGTCCATTCATTCCATGCTTTGAAGCACGAGATATACTCCCAAGCTAACACTCCCCGACCTGTGTTTAGGCCCGAAGCAATCGAATCTGTTTTTGTCCTCTATCGTGTCACAGGCGACCCTTCGTTCCTGGAGAAAGCATGGAAGATGTTCAATGCCATCGTTGAAAACACTATTACCGACATTGCTCACGCCGCACTAGACGATTGTACCTTACCAGACCCTCCTAAAGCCGATCGCATGGAATCCTTCTGGCTCGCGGAGACACTAAAGTATTTTTACCTGATATTCGCTGAACCGGATGTGGTAAGCCTGGATGAATACGTATTGAATACTGAAGCCCACCCATTGAAAAGAAGCGTATAACGCTTCCTAGAGCCCAGCCCTTATGTCTAATCAGTTTCTATTCAGTTTCAAGTACATATTATGTGGCCGGTCCTCTCGACTATGGGGCTGCCTGTCTTGTTGTTTTCCGATTTTGCGAGAAAATATGTCCCTCGTGACCGATGCCTCTTTTAGAGCTTTCGATTTGGCAGCCCATGTATTGCAGCAATACTAGCCAAGATGATGTAAAAATGTGTGATTGTGCTTGCCCCAATGGCGTTGAATCTAACAAGGGCTTGTCTAGAAAATCATTCAACTCCATGCTTCTAATCTTGCTCCTGGCGTACTAGCAAAACGAACCATAGGGTAACTGCGTATCGAGAAATTCGGAAGGGATCCTTCAGTGGGGAATAAAGGCGCTCAGGGATTTGTCAACCTAGCAAGACGGCATGCTACGACATAGCCTGATGCGCGGTCCTGCACAAAAGCATTTTGCATCCCGGTATAGTATTGGGTCCATTCTCGCGGCCTGGTTGACCCGGTCAAGCTCGGTCGGGTTAACCATTTACGAAATCTTCACCCTGAATTGGAGGTCGGAGCTTTCATATCCAACAAAGTTCTCATACATCCATAACAAGTTGACGGAGGAACCGTAGTCGTTCGCCCATCCGATCCGATATCCATTTGAGATCCGGATGCCGTGTTCAGATTCTCATCGGCAGGCACTCTGCAAAGAATACACATTTTTGCATTTTCCACACCTGGAGTCGTAAGTTTGTCAACGGTTCGTACGATATTGGCCATGACACCCGGATATTTCGCGCCCTGCGTCAGGACATATTGCGACATCAAATCTTCGATTGACATGTGCCTGTTCGACAGGTCCTCGAAATTTCGTGGATCTTGGTCGATTATCTGCTGGAGATCGCGCAGCGCGTAAGAAGCATATACCTCTAGTTCAGACTTATATAGATCCCGTAACGGAAAATTGAAATAAATGTCCCACGGGGACATCCCTTCACAAACATTCCACACGAGTGAAGACCCTCTCCCTTTAGCAACGTTTGCCAATGTCTTTGCCGCCAACCGGCTGTCCGAATCACCCCATAGAATTCCATCACATTTATGGGATTTAGCGAACGCGACAATTAGCCGTCTTAGGAGTATTCCATCGATATCTGCGCGGGCTGTGGCTGTCGAGAATGAAGCACGGAACAGGTTTAAAATTTCTTCATCTGATCTGGATGGATTACTCCCCAAAGGAATGCCTGTATGTTGCGAAATATCACCTCTAATGTCGGGATCATAATCAAATATACTGCGGAGAGGTACTTCTGAGTATGTATTATCGGGATAAGCCTCTTTAATCTTGGCTAGTCTCCCAGATGCAGCTGCGCCTTTCGATGGATGTAATGAAACTGGATCAACAATCAAGACATGCAGATCGAAAGCAGTGCGCTTTTGCCCTGTTGTGCGCTGTTTCAGAAGCAGACCGCTGACGATATGGAGCAGTGCAAGGGAAGATACACCGTATGAGAGGGGAAGGATGAGCTTTCGCTGTCGGTCTTTGGGGGCATTTCTCAAACGATATCTTTCCATTCGGCGTAAGACCTTGGTTTGTAAGAACCTAATAAAACAGTTTCTTTGGCATAGTCAACTTCTGCTTCACGAAATGAAGTAGAGAGGTGATGGAGGGGTAGTACGTACTCGCAGAGATTTCGAGTCCGAACAGTCACACACGCAGGGGCAAACCTGCAATCGACGCAGGACATGTTTCTCACTTTTTCTATCATATCCACAGCAACTCCTGAATTCCTTAATCCACTAGAGTGCAAAATTATGAGGCAGTTCTGCTGTTCACAAATTTTTGGGATGGCTGTTTTTTTCCAGCACACGCTGCTTACGTCATGCCATGAGGCACAATCTCGGCGACAAGCCCATACTGCTCCGTACCTGCACACGACAGCTGTCCCTTACAATAAACCTTCAGGGATAAAGCAGGATGGTGACCGCCTAGGTGACACATACTTTACTCCATTTGCATATATAATACATATCCAATGCCGTCAAACCATCGCTAATTTTCTTTTTTCATCGCCCTACTCCTCCCTCTGACGCTACCTTTCACGGGCTGACCGGATTCAGGCGGAGATAACAATGAGGTGGCAGCTCTGGGGGTTCCTGACGGCGTTGCTAGCAATCAACGGTCTCGCGAATGATGTAGAGCTAGTAAGGGAAATGAGCACCTGAGTTGAGGCTTGTCGCTAATAACTGATGCCGTAGAATCAAGATGACAGCCGCCGGCAACAATGCTCTGGTATGTACGGTAAAAAGGCCTGGGGCGGTGACGTGGACCCCTTTATCCATGTGGCGCTGGAGAAATTACCGCCAAAAGAACCAAGTCCGTTGATGAGCTTAATAATCTTCGAGTGGAAGGATGAGGGCTTGATCGGTCGATTCGCTCCAGGTGACAAGGAAAAGGTATCGACGTCCAGTGATTCGGGTAGCTACTCGGGGAGGGTTTTCCATTAACCTGAAACAGTTCCAAAAAGAGACCATATGCGACCGTCACAATGTGGAAGCCGGACTATGCGACGAACAGTCCTTGGGAGCGTTTATCCTCGAACCCAATGCTACTTCGCGCGCGGAGTCGGCGCTAATCTCGATGGCGGTGAATTTAACGAGCGCGAAACCGATAAAGTACCCCATTAAGAAAACCGGATTCTATTGTGTTAGCACCTATGCATTTACAGGGGACGACTACAAGGGCATTGTCACGTTTAGAAATGCATATGGGGAACTCTCCGCTCCGCAGATCCCGAAATTGGCCTTTTATGGCGGTTTAACAATCCTCTACGCAGTGATTGGAATGTCAGTTACGTTGTACGAGATCGGGGAAGCGCACTTAACTGATACTTTATAGTTTCTGGGCATTTTTATATGTTCAGCATCGTCATGATATTCGTGAGTTTGCACCCATCGACCCGAGATTCTCTGCAGCTAACCATAGCCTCAGTCCCGGTGCAGAATTATATCACAGCCATTCTTGTCTTCTTGGTAGTCGAGCAGCTTATGACTTGGGGGTTCTACGGTGAGTAATATTCCTACGCATATTGCCTATTGCCTGCTAACTAGGTCCCAGATTATCAAAACAGACATGGCATGAATGCGATGGCAAAGGTGCTCATGTTTATTGTGGCGGTCCTGAACGCTGGGCGCAATTCTTTCTCCTTTTTCTTACTGCTCATTGTGTGCATGGGTTATGGTGTTGTTAAGCCATCTCTCGGCCGTAAAATGATTTACGTCCGTTTCCTTGCCATCGGTCATTTCGTTTTCGGGGTTATCTACGCCGTAGCCAGCCTCTCCATTGCGCCAGAGAGCGCCGGCCCACTAGTGCTACTAGTAGTGTTGCCTCTTGCTGCCACGCTTACCGCATTTTACGTATGGACACTGAACTCCTTGAGTGCAACAATGAAAGACTTAGTTGAGAGAAAACAAAGGGTGAAAGCCATGATGTACAAGAAACTCTGGTGGTGCATCCTTGGCAGCATTATGGTTATATTCGGCTTCTTCTTTATCAACTCCTTCCTGTTTGCAAGCAAAAGGGTGGTCGACTATATCCCCGAGCATTGGAAGACAAGATGGTTCGTCTTAGACGGATGGCTCAATATTGTTTATCTATTTGACATTGCATTTATCGCATATCTCTGGAGACCTACGATGAACAATAGGCGGTTCGCCATGAGCGACGAGGTACGTGTCTATGAGTCAATCAACCGAAAACCAAGAAGCCTAATGAAATTACAGATTGCACAAGACGACGACGGTTTTGAAATTCGATCTCTTACCAGCTCTCTGGATGACGAAGAGCGCGTTGGTAGTAATGCCAATAACAGGCCCATTGGTGGTGCGCATGCGGAACATTCCCCCGCGCCAGCTGCGGCAGAATCCTTGTCCCATCCCCAACAGGCTCGCCATTCAATTGATGCCGACCATTTCGCTGTCGGAGAAGAGGACAGATGGTCCGACGACGAATCACCCAGGAACTCAACCGAGAGAAAGGGCCTGATGCATAAGGATGATTAATATTCGAGTTCTCACCTGTATCCATAGTTGCTGTTTGTTTCACTACTTTGATTCTTCGGCAGAAAGAAAATGGCTTGCAGAATAGCTTGGCGTTTACTCTTGAATTAGGATGTTACATGTTACTATCGCGACATCTCCTGTGATCTCAATTCCCTTTTGAGCCTCCCAGGGCATTACATGTTTCTGTGTGTTGAAATTGATTACTATACTCCGCATATGAACAACATATAGAATGACAACAGGAAGTGCCTTAGCCGCAGAACTCGTGGACTGCCTATCCTAAAATCCTGGCTAGTTAACTAACGTGATCCACCCCAAGCGAGACACCAAAATATACATACAAATCTCAACTTTTTGCTCTCTTATATCTTAACAAGTTTATGTCTCATTATAAAATGAAGATACTATACAGTTATAATAAACTTCGTATACATTGTGTTGGTTAGTGGGGCTCCCAGCCCAGCGATCAGGCCTGCCATTGGTCTGCAATATGCACTATGCCTGTTGTGGCATGGCTGTTGCTGCTTTGGGGATGATGCCTGGCTTGCATCTCACACCACCCCAATATTGCCAGGTGATCTATATAAACCTGACCTCACTCTCTTGAATAATGACATACTTCCTCATTCTCTTTCTCTCTTGTCCTGTGTCCTGTTTCCCATGCCCAGATGCACTGTCTCTGTCACTCTGCAGAGATGATGCTGTGTTATCTGACTGTCCCTCTTTTTTTTATCTGTGTTCTGGAGTCACTGAACATCTGTCTGATAGATCTGGACAGTCTATATTGCTTTATTGATTTCTAGATTACTGTTGTCTCTCTTGTGATGTTACCTTGCTTGCTAGAGTTTTGCAGCCATATTATGATAGTTTTTATTCTATTATCTGATTAACAACTCTAGACAGCAGGCTGATATTCACTACTGTCTGCTTTTAATTTTTATCGTCTCTTACTCTTTTCTTTTATGATCTCTCTGCTCTTCCACTCTGATTCTTGAGACACCCCTGGCCCATAAGACTCTGAGTGAAAAAGAGCCATATTCAGTATTGGAAGCTCTGAAGATGACTGGCTGGCATGTATTCTAAAGCCAGCATGTCAGCTGGATTCAGTGTTCTAGATCTATATCCTCTGAGCCACTCCAGACCCACCAAGACTGACTTTTCAGACTTCTGCTTTTGTTCTTCTAACAATGACAAAATTACTGCATTGCTTTCACTGCAGGAGCAGGATGTGCCTCTGAGCCAGCTTAGAAGAGCTATATTAAGAAGCACAAGTGAGATATATAATCTTTAGACATTGTGATAATCAAATAAGATTAGTATAGAGCACCGAGGGTGTTTGTTTCCAGGCCACAATTTTGACAGAAATGAACATGTCAACATTCTGAAGTAAGATTTGAGAAACCAAGAGATTCTCTCTGTGGTGAAGCAAGTGTGTTGACAGACTAAGCACTATTATAAGAAGACTGACTAGTGCTGTCTCAGAATTTTTGGTGTCTCTCAGATTTCCCACTACACACTCTTCTGTTAATTTATATTCCTGACCTTCTTCCAGTTTTCTGATCATCTCTGTGTCCACTTTTCTGGAATATACTATCTCCTGTCTCATTCAATCCTACATTTTCTGTGAATTTCAAACCATGGGCACCCCCTCATCCCAAATCCCCCAATTTACCCTCTCTGGTGGCCAGCTGTTTCCTTTCCTCCAAATTCTGTCATAATTCTCCCTGCAACACTCTCTGCAACACTCTCTGCAACATTCCCCACAACACTCCCTGCAACACAGATCACGATTCAACCGCCGTGAAATACTACTTGGACACGGTCATCCGGTTTGACTTGCAGGCTGCGGCTCTGGTGTTCCCGTCCGACGAGGCCGTTCAGCGAGCAGCTCATGGGCTGTTGCTCGACGCGGACATCACGGGCCCGACAGAACTTCCGGACGATCTACAGGGCCATTTTGATAATGACCTAACACTTACGGAATTGAGTGATAAAAAAGGCAGAACTACTAGAAGCAATCAAAACGCTTGGATTTCCAAATATGCTCGCAGCGAAAGGAAAAACCCATTGTACAATGAGTGGAAGAACATGAAGGCCAAACTGCAGCGCGAAAAAGAACGGCTTCGCACGGAGCTGATGAGGGTGGCAAGAGACCGCCACTTTCGCAGTGCAGGCACTGAACGAATGAACCGGTACCTGAAAGGGACCGCCGAAGCCTTGCACGGTAAGCTTCCCCCTTGATGTGCCAGGGAGGAGGTAACTTGAGAGCTGATATGCTGAACTACCCGGGCTCTTTGTCCTAGATCACAGTACGGAGTACGCCGGCTAGGCACAGTACCCTTCCACCTCCTGGGGGCACATCATTGGGGGCCAGTTTGTGAACTCTCACTGCATTAAAGCCGGAAGCAGGGTGCTGGGTTCGCGAAGTATTGGCTCTTATCAAAAGATGGCCTGTGCCCTCTCTACGCGCTTTGCCGCTGCGCCGCACCCAAAAAGAGGGCAACGAAATCCTGACACCGAACTACAGTACGTGGTCCTCCTTGACGCCGCCTAACTACGGTTACAGTAGCCATAACCACTAACTTGAACTAGAGGGGCTAATTACGGCACAGCGAGGACCGTGGGGGCGATGCCAGCGTGTGCACCACTCGCACAAAGGCAACTTGGAGCAGCAGCGGATTCGATAACTTAGGCTTAATGCACGCTGCGCCGCCGACACGCTCCGTCCATAGGTTCCGTGTAGCTTGAAGGATTCCATGCTAATATGGGCGCTTACTGCGTACACGGGAGTTCCTATTTCCTTGGCCAATGGATTGGCTGTTGGCTATGGATTCAGATACAGTTACAGTTACAATTGGTTGACGCAAGGGTACTGTATGTGCATACAGCGCGAGCCCTCAGCAGTCAATCCGCACAGCGCATCTCCCCGAATCTTGTCTTCTGTTGCTGCCTGGCGGTTGACTACCTTTCGTCTGCCGTGTGCCCGGGGATGAAGCAGAAGGGACCAGATAGCAAAAATAACTATGCCGTCTACCAATGCGATGCGGCATCTAGACGCCAAATTACGACAGGGGCGATGTGCTGCTCCAGCATGGTTTGAGAAGAGTTATATAAGGAGCTCAATGCCCCCCTCTTGTTCGTGCAAACACTTGAACTCAAGCATCCTGATCCATTGATTCGAAATCCCTCGACTAACTGCTCTAATTATACCTTTCGTCTCATGCCCCCTTCTTATTCGTGCAGGCACAGCTTAAACGTCCTTATCTTTTGATTTGAAATCCCTTGACTGACTGCTTTTATTATACCTTTCCTGTCCTTCCCTCCATTCTGCCCACTGTGATCAATGTGGCAGCCCGTCAACCACAAAGGCCTACAGACATTCAATGAAGCATCGAAGACGCAGAGGATTTTCGGCTTAAAGAACTATCCCAATATCCCTCCCGGTTGAGCATTTACGAGGTTGGAACCTACAACTCCGCCTCCAAAATCGAGTTGAAGCAGTTTTTAGCTCTCCATGCCATTTGGATCGATGTTCGCAGAGAGGATTTTGATCCAGAGGTTTGGGGAATTAAGGACGTGGATAAGGCTGAACAGAAACTGCATACACAGTTGTGGGAAACTTTTTTAAAAGAGATCCTCCCCGCAAAGGAACTGCTCCCTGTTCACAACCTGGGAAGTTGGAGTTTTGTTTGGTATTATATCCAGGTAGTTCTAAACTTGCAACAGAACGTTGACGAGGAGGACGAACCGAAACTTGCTTTTTCCCCAATCGCCGGCGGGACAAGGGGGAAGCTGCAGGAGAAAAGAGACCACGAACTACGTGCCATTGAAAAGGGGGGATTATATCTCTTCTAGTATATCTACTCAACTAATCGAAGGAGGGTGCGTACAGTCCCGTGATCTGTGTTGTAAGGACTGTCGCGATGCTCTGCGGTTGGGATTATTACTCTACTCTTACATGTGTTACTGAAACATAATGAACATAGAAACAGTAAGCTGGCCAGGATGTGAAAAGCTCGTGTTTCATGCAACCCAGATTAGCAAGTTTACAGATCCTGCCTTGCTAAACATTTAACCGACACCCGCGAAAACGCCATTTATGGGTATCCAGGATGTGTCTCTTGAATTCCATCGTACTGGACGGGACAACACCGCACCCTTCATCTTGCAGAGGCCGCATGGCTTCGTACCAGATGAATATGCCTCCAGCTCGTTTCGATGCACATTCTTCTCAACATGATCCCACGCCTTGTTGAGCCTATCCCAAATCTTGAACCGACATCCATCGGGTAAACTTTCATCAGCCATGCAAAAAGGACAAGTCAACGGATGCATTTCTACCGGGGTAGCGCGTTTTGCAGGTATAACAATAGCAACTGCGACGGATACAGAACCAGGTTTAGGAGCCTGAAGCTGGGCGAGGTGCTGCTTTTTGTGTTTTCCTGGGCGCCGTGGCTCCTTTCGACGCTGCAAGCCGATCCACAATCTGAGGCACGCTGACCGAGAACCTTCATCCCCAGCAGGCCTTACGCCCCGCTGCTGGATGAGTTCTACGAGTCGTGCTCGTTCAGGAATCTGAAGGAGAGGTAAGGTGGGGTTATAGGGTGAGTCGGATTCAGCAACGGCGGCTAATACACAGTATTGTTGTTCACCAGACTCGTCAAGTCAGTTCATCTGAAAGCCAGCTCCTCATTGTGGTTTCATGGCTGTTGTCTCAAGCACAGGTTAAATAGACACAACAACCCGTCCAAAACCAAACTCTTAGGTTCAACAATCGCCTCTTCCTCTTCTCCAAGACAACTTCACTTTGGTAGATTAGTACGCTCACACTCTCGGACGTCGTTTCTTGCTCTTAATCGCTCCGTCGCTTGTTGCTCCGGCTTCTTCCAACCCAATATGGCGCGAAAAGAAGCAAAGCCTAAGATCACTCACCCCGAGGCTATTGAAAAGAAAAAGGTCATGGTCAAGCACCTAAGATCGATGTACGAGACGGTCAATACGTTCAAGCGCTCCATCCCAAATAGCTACCTTGAAACACTGGGAATCAAATTGCTACCCTTGGACCTCAAGCGACCGTCGGGTAGCATCAACTACTATCGACCGCTCCCAAAAAGCGAGTATAACTCTAGGTCATTTGGCTCCTTCCATCCATTTGCGAACAGTGACAATAAGGACGAGGAAGATAGGTCGGACAGTAACGACGCCGTGCTGGCCAAGCTTTCGAATCTTTCAACCATTATGGGAATGCTGTGGCGCGATGATCACAGTCACACGCAATGGCAGCGAGATTAGTGAGTCTCTTGACCTTGCGCATTTCATCCAAGTCTGCTGTGGCTTTAACATTGCGATCATTTAACCAACCCTTGTCTGAACAGCGTCATCCAATGCTACCGAGAAAAACCACGCCTCAGCCTGACTGAGTATGCTAAACTGGACGGAGCAGAATACACCTGGATCACAACCAATCGGATCCAAACAGCTTCCGAGATGTATCCGCACTGCAAATGTGTAGTCATACAGGATGTAGAGCCCGACGAGGAGCTGAAACGAAGTGAAATTCTCCCAATCCTTGTTATCATGCGTTGGAGAATGAGTCTGTATTACTACCAGCAACATGAAGTCTTTCCGGTGGGTTGACCCCATTCTTAATTCTCTTTTCCCTGATGTGAGACTTCTCCACGGCTTCCGTGCTGACCTATCTATGATTCGCATAGGTTGAAGTCCTGTCCGTCTATGGTGGGCAGGCTCGCATCCTTATAGGCTACTTTGACGGAAAACACCTCTGCATTCAAAAAAGTCCGATTTACGACATCGGGAGCGAGGGCCTTCAGAATTGGATACTGCTCATGAAGTGGTGGTTCAGTGATGCTGCAGGGGATACTACCCGCCTTCCATCTCAAGATATCAAAGACTCGCGAAACCTTGCTGTGCGTCCCGCTCCTGCGCGTCAGGTAAGGAGTGGGCGGTGAATTCTGGCCCTGAGTTGAATGCTGGTTTTATTATTCTTTTTGAACCTGTTGTTTTGTTTTCTGTTCTATGACTATATCTTTAGTCATTCTTTTGTATGTTAGGTAAATCCTGCTGATAAAGTGCAGCAGGTAGTCTTCATAGTCCCAGACTGCACAAAACTATAATGAATAATAATAATAATTTCTCCATGATCATCATCACTTTGAGCGTTGGCGCTGCCCTTTTGGGCTCTGCCTGATTCATTTCAGGCGCTCGAGCCGTTGATTATTTGAACAAGAATCTTGGCCGTGCTGTTGATTAAGAGAAGGATGCAAACTATTTGACAGCTTGGTGACGCGAAGGACAGCGTCAACACCGTTAAGTGAGCTCGGTGTCCAAGGAAAATGCCAAAATGGTAGGATAGGATAATTCTCCCGCTCTCTTACAAGTCAGCCTGTTTCTAACTGTTGTTAGATTTACCTAGAGCGCTCCGGGGCGCGGGGCATCAGAAAACACCTGCACTTAATGCCATGATCCGTTTTATCTACGGACATTGTCTGCTGTCCTGGTTAAAACGTCAGGCGTACTCGAACCAGTTCAGATAGTCGAATTCATAGGCCATGAAGTGAAAGTCCGAAAGCTACTTCGCCGCGGTGCGGGTGGTGGTGTGTCGCGAGGGGCTCTTCAAGCGGACCTACACGTCCGATGGGGCTTCGATAAATGCACAAAAGCAATGGATACCTGCCGACTTAACTTCATGGCAGCGGGTGGAGAGACCACTTTCTTACGACACACGGCGGGTTGGAAGAGCAAGTCAGACTTACCGCAAATAATTGCAAGGCGATGGTAGTCTATACGAGTGTGTACCCGCGAAATATAAATTTGGGACGAACAGGTGACGGCATGTTAGGAAGTGGGTGGTTTGACGAACCGCCCACTACCGACAGATTCGCTAAACCGAACCGTTGCTTCTTTCGTCGGTTCAGACCATACTGCAGTTGATTTTATCAACCTCTCGCACACTTCGTATCCACCAATACTCAACGATTGCGCGGTGCTGGAGGGAGCCATTCTAGAGATCGCTGAGGCCAGCCTGAGGGCTTGCTCTGGGTGTCACTTAGGGAGTCGCTCCGGGGGTCGGTTAAAGCATTGCCACTCCGGGGCAGAATGGTTCTGCAGACCGCAGACTTCGCTCTGGAGGCCACTGTCTGGGGGCTTAGTTAGGGATCGTTCCTGGGGTCATAGAGGGAGTGACGTTTGCTCTGTTTGCTTTACCATCGTCTTTCTCGGTAATTCGAACTCAGTGAAACGGGTGCGTCCAATTTATCATCTGATTATTTAACTGTGTACTGTACTCCGTACTTCAATTCATTCACAGTACCCAACCTTGCTGCTGATGGCCATACTGTGTAAGAATTCCATATCCAGAATCTACTGTATATGTACTGCACATACAGTACACCACATACAGCATAAGACAGTACGAAGGTGTCGACCAGAAGTAATGCTCCCAAGCAAAATGCTGTTATCATGTTTTAGTACTGTATTGTACAGTACAAGCTTTATCATTGCTTATATAGGACCAAACGGGAAAATGGGGTGCCAATGATAGGTACGCTTTAATTAGGCCGGGAGCTCCGCCAAATCGTCGTTGATGATATTACTTACTAGTGTCTGTGAAGTCCCCATTGCAACGCCTCTCATTGGCATTCGTGTTGTAATAATAGTGATGGTGGATGTGAATGGCAATCACTTTGCTCCACGACGAAATCGTCTCTGTACATCCTCTCCGAGAGCAGACGCCAGCCTCCACGTGCTTTCCGGGAGCGATGGGATGTCGAGCATGGAATTTTGACGATCGCGCCTTGCCACACCGGGAGCATCGATGTTGGCTGACAGCCCGACCTGCCTCGTGATCTCTTTCTTCAGCGGCAAGGGCGCGAACCCTGCTAGTGTTAGTAATGGCGGATGCCGAGGTCGCTGCAGCTCACATTTTGCGCATCAATTTCGAAATGGCGAGGCTGTTACCACCCATGGTGATTTACCGGATGGGAAACCAATTGTTGGAAGCATTGAAATGAACCACAGCAACCGAGTTTATATACTGTTTCAATCCGCTCTGTAACGTGAGCAGTGTGCTACAGTATGTTTTTCTGGTCGTCTCACCGCGGACGTGCTTCTCTGCAATCGAGCCTCTGAAATCCGTTAAATTTACGCCTAATTACTAGAATGCCACGACTCCGCTGGGAATACTCACAATGCCTACGCCCGTCAAAAGCGTAAACGTGCCCGTCGAGAATGAGTGTGCAGGAATGGCCCTCGAAAAGGGATGGTCACGCAGGGCTTCATGGACTGTGTCTTTGAGAAACAACAAGAGAACACAAGTTCGAGACGTCCGTCTCCCGTAGAGTAGACTCACGCTTTCTACTGTGTTTACCCGCCGAGCTGACCCGGTAGACCTCACTGTTTACTCTGTATTTTTGCGTAGTACTACTCCTAGGCCTCCTCTATTACATCCACATAGACGATATTGTTAAAAAAACACGCGATAAATCCGTTATTTTCTCGAGAACTTCCCGGAGCGCCATGGTGTGGTGATGCCAAGACCACCTCCCAAAAATCGGAACTAATTTTTGTCACCACTAATTGACTGGTGGACAACCTGCATGATTTCCCGAACAACTAGCTTTTCTGGGGCTTGGCATTAATGAGTCTAAAAAGGCTTAAATCAACGACATCCAACATGGATGAACACCCGAATCAGGGATCCCATCCGCTCAAGCGATTTTTGAAAAATATGCCATCAAATGGCCCTGGGGGCGGAGTGCTTTATCCGAGTCAAGCGGGGAGCATTAGTTACCCAGTCACTTGGGTCTGTCTATGTTTTGCTGGACTCCTGACGTGTTCGATATCACCGAGAAATACGCTGCCTTCATGTAAGAATGAAGAAATTGCCCTTCACGATACCATCGACTCATCTAATGTTGGCAGCGTTGGGCCATGGTGCATGGCGCAACGGTTCTTGTCTTGCGCTACCCACGCAGTCAAATCTGCCATTCGATAATTTTAATTTTTTCCTTGTGACCTCTTCTAGTAACCGGCTCAGCTCAGTGTCGGAGGTGTCGGAGGTGTTGGAGGTGTTGGTGTTGATGGTTAAAATATTCACGCTAAGCCTAATTGGGACTTACCAATGTGGACATGTGTCAAGACACTAGTCTCTATGTAGTTAGTCTCCAGCTTAGTGGCTCAGATCTTCTTTGATCTGATGCAGAGTTTTTGTCTTGCTTCTCATCCCACAATTCTAAGAAGGAGAGGAGTAAGGGCACACACATCTATTAAGTTCATGTTCTGTAGTTTCTATAGCTTCTGTATATGATTAGTAGTCTTGTAAATCCTTCTGAGAGATTCTGAGCCCTTCTTTAGAAATCTTTAAAGTCTTTGAAGTTATCAAAAGAGAAAAAACTCTTGATGAAATGATAAATATTAATCTGAAGAGCTTCTCAGCTTCAATCTTCAATTCAATCTTCAGAAATATAAGTCCAGCAGAACATATGGAGAATGCTAGCATTAATATAAGTGCACATTCACAGCCAGCAGGCATTATATAGTGGGTTGGCTTTCTATAGAGTAGTATTGCAGACTGCTAGTTCAGAGAAACAACTTCCTGAATTAAAAGAAATTTCAATATAGCAGACAAAATGATTACAGATATTACTGAAATAATAATTTAGTCAATTCTCATACTACAAGGCAAGAAAAATATGAATACTTGATTAAACATTGTCAGATTGCAGCTAAACCACTATGACTAGGGGATTCTATATAATATAGTGGTGCCAGAGCCTACAGAGGCTTCTGAAGATATATAAATCAAATAATGAAGTACTATAACATTCTTTGCTACATGGCTCAGCTTAAGCATGAAAGATAATGCTTGAGATTAAATCAGCAAGCACTATAGAGATAATATTAATAACTCTGCTCTCATAATATTCTACACAAAGCAGCTCTTCCTAAAGTCTGATAAAAATATATATATTCATGTGGTGGAGAATTATTTCTACACACATTAACATAACTATAAATCAGTTACACAATATCTTGACATACTGCTTGAATAATATCAGAAGACATTGCAAGCTTCTTATTTATTACATTCTTCTCTAGTGATTAACAAGATAATTGAGGGTGTACAAGCAATTAATGAGAACTACATGGATAGTGTGCTATCAATAGTTTGAAATACAAACCCAAGTAACATAATATATAAGAATATGAGAAATCTTGTACAGAAGGCAAAGAAATATGTGAAAGCTCTGAGTAGAATATATATAACTGGACAAACCAAATCCAAAGAAACTGCCCCCAACAAGCAAATTGTATGAAAATATACTTTACAGAAGAGAGTCTTGTGAGATGATTATGTCAAATTCTTATATAAAAAAATATCTAGTAAAATAGGTGATAACTGCAGATATTGTGAGACTCTGAGTCATGCCATATAACAATGCTCTCATCTTTTTACTAACAAGAGATATCAAGAATGGAAGCCAAAGCCACATTTATGGATGAGACCAAGGCCCAAAGAAAGATAGCATATAAATTCTAAACAGAAAAACCAGAGCTAATTCAAATCTCAGCAACTAAATTCCAGTGAAGATGCTAAGAATAATACAGAAGAAAATTATCTTATAATAGAATTTGAAAATAGCTTCACCAGCATGGAATTTGAATCTGGCTTGATGGCATCTGTATCTGAAAGAGCTGTTGGTCTGGAAATCTGACTTGTTAACACATGCTACAGTTACTTAATTTGTTGCAATAAAGTCTACTTTACTAGCTTTAATTCTACTATAGATTATTGGTACAGAGCTTTAAATAAAGAAATCATTTCTATAAAGAGTAATGATATAGTATGTGTTAGATGCATCATCCAGAATAGTATTGTCAACAAGATCCATATATATGTATGGTATAACCTGAAGTTAGACACAAATTTGCTTTTCACAAATCAGTTGACTGAAAAGTTAAATCTCTACTTTATGGAAGTAGATCACACACTGTGAACATGAAGAGATCACAAACTAGTGAAATATATTAAGAAAAGTGATGGTGTTACAATTCTCAAGACAGAGCTACTTCATCAGCAAGAGAAAGTTATTCAACAGACATATGCTAATATAAAGCTCATGCCAGAGCTTCTCCATAGATAACTGGAACACTGTGCATTCCCTATCACATAAAAAGTGACAAAAGACCAGAAAATTGAAATAGAAGATCAAGATACTTTCCATTGCAAAGCATGTGCACTAGAAAGATTAAAACAGTAGATATTCTGAACACCACAGATCTGATCTATAATTTCTGGGCAGAAGATCCATATTGATCTTTAAATTATAAAGCTAACAAGTTTTCAAGCCTTCAAATATGCTCTAATAATTGTAGATGACTGCATGTGTTTTAAATGAGTTATACTACTCAAGAATAAAGCTGAAGCTTTATGTAGTCTTCAGAAGCATATTAAGAGACTCAGAAATCTACTAGACTTCTACATAAATACTGTACAAATGGATGGAGGCACCAAATTTTCATTATTTAAGAAGGAATTCATCTCAGCCTGTGGAATTAAATGCAAAGTGACTGCTCCATACATACCTGAGCAAAATAACATAGCAGAATGAATTAGTGGCTATTTAGTAGAAATAAGTTGTGTTATAATTTTAGAAGCAAAGCTTTCACAAGAAGTCTGGAATCTGGTCTTGCAAACTGCTTGCTACATTACAAATAGAATCTCTCTGGCTGAAGATGAAGAATTACCATACAAGCTCTTTTGGAAAAAGAAGCCAAATCTACAGCATCTATAAGCTTATAAATGTATAGTCTATATGCATATTTTGCCAGAGAATAGAGCAAACTACAATAAGACATATAAAATAAAACCCAGGGCTCAACTTGGTTGCCTAGTTGAATATGAAGATGAGAATAGACATATTTATAAGATCTGAATTCTGAAAACTAGCAAAATTATATGTACATGCAATGCCAAGTTCAACAAGAATGTCAATGCCATTCCAGATCTTCTGAAAAAGAAAGATTCTAAGCTAAAGAATAAATTTACAGAACTCTTTGTGATTCTGAGCTTCTTAAAGCAGAAAGCTATAGAAATGATGAAGCAAGCTGCTACTAGACTTCTACCAGCTTCAACACAAGAGTCTACAGAGACATGTGCTCAAGAAGCTAATCTGATTGAGAACTCTGAGATTCTAATATCTTTCTGAATGCAGAAGCAAATGCACAGCCCACAACTTTAAATAATAATACTGTCATCTCAGAAGACTTCTTCAGCACCTGAATGCATGGTGAGATTTCAAGAGTCTGTCCATAAGACTATTAAAGAAACACCAGAGCCTTTATATAATGGAGATAGCAACAATAACTTGATTGAGAGTCAAATTCACAACAAGATATTTAGAGATGTATTAGAAGAACTGGGACAGAGTGCCAAATTCATGCCTATATATGAACCAGAACCTACAGCTTCAATAGAGCTGAACTCTCAGCCCACAAGACACATATCAAGCCATACAACTAAAGATAAATCATCAAGACTATATGGAGATTATGCTTCCTATCTTGCAGCTGATCTGCTAGCTTACAAAGTTAAGATTTCACACAACTACAAAGAAGCTATAACTAGCAAATACACCAGTGAATAAAAGAGTGCTATAAAAAAACAAATTGAGAAGCTAGAAGCTGCCAATACTTGAGAGCTAGTTAAGACAGATTTAATAGATTCTACAGCTAAGATTCTATCTGGCAAATGAGTTTTTGACTTGAAAGTAAATGCTGACAGCTACATTATCTTCTTCTGTGCTAGATAAGTTATATACAGTAATTTCCAACACTCTGATCTTGATTTTGATGAGACTGCTGCATCTGTAGTTACTGAATCAGCTATCAAGCTTGTACTTATAAAAATAGCAGTTGAAGATATGCACTGCAAACAAGTTGATATAGTTACAGTCTACTTGTATACCATACTTAAGCATTATAAGATCTATATAAGTCTTTTAACTAGAACAGAAAGAAAAGACTTCATCTGCAGACTCTGACAAGCTCTGTACAGACTAAAGTAAGCAAGATATCTTTAACAGAAGATCTTTACAAAAGCTCTTATAGAGATTAATTTAAAGTCACTAAAGAATACAGATCTATATGTATTTATAGATGAAGAGTCTGGCCTGCTATTAATAATCTATATTGATGATACTCTTATTGCTGCTTCTACAAAAAAAATTGTCACTGATTTCAAAAACAAGCTGTTCAACCACTTCCCTATAAAATCTTTAGGTGAATTATTGAGATTTCTAGATTACAAAATTAAACAAGATTATACAAAGTAAATAATCTATCTCTCTCAAGAATCATATATTCAAAAGATTCTTGGCAAATTCTACATGAGTAGCTCAATAATCTAGACCATTCTTATGGCAGAAGAAGTACAGCTTACACAGAAGTCTGAATCTAGTTCAGTAGTTACTGAAAGCATTATAAACTGGCTGCAACAGCTTCTTGAAGCTCTTAATTAGCTCTTGATAAAGAGCCACCCTGATATTATATTAGCTATCAACAAACTCTAATAATTTACTACAAAGCCAACACTAGAGCACCTAGAATATAGCAAATGAATACTGCATTATTTGAAAGAATCTTCTACACTAGACCTAACTCTCAGAGACATTCTGAAGCCTGGAATTCCAGAATTACAAGTCTATATAAATACTAGTCACCAAGACTGCAAGAAAGAATGCTCAACAGAAGCATATATATTATTTTATATGGGAACTTCCATTGTATAGAGCTCAAAATGCCAAAAGATTGTTGTGCTATCAAGCACAGTAGTAGAATTTTGTGCTCTTGATTCTACTATAAAGAAAGTACTCTGGATTCAGAAGCTCTTACAAGATCTTAATCTTCCAGCAAAAGCTCCAATTCCTATATATATGAATAGTGCAAACACTATAGCACTAGCTCACAAGCCAACATACACACCAGCCACCAAATAAATGGATATGTGTTAGTTCTTTGTGAAGAAGCTTCTCAAAGAGAAAAGAGTGAAACTCTACTATATATCAGAAATGGAGAATCCAGCAGATGGCTTGATGAAGCTACTTGAAAAACAAAAATTTAAAGAATTCTTACAGATGTTGAATCTCAATAATATAGATTCTACATTTATACTTGCTTGATTAGAATGACACAAATACTGATGAAAGTGGCATAATCTACAACAACATTACATCAGCAACAGATTTGAAGCTCAATCTCCAATTTGGACTTCTGCTTACTATTTACTAAGAAATATTCCACTCATTTGGTTATTGAATCAGCTTGGATTCTGGATTTGTTGAATTTATATATTTAGAAATTTGTCTTCTCCCAGTACTCACTGGAGTCTAGAGGGTGGTGTTGAGACACTAGTCTCTATGTAGTTAGTCTTCAGCTTAGTGGCTCAGATCTTCTTTAATCTGATGCAGAGTTTTTGTCTTGCTTCTCATCCCACAATCCTAAGGAGGAGAGGAGCAAGGGCACACACATCTATTGAGTTCACATTCCATGGTTCCTATAGCTTCCGCATATGGTTAGTAGCCTCATAGGTCCTTCCGAGAACATGCTACACCATGTCGTCCAAGCCTTGATATATTATTCGGCTGATTGCCCCATATATCCAAGCACTCTGTATGGAACTCAACGTGACAAACCCGGCAAGCGGGGCGACTGCCTGCAGCTTGCTGTTGACAAATGAGGCACAACCCTGGCGACGGGGATCGTCTTTGGTTTGCTGTTATAGCTGGATCGACCATTGGGACCGTAGGGGAATTGGCAGGCAAGTCGGCAGACAAGTCGGCAGGCATGTTTGCAGGCGGATTGGCAGGCGGATTGGCAGGCGGATTGGCAGAGTTAATCTGAATAGGAGGCGCGTCCCACTCTGGAATTCCAGCAAGTTCGAGCCAGTCCGTAAGAATTCTGCAAGATTCGCGGTACTGGATCGTATCTCCCTGGCGGGCATTTCGATATATCGAATCGTATAGGTCTGTGAGAGGACTTGGGTCAAAATGGTCTAGAAACAAATGACAACCATTTTCTCTATTTTTGTGCTTAATCGCTTGGACCAGAATTTGGCTCTCGACAATCCAACTTCGACGAAGCTTGTTGCTTTTCTCTTTCACCATGAAACAGAGAATCCCAATAAGGCTTCAAGTGAGGCTTAACGTTTATATTCTTTTATCGTATAGTACTCAATATTGTAGTATATACTCGATCTTCAAACACCGAAATGGATATAAGGAACCCATAAGAAGTTTCCCAGTACTTTCATATCTGGTAGTTTGGCATCTCTTGCTTTTTCTCCTCTTGTGATCCCGTCGTCTCGCAGCTTTCGAATGGCTTGGTGGAGTCCTCGACATACTGTGCTCTCTGTCATCCCTTCAACGTGGATCGCCTCATACAGATATTCTGCCGCACCGACGCAGTGATGTCTGACACTTCCCAGAGTGTTCCAACGACGTAGCGGAAACCTGCAAGCTAGAATACGCTCACGAGATGAATTCCCTCATCAACAAGTGTGTACACCTCATTCGCCCCTGTCGAACAAGGCGAGAGATAGGCAAGAAACGGAGGATTCTTCTGGAGATTAAGGTCACGAAGATCTCCGACTCTCAACGGCTTGCTTTCCCAATCCTCCAAAAGCAGACAGCTTCGTGAAGGCTCTGTGGGATGTGAAAGCCCGTGGCCGGCAAAGTGGAATATCTGACACTGCCGCAGGCAGTCCAGAACATCGGCCTTACACAGGCTTGGTGAGATTGGCTTCAGTCCAAGCTCTGGGCAGAACTTTTTCAGATTCTCGACTTCAACTGCTGCATATGGAAGCGTTTGGCTGGCAGCCAGGCCCGGTGTTTCCTGCATGGCGACCAAGACGGCATGGTCGCTTTGAGATTGTATCGAGCGGTGGCGTCGGTGACCATATATTAATGCCTTGATGGACGAGGCATACGACGACATAGTCCTGTCAAGCACTGTCTCAGATGACCCGTCCATGTGGCGTCCCGCAGCATGGAGTGGCAGATGGCTGAGGGGCCCAGTAGGAATCCACCAGACTCGGGGAAAATCGTCCTTTGGGGCATTTGCGAAGCCCAGTGCCTCTAGGCTCGGGCGAGAGACAACGTTCCACAGCCATTCTAGCAGTTTGGATATGTGTAAAGGTTCCGCTAGACGAGAAGATCGAAGTTTGTCAACTCATTCTTGCACATCTTCTAGATTCAGATCAGGTAGCTCCAAGGCCCTGATCTGGTCACGCTCAACGAGGAACGAATCACAGCGATGAGCGCTCATATTGATGACGATAATCGGATCTGGCTTAGCAGCCGCCATCATCTCCTCTGCACTAGGTGGAAGTAGAAAGTTACAGAATTTGGGTTGAGTACGAATCTCTTTGATTAGCTCTTCAAACCTCTGGTCTGCTTCGTAGCGTCGCTTCACCCGTGAATCAATCGAGGCTCTACCATTGGTAAGGGCCTAAGAGATCATCTCATCTACTGGCGAGTCGAGCTCTTCACGAAGATGTATAAATTCGTCTGCGAGATGAGGGTACTGCTCTTTTAAGTCCGTGATATCTCCACGCATCTCCATCAGCAGGCCAGCGATGATGTCGCGACCCAACTCGAGAAGCCGTAAAGCTTGGGAGGCAGATTCCCCAGCTTTCAGAGCAGCGGCGGCAGCTGCAGAGGCCAGACCCGTGAATTGTGCGAGCATATGTTGCTTGTCAGTATGTTCAAGTGAGCGGACGCTCACAAACGGAAGAAGTTCCACAGCACCCTGAAGTAACACACTTGAGTCTTCCCAATTCAACTGGGTGGTAAGAATAATGGCTGCGAACTGAGCCGAGGAAATACGTATAGATGGAGCGGAACTGGAGCAAGCCCAGCTTTTCTTGAAATATGAGAGGGCACGGTTGAGATCACCCATTGACCCAGTCCGCATAAATCGTCTCCCGAGCAGCTTTCTGAGGCTATTTAAGTAAATAGCTCGATTAGGGTGGGTCCTGCGGAGTAGCTTTGACTGCCATGTCGGCGACATCAACAGCACGGTTGAGATCCTCCATCGACCCAGTCCGCTCAAATCGTCTGCCGAGCTGCTTTCCAAGGCTACTTAGGTGACCAGCTCGATCAGGGTCGGTTGGCCCGTCAGGAACATCTGACAACCGGGAGACGGTAAGTCAAGCATCAGGTAACACGGGGACTAGCGTGGCTTCGAATACTCGAAAGGGCAAAGGCAGAGCTGTTAATAAGAACTAGCTAGAAGAAAATATTTACCTGCATTCGCAATAGGATAGTTTGGAATTGAAGCGGGATCAAGGTCCCTTTTATTGACTCCGATTCGGACACTAATCAGACATGAAACCGTCATAAAACGACTGGCGTCTCTAACAGATTGACCGTTCCAGCATGGAGTACTCCGTACATCTTATTCCTTTCTTCACCAGGAGGCTGGTACTTTATGTCATCGGGCCAAGACGTTCCAGTCGACTTCACTCGACCAAGCTCCAACGCACCTTTTCAATTCACTTTTCCCTTGGAATTGCGATTCAAAGTGAAATGATTCCATAGGCAGGAGTGAGCTGCAGGCAACAACGAGAGTGAAAATCTCGTACTTTCCTATTCAGGCAAGGCCTAGGCGAGCTGCTCTGGTCTATAAAAAAAACCCCAAAGATTCCTCCACTCAACCTACAATCTTTCATCATCCAGCCACCATGATGGCTATGGATAAGACTCATAACTCACCCGCAAAGGGAAAATCTAGGTAGGCCATGAACCTTGCCCCATCCAGATACGAAAGACTAGTTCAGAAGCAGCCAATCATATATATAACTAATAATAAGGCGCCATAATGATACCGCAATATTAGCGGCTCGCGCGCTTTTTAAATCAATATCAATTCTCATACCCATATGCAACCATCTGGGCGAAAAACATTACCATCGACGATACCACCAATAAGGGATCCGATCCACTGGGTTTCGGCCAGAGGCAAAACATACAGAAAGGTTAAATCCGATGAGGAAAACGACGGCAACTTTCTCCGCATATGTGAGGTACTACAACATGGTAAGGATGGTGTGTTCTGTCGGGGACCTCGGCTTCACGACTGGAGCACGTGGACAATCTTGTTCCCGTCTGGATCAACGAACCGTGCTGGACGATAGACCTGTCAGGTAAGTCGGTTGATCAGTCTCCCATCCGGCATTAAAAACATGCTGACTAGCTTTCGCAGTCTGGAGATCGAGCTATTTTCGAAGTAGCGAATACCGACAACAAGGCTACCTTCACTGTCGCCTTAAGTGCATCCGAGTGTGGAAAAGAAACCTATGAAAGCCACGGGTCATTGAAGAAGCAGTTGTCTTTCTCCAGAAAGAGGAATGCGACCCAGGCCATGCGGGGGGTTCATCAACGCTTCTCTATAGCCCAAACCCAAGCGCCAATAGACTAGACCTTTGGAGATGGATTCTGCGATGCCATGGGTTATCTTGCAAGCTCCCTCCAGGCGGGTCCGTTTGTCGACTGGCGATTCGACAATGAAGACATATCCGCTGAGCTTTACCGCAACAATCGGCGAAACATTGCAGAAATATATCCGAGTGTGGAACAAGACTTTGCGGAAACTCCGAGCTGTCGAGCAAGCAGTTATCTTCTTGCACCAACAAGAGTGCGATCCGGATTTGCCAATGACCGACAACGCTTGGTCGGTCTTGAAGGGGGCCGACCCGACCTGGTGGTAGCCATACTGCGGCATTTGTCGAACTTGCCGGTGGCGACGAAAGTAGGTCGCAATATATTTTTGGAGATAGATTCTGCGGTGCTGAAGGTGTCTGGCGAGGGACGCTTCAAGCCGGATTACATATTCGTTGCGGGTTTGACAAGTGCCCTAAAGCAATGGAGACGTACCGGCTGAACTTCACTTCAGCAGTCGGGGAGATATGCGAAGTGGCACTCTTCCTCACCAACGACTCCGAGGATATCATTGTTGATATCTTGCACTTCTCTCCTCCTTGTCAGACGTTCTCTTCCGCTAAGACAATTGCTGCGGCCACTGACAGCGCCAACGAGGCCTGTATTTTTTCATCCCGCGAGCTCCTACTCAAGGTTAAACCGCGAGTAGCCACTATGGAAGAGACGTCCGGCCTTCAAGAGAGGCACAAGCAGTTCCTCTATGCGACGATTCACACCTTCGTCGACCTCGGATACTCTATCCGATGGAAGTTCTCGGAGGCGATCCAACAATCATTCAAATATACGAGCAAGCTCCAGACCATAATCCCGATCGCGCCTATTCCCGCAACATTGTCAAGCAGACTTTTTCTCCGCACTCCTTTGCAAAGACCATCACTTGCAATGATGGTGACAACTTCCATCCTAATGGTACCAGAGCCTACACACCTCGAGAGGCGGCGTGCTTGCAAACAGTCCCCATGGAGCATCGCTTCTGCGGCGTTGGTGTGCTGAAGCAGACTGGAAATGCCGTGCCACCAATGCTCGCAAAGGCTATCTTCATGGAGATTACGAGATCCCTGGGCAAACATATTCAATGGTCGTTCCATATGAAGATATCATCATGATTGACGATAGCGCCAGTCTCTTTCGGACCGATGAGGCAATTGATGGAAGATTCCATGACGGACAAGGAATTCGAAGATTACATGAAGAGCTTATCAGCTAACGCACCAATTGCCATTCAGATCTCCGACTCCTATCCCTGTACCTGTACCGAGTACGTATCCAATACATATCAATCCTCGACCTATCGAACCTTGCGACAATATCCATAGGGAATGGCCTTCGGGGAGATCAGTTTCTGTTCGACACCGGGAAAAGATCAGTTTCTCGAAACAGACGACGTCGCGGAACACTTTGGTGCCACAGCAGCGACTGGGTCCCTGTCGGTCGGAGCCTTCAAGACTCCGACTGCTCAGACAAACAAGGCCGCTACCGGCAACGCCTTCCAAAAGTCGGCAAGGAGACTTGGCCTCTTCTCTGCCTTCGACAAGCATTTTCCAAAAGAGGAAGCCGGCAAGACTTCATCGGCGAACGATCAGGGCGAAAAATTCGAAAACAAAGATACGTTTCTTGATGAGAATTAGGAAAGCGGATAGAATGGCGGAGGAATTTAATGATCGCCTTAGTAGTCCGTAATAGCTCCCAAATTGAAAAGAGACCCCACAATACGTGACTGAAAGTCCGCTACTGGTCCTAATATATCCTCCACCCGATGGATCGATCTGCATCGGAAAAGCAAAACCCGAAACTAACTTGAAAACGCACAATAATGTCGATGTCAAAGTCTTATTATTAGAGCAAAGCCGCCCGCGCAGTGGGCGCCACAAGGTCTAGTAAGATCTATCAGAAGCCACTTGAGCTAGCTTAAAAGCTTAAGTAAGGCATTTTCTGACGGACGAGGGAAGAAGACAAAACACTCAAGTTATCTTCATCAAAGTGCTCGCTATTTATAAGCATTGTTCTGCCAAAGAGTTGCACTGAAACATCTTAAAGAATTCTTTGGGTCTAATATTCTCTTGTTCGAAAGATCTGAGTGTGCATAGGATGTGGCTGCAGGAGCTTCTCTTATTTGACCATGTTATGGGTTCCTCTAACAAGAATTCATATGATGTTGCTTTCCGGGATAATCTTCCTCTGCGTTTCTACAGGATGGGGGTAAGCATGCCACTATGGAGGTCTTTCTATTCTCTGACATTATCTAGCTACCCAGGATGCTCAGGCAGTATACTACAAGTTGAATCATCAAGTATCAATCCGCAATCCAGCTTCCCGGAATCAGCCAAATTCACAGCAATTAACTAATTTACTTCATCTAATACTTTGTAAATGTAGATACTTAACAGAGTTTTAGGTAATTACCACGTATTTAGCGATCATTAGTACCTCAGACATCACACGGCACCACACTTCCTAGCTCGTATTCTCCTTGAAAATCAGACCGCGGGCTAGAGCACGAAATCCCACAGATAGAAAACACAATGCCTTCCTTTCACCTTGGACTGAACAGTCGGCCGAGGCGGGTTGACTTCCGTGACCGCCCTCTTCGTCGGCGGTTTGGCGGGGACAGATATACTGGGCTTACAGTATATGAGATAGTGGCATCACGCATCTGTGGCCTGCGAGCACTCGATAACCGTCAGACAACACTACGCTTAGCTTCTTTTACTTCTTTGCTGAGGCCTAGCGACTATCGGAACAGACGGACCGTGACAGGCCCTTAGAGTTTCAAAAAGATTGACCATTGCATGGCAGATTGAGACAAGTTGGAAGAACGCGGAGATCAAAGCAAGGAGAAAGGGAGAGATGGTCAAAAAGATCATCATTGAAGCTAATCAATGATACCTAGGGGTAGAGCTTTGATGAGAAGGAAAAATTGGCAATGCTTCTAGTTCTAAAGAGATCAAAGAGATGGTAAAAACAAAGAATCTATTCCTTACCATTGAATGAGGTTGGGGTTTTCTAGAAGGCAGAATTGAAACCGGTGGAAACTTCTTCAAACCACTTGCTTTCACCAACAAAGACTGAAGAAGATAGGTAGATATTACACTGCTTTCAGTTAGGGATATAACATGCATGCAGATGTCATGGAGAGGGATTCCTCAGACCACAAACATTGTGCTTTGACCCATACACTCCGTCGGCCGATCGCAGTATACGGATTCGAAACGAAGAGACAAGTGCCTCATAAAAATGGCATCGGATACCGTTTTCGAACACCCTCCAGATAGCGACAAGGCAAGTAACCTGTTTCCAAACTTGGGACAGTGATAATCATGCCAAGGGCCTTCTCTTTAACTAATAGTCAGTAGTATCATGGCATCCTGTATAAAAGAGTGCATCTGCCCCAGAGCGGAAACAATCCTCTCGACTGGCTATTGCAAAACACAACGCACGACTTTCACGTCCAGCACTCTAAAAAACGACTTGGTAACAGAGAGGGCTTCGCTCTGTTGGATACACAGGAAGAAAACATGGAAAAGGTACTGCGCGAACTGTTGGAAATTAGAGGCCAAATCGAAACGCTCCAGACACAGAACGCAACGCTCGAGAAGAAAAATACGGTGCTTGAAAAGGATACTGCAGCACTCCAAAATGATGTAAGAAGCAAGCATTGACTGTAAAAAAAGCAACTCTAACTGGCCTGATTAGCTTTCAACCTCTAGAAAGGTTCATATCGGGGTACGCCATGGGGTTCTGGAGGAGAGGCGAATTTCCAACCGGGCGGGAGTCCGCAAGGACAGAGAAACCACGAGTATTCGAAACGAGATCGCACACGGTGGTGATATCATTGGCGATATCAAGACGATCGAGTATGCCCAAGAGCAGCAGCTGCCGTATGTTGCTGAATATAAGGAAGACTTTCAAAAGGTTTATAGAGTATCGTTTGACGAAGCCTTGACCCAAGCTCCATCTTATCCCCCAGAAGCTATCCGAGCGTTCGATATCTTGGCCTCCGTTAGCGAACTCTATGCTTGGCAGGCTCCTGATCAACAAGGACGCCGAGAGATTCTTGAAAAACAAGCTACTAAGATTATTGAAGCTGCATTGAGCACCGAGAAAAACCAGCTGCAAGCACGTTTTGGAAATAGAGGGGACTTGCGGGTGGCCTTTAATGAGATGGTTGGGTTGTTTATGGCTGGAAGATAGGTGTCTTGATATGGGTTAATGGTGGGACTATGAAGCAAAGCTTTAAGACTCGGTGGTATTTTGATCTAACCCTACTTGTGTTTATTCAGCGACTGGGACCAACTCTCCCCCCTCCAGCAGCTTGTCGGCGGATTTGGAAACATTGCGCGGAATATGGTTGCTGCGGAAGAGCTGCTTGAAATTTTACACCAGAAACCATCCATTATCGATTGTCCCAATGCTCCCCCTCTGAAAACCACTCTGGGTAAAATTGAATTTAGAGATGTCAGTTCTCTTATGACAATACAAAACTAACATTAGCCAAGGTGAGCTTCCGCGCACCGCCGGGACGGACTACTGCCATCGTTGAGAAATCCGGAGGGGGGAAGTCAACTATCTTTAACCTCCTTTTCCGCTTTTATGATTCTACGTCTGAAGCCATTCACGTGGATGGACAAAACATCGTTGAGGTCACACTTGATATTTTGAGATCAGTTTTTGGTGTTGTTCTGCAGGAAACAAAACTGCTGCCCGGGACTATTGCTTTCAACGTCCGTCATGCAAGGCTTGATGCGACCGATGAGGAGATCGAAAAAATGCATGCAAGGTCGCTGTGATTCATGATAATATCATTTATTACATAGTTTCAGGACACACCATGCATGCAGAGTCCTCCGTACTCCGTTGAGTCCAGTATGCTCGTCAACGCTCATCAGTGTTCTACTTCCCGTACGACGAGGAATTGTTGGCAACGCCCTTGGAGTCGTCAAGTCAGCAGTCAGTGACGAGTCAGCAATACCTGAGCTTGCTAATCATTTCTGGAAACTTGCGAGAGTGAGGATTTCGAATTGAGTCCAAGTCTTTTCCGTGCTGATAGCTATAGTATTCTCACATGTTGCAAAACTTCTATAGTTTAACGGCTATACTTCGAGCTCTGAAAGCAACCCTGTCGACCAGCTTTCTTTATATCGACTCCTCGAGCTACGGCAATATTATTACGAAGACCGAACGGCCTATTTGGAAAACCAAGGCATCCCGTTTATGGCCGCTCATTTGAACTACCAAGGCTACCTAAAAGAACTGTGGCGGAGGAAACAGAGGGCATGCCGCCGTTGGAGACGGGGATAATGGGTGGACAAGGGCAAGTCATAGGTGTTTTCTTTCTTTCTTAGCTGGCGTTTGCACTTTATGGCAGTAATCTGCAGGCGCTGAGATCAAAGTAATCTGAAAGCATTTTCGGATTTCTGCAATTTGGCGCTTTGAAGCTTCTTGTGTAAGCAGCAAGCACACCGTAGTTATTTGGTCAGCAACAAACAATGATTCACAGAAAATTTTTGGGCGGCTTGTGCACCGGCCATTTGTTCAACCAAGTCTCAAGTAGTTCGGCAACGGCCGCTTTGGAAATCGGATGGCTGTCGTCCTGGCTCATCCTTTGGTGAAGAACAACATTAGAACATGCTTGATCCCAAAACACCCCCATTAGCCAAGCCAGCAAGGCACTTTTGTGTACAGTATTTAAGGTCCGGCTCCCAGTTGCGGCGGCGCTCCTGCAATTGCAGCCATTTTGCCGGAGGCTGATGCGGTGGAGATATAACCACTGCGAATCGTTTCGCCTCAGGAATCGAAACATTACGGTTTCTGGGTTCTTCCCCTTCAGAGCAATCACATTTGAGCTCCTCTAGGTCCCGTTTAAGCCAAAGATGATACCATTCAATCCGCTATCTTACGGTTTAGACGTAAAATCCGGTCACTTGGCGTTGAGCATGGCGACCTTCGGCTGTCAAACATACTCTGGAATGAGGAGCTGAAGAAGGCTCTGATCATTGACTTCCATCGAAGTTCTTTCAATAATAGGCCAAAAATATTAATATCTCGCGAGAGACGACACAACGTTGAAGACCAGCCATTAAAACGAGTGCGTCTGCCTGGTAACGCCAACCTAAGAGGGCCATTCATCACAAACCACGGCGATATTCGTCCTGCCAACGTCACCTGGAATTCAGAGTTATGCGGGCCAATGCTTATAGATTTCGCCCAAGCACGTCTGGTGCGGAAGAGACCACTGACTAACACGCGGTCGGATGGTACCCACAGCCCGTACCGCAGAGCGGAAGCGGCGAAACGGTTTCGAAGTTGTTTAATCTTACTTGACTACGGAAATGAGGTCCTTCAATTGGTTTCTGTTATTTTGTGCGCTACAGCGGTACATTCTTGGGGTACGTACGAGCAAGGGCAGCAATTCAATTTATAGAGGTTCTAATAATTGGAACCGAGGGACATGGATGTTAAGAGAATTTGGGATGCTATGCTTCTAGTTATCAAGGGGTGGCAGTTAGCAGGAGGCCAAAAATGGCACTAAAAATGGCCGCTGGCTAACCGTCACATTGTTATGTGGAGTAAATTATAAGAATTAGCTGAATATAATAATTATTTCTTAAGTTATAGTATTTCATTATCTTTTTACTGACATATATCAAAGTATCTTTACAAATAATAGAGTTAAATAAATAAAATTGATAAGACTGTACGGAGTAGTTATAAACAATGTTGTTGAGATAGTTATAAGAGAGCAAAAAGTTGAGATTTGTACGGAGTATGTATATTTTGGTGTCTCGCTCGGGGATGGATTAACTAACTAACTTATGTAATCGTTCCATACCTCCGATGAGAATGTGATGTGATTGCGGGGGGCTGGATGAACTCGGTCATGTAGCAAATACTGATCCCTGAGGAAATCTACTCACCTTGGCTGTGTCGACGGCTATAGGTGCTTCCGGCACTTACTTGGTTGTGAATGTCCAATTAAGAACATCCGTTTCAATGTCGGCTAGTCTAAACTGCGAGGAGCGGTTATTCGAACCCGAAATGAACACGGACACACGATCGCCAGCATCTACCGAGTCGCGCGCCTCAAGTCAAGCACAGGCCCTCTCCTTGTCACTCCTCTCTCAATGCCGCGCCCTTCTCCATGAGTTGACCTCGTTCCAACTCTACCTTACTGGTTTAAGTCGACCCAACCTCGTGGAGCTCCGCCAGTTCAAGTCTGCCGTGCAAGCAGAACTCAGATCGTTGGAGAAACTATGCGAGTCGGCGAACAAGGCAGCGGAGGAGGATGAGCAAGCTAAAAGAGCAGAATGCACCGAGACCGGTGTTGTGCGCGGAGATGATGAGGACGGAAAATCGAGCGGAGGCGAAGGAGATGCGCACCTGGTAGGCGCGGCGGAAAGAAAAGTCCTGCACTCGCTACGCTCGTCGAATTTGCCGTTTTTCAGTACGGTGTGGAAAGTGGCGAAGACGGCGTGTACGGGGTTGGTAGCGTTTAATAAGAAATTCTACTGGCAGGAGGTGAAGAAGAAGAAAAAGCTGGAACGAGACGATTATGAGATGGAAAATGGGTTTCCATCGCTGGAATTGCAGAATGGGGGTGTCGAAGTAGGAATAGACGAAAGTGAGGTCGCAGAACTAGTGCGGTTGAAAAGAAATGTCATTGTGGATATTGTTGCAGACCATGGGGAAGAATGGGTGAAGGTCTCTACAATAACGCCAACTCGATTACTTTTCGAGTTGGCGAGACAAGGTTGGGAATTGGACTCCGATGATGAAGAGGAATATAGACTACGGAATTATGACAGTGAAGACGATGGCGATGACGATATCGTTGAATTAGTAAAACTGGCAGTTGATATGAAGAAAGCTGCTGCTCAGACTCGCGTCAGATACAAGCACCCTCGAATACGTTTCATCCTTCCCAAGGTGACTGAAGGACAGGCGCCACACACGGACAGGATCATTCATGAAATCCGAAAAGCAGGGGTAACCGTAGAATGCGGTACTATTCCAGAGAATCCGCTGACTGGCGGTGCCAAGCAACTGGACCCAAGATCCCTTGAAGCTACATTTTCGTCACTTCTTCCAAGCCCCTACCCCCAAAGGACGTCGACCTTAAACGTTGATTGCACCTTGCTTCTCGCCCTGGTGTCTGATCTATCGCATTACTGCAATATTGCCCATTCTACACATCATCATCGAGCAATAACTCGACAGATTGAACTCGAAGCAGAAAAGCCACTAGTGCCATCAGAACTATGGCCAGCCATGGGGGACAAAGACCTGCTCTGCACCACCGAAGCCGCCCAACGGATGCGAGAAATAGTGGACACCATAGGAACCCAGGCCGAAAAGACAAGAACAAAGTTGCTAATGGGGGAAATGGATGAACATTTGGAAAGGCAACAGTTAATTTCCCGATTCCAGGAATTGTCTGATCATAAAGTTCCAACGGATTGGAGAATCCCGATCAGAGTAGTAGAGTCTCGGGAGGTGATCCGTCGCGGCTTTGAAGATGGACGGCTCCCGCCTGTAGCTCGCAAAATCGCGAACCACCTCAGTGATATAAACGCCAGCGTGTTTGTATATGGATGGTCCACCGGATTGATGACAATATCAAGCAACCGAACTGTGGCAAAGCAAATCGAAACCATGATAGAAAAAAACCGAGGCGACGACGATGATTTACGAGGACCCTTCGTATGGGTATGCGACACAGCGAGAAGTTTGGTTGGAAAGGAGAAAAATAGGAAGTCGTAGTGATACTCAAAATGAAAGAAGCTATTGTTGACTGGGGTGCCTGGTAGCTCCTGGAGCGCGCTCCAAACGACTTTTCCACCAATCCTCCATGTCGTGTGGCACGCCCGGTCTGACGCGACACCAATGTGTATATGTTCGGATAGATGATCATAGGCCTATGTTATCGACGGGTATTTCATTTTTCAGGCTGCTTTGCGCTGTCGTCAGGCAACCAAAAGACAATTTCTTTATCAGCGCTGGCAAACATGTTGTATCTTGGGTTAGTCTGTACAATGGCGACCTTGCCACGATGCGGCAGACGAACCATTGGCTGGAGGAGTCGACTCGAATCAGGAGCCTGGTGTACGTCCCACACGAGAGCGTCAGACTGTTCACCAGCTCCTCCAATCACATAGCGTCCGTCTGGTGTGAAACAGACGTCTCCCTGACCAAGTGGCTTTCCGGTACTAGATACCGGGGCTGCTCGTCCTGTCACGCCTGATTTTCCAACCAAGAATGCCTTGACGTGTCCTTCAAAAGCATCCAAAATGAAATGCCCATGGTAATCTGTGCCAATTAGGAGATGCTTGCCGTCATTTGAGAACTCTAGCTTATTCCAGGCTCTTCCTCTTGTCGTTGGGGTAAATCTATCCTCGTGTGGTGCCATGTCAAACGTCGCGAACGGTGGTTTGTCGTAGTTTCTAAAGTCGTAGAGTAAGACAGACGAGGTAGACTGAGATGCGATGGCCACGACGGTGCCTGACGGGTCAAAGGCGGCCAGGTATGGAGTCGCCAGCTTTAGCCTTCCCTGTGCGTTTCTCGAATTGAGATCCCACAGCGCAATACTATCATCCTTGGAACAGGACAAGAACGCGTCCGCACCAGGGGATAGCGTGAGGCAAGTTACTTTGTCCGTGTGGCCGGTAAAATAGCGAAGGTAGCTTTCATTATGGAGATCGAGAAGGCGCAACGAATCTTTCCAACCGTTCAGTTAGCCTCGGGGAGGAGAACTGACGGAATTTCCGGGGGGCCTTACCGTCAACCTTTGTGCTAGCATGCAGTATCTGGCGGGAATGATGAGTGAATCGTGCTAAATGGACCCCATATTTTTTACTAGGGACGGTTTTCGTCGGCTTGCCTTCCTTCACGTCGAAAAGCTGTATCATCTCATCGTCCCCCGCTGCCACCAAAAAGTCACCTTGGTCATCGAAATCGACCGAAGTAATAAGTTGCTGGCCCTCGGACCTGGCATTGCCTCGAAATACCTGGAGCAGGAGGCACGGAAACGGTCAGCTCCATGCGGTGACTGCGCGGGAACGTGTTTTGTGGACTGCAATAGCTAACTACCTTTGATGGACGATAATACTTGACAACGTCCGAAACCTTTGCCGTGGCCTGAGGTGGGAGAGTAGCCGCAGGTATCTCCGCCATCTCGAGCATCCGCCGCCAACCACACCTGGAGGACAATGAAGAGCAAGGGGAGGGTTCTGGATTCTGGAGTTGCTGCCAACGGCTCTTGGTCGAATCGTAACTTAAAGCTTAGCGTTCGGCACTTGGCGAGCTAAACCGGGAGAGCAGCCTGGATCGCCCAATAGGAGTCTTCGAAATACTGCGTTCTGGTGTCCTCGGTTCTCCAAAAGTTTGAAATTTGGTGGCGGCAAGGGCGGAGAGGCGGAGGTCAAGGGCGCAATGCGAGCTGAGAGCCAGTAACTAATTTTTATCCGTAGATCCCCCAGAGTCGCACGGAGTCCTACAAGCCAAAAGTTGTTATTGTGACAATGCTGGGGCCATCCTGATTAGGGCTGTTTGTGTCACTCCTTCATGTCCGCTCTCTCACTTCACTTTTCTTCGTTTTCTGGGGCACCAGTGTTTGTTCATTTTTACTGAATCTCTCCACTCTCTCTGTCCGCCAGATATCAGATATCAGGGTGCCTCTGGACATCATGTCTACCACAACTGGGTAATTCCATTAATCAATATCAGCAGTCTGTGGGCTCCATGTCTAACTGAGCGCATACACTAGGGCCTTTATCGCTGGTGGCATCGCCGCCTGCGGAGCCGTCACCGTGACGCACAGTTTCGAAACCGTGAAGATCCGGTAACTAGGCCCTTCTGAGACTGATAAACTACAGAAGAGCTGACAAGCAGCTGGCAAGATTACAGCTTCAGGGTGAGCTACAGTCGAAGAAAGAGGCAGTTCGCAAATACAGGGGTGTGTTGCATGGTGTGAAGGTGATTCTGCAGAATGAAGGTCCTCGCGGGCTGTTTCGTGGGATTGGGTCCGCTGTATGTGCAATCACCTCTCGCTGCTGCTCAAACCGCGGTTTTTGGACATTTTAGTTAACGGCTATAGTACGTTTATCAAATCCTCCTAAACGGATGTCGTCTGGGCTTCTACGAACCGTTGCGACAAGGCCTTACCTCCGTCCTGTACAAAGACTCCGCTTACCAGTCGTTGGGTATCAACATCTTCTCCGGTGCAGCATCCGGAATTCTCGGAGCAGCAGCGGGCTCCCCCTTTTTCCTTGTAAAGACAAGGTTACAGTCCTTCTCTCCGTTCCTACCCGTTGGAACACAGCACCAATATAAGAACTCTTTCGATGGGCTTCGACAGATCCACGGCAATGAGGGTATCACAGGCCTTTACCGCGGAGTCGGCGCTGCTATGGTTCGTACCGGATTTGGCAGCTCGGTTCAGCTCCCAACCTACTTCTTTGCGAAGAGGCGGTTGATCAGGCATCTCGGAATGGAGGATGGTCCAGGACTGCATTTGGCGAGTAGTGCATGCAGTGGATTCGTTGTTTGCTGTGTCATGCACCCCCCAGGTGAGTTGATGTCCGAAAGATTAATGGCCTGGCTCAGGCTGATCTTGATCCTTGCAGACACCATCATGTCAAGAATGTACAACCAGACGGGTAATTTGTACAAGGGAGTGTTCGACTGCCTGTACAAGACCGTCACCACCGAAGGTGTTCTCGCCATCTACAAGGGATACTTTGCTCATCTAGCGCGTATCTTGCCACACACCGTACGTGGCCCTGTAAATGTTGGTTGCTTGAAGGTCATGCTGACGGTGCATCTAGATTTTAACTTTGACTTTGGCCGAACAAACCAACAAGCTTATGCGGCGATTTGAGTACCGATTTATCCCCGAATCGATCAGGGCTAGGATATAAAGCCTTTGCAATCTAATAATGAACTATATCCGTAGCATGTCCATCTTGTTCTTTTGCTTTTCATGCACTCATCTTGTTGAATATCCCGGGCGTTCACATGGGAAGGATAAGCGATAGATTTACATAGAGGGTGTCAATTTATTCAGGTTTGTTGACTGAGCCAAATTTGTGTGAATTGTGAAGACGCCCCTTTCCCTAGATTCCGCATTGAGATAATTGACAAGTATCTCACGGTGTTTTAAAATAAGAACAGCTGAATTCAAATACGATCGTTTGTGTCACCAGTAACCACTGACCTCGTCGGGTTTCGGAATATCCACGAAGCTCCTCGGGGTTTTGTGCGAACTTCATTTGGACCATTCCTATCGCCGGAAGGCTACCCCGGTAACACAACGCGGGTAGCGTGACCGGGTTGGAGGGATTCAAGGATTTTCATCGCCTCCCGAGCACAGAGTACTCCCTACTTCGTCGCAGTTAACGTTTCATGTATCGCGTTTTCGAGCACGTCACCAGACGCAGCAAGAAAAGACTCCTCAGGCACCAAATTATGGGATGGCGAGACCATGTTTCCAGCCAAACTGTCCACATGCATTGGCGGTGTTTCAGACGGAAGAAGGGGTAGTCAACACGATCGTTGTTTGAGATAAGCTGAATTTGACGAAATATATGATATTTCTATGGTGGGCCCATCAAAGTTCGCGTTCTTCCCTTGTGATGTGCAAGGGGCCTTGCAGGCACGTTATCTCCGACAAGAGCTCCCCTGGTCTTCTGCTCAGGCATCCATGCGGGGCACGAAGTCTGGGTTCGCGTCCATTTCAGAGGTTTGGCATTGTAATGATTCCGCTATGGCATGATAATGGATCCAGCCTATCCCGGTTGGTGCCTGGGTGACGGGCTGGATTCGATGTGGGCTGGTGAGACACCCAGCCACCTGTTTACAAATCATGACATAGAGCACGTTGGCGCGGACGCGTTCTGCATGGAAACCATCTGCATTGTCCAGGCTCAATCTGGCGAGGAGGAATAGGGCAATACTTAATTTGGGAATGTACAATTGAATCATCATACTCCATACTCCGTAGCTTCTCCAGAGAGAAAGACATTAATACTGATCCCGACTGCGTCCGGGACACGGCAGTAGGGTTTTTCAGACGAAAAACATTCGCGTTGCTTATCCGGGACCAATTCGATCAGATAAGATCCGCTGCGTCCCATCGGGCTTGGCGTTCAGGCAACCACGGCGTCTCATTGGCCCAGCACCGACCACCGTCTCCTGTGTTGTTTACGTAACTCGTTGACACCGAATTTCGCGCTGACGGAGCGCGTGTTCACGTGACTTAGCTTCTTCGCCTTAGCGCGATTCTCGGGGTATTTCAAGCTCTCGCTCTTCGCTTTCCTTGTCGTTCTTCCCCTGCTGTGCTCTCCATCCTCCACAAAAACGCGTCTTTTCCATCGAGTTATTGTGGTTTTTCATAGATTTTACTTGTTTAGAACAGAAGCAATGGACACTCAGTCAACTCCTTCAAAGCAGGTACGTGTTCCATCGTCGAATTTGCCTTTGATTGCGTTGTCGCGTTTGGGGAGCTTGCTGACGCGCCTCGATGCGTGAATAGACCGCATCTTCTCTTGAGCAGCTCAAGATGAGTGATTCTCCCGTCAAACCGCTCAACTTTGGCCTAGCAGACAAGGAAAACGCCCCGTTGACCGCTGCCACCGAGTCCGGCCTCAAAAAGTTCGATGCCGAGGCCGTCAAGCCCAGCGCGCCAGAGGCCCCGAAGAAATCTCTCACCCCCAAAGAGCTCGAAGCAGAGGAGCCATTACTCCAGGAGAATCCCCATCGATTCGTTCTTTTTCCATTGAAGTATCATGAGGTAAGCCTGATCTCGACGCGTTACGCGTAAAGTGGATTTGAGGAAATTCTGCAAACTAACGCGTGTCGTGTTATTCCGAATAGATTTGGCAAATGTACAAGAAGGCCGAAGCCTCTTTCTGGACCGCTGAAGAGATCGACCTATCTAAAGATCTTCACGACTGGAATCACCGGCTGAACGACGATGAACGCTACTTCATCTCTCGCGTCTTGGCCTTCTTTGCTGCTTCCGACGGCATTGTCAACGAAAACCTTGTCGAACGATTCAGCGGTGAAGTTCAAGTCCCAGAGGCCCGTTGCTTCTACGGTTTCCAGATTATGATGGAGAACATTCACTCCGAGACCTACTCTCTCCTCATCGACACATATATCAAGGAGCCAAAGCAAAGAACTTATCTGTTCGATGCTATTGATACCAGTATGTATTAAAATTTTCTCATGAATGCTTTATTTCTCAATCCGGATTTTGCTAACCCATGTACTAGTTCCTTGCATCCGTAAGAAAGCTGACTGGGCCATTCGCTGGATCCAAGATCAAGAATCCACCTTCGCCCAGCGACTGATTGCCTTTGCCGCCGTTGAGGGTATCTTCTTTAGCGGCTCCTTCGCCTCCATTTTCTGGCTCAAGAAGCGGGGACTTATGCCTGGTCTCACTTTCTCGAATGAATTGATCTCTCGTGATGAAGGTCTTCACACCGACTTCGCCTGCCTCCTCTTCTCTCACCTTCGCCACCGTCCAGGCCCAGAGGCAGTCCAGGCTATAATCACAGAGGCAGTCGAGATCGAGAAGGAATTCTTGACCGATGCCCTTCCCTGTGCTCTTCTTGGCATGAACTCGAAGCTCATGTGTCAATACATCGAGTTCGTTGCTGACAGACTGCTTGTGGCTCTTGGCAACAAGAAGTTCTACAACGCCACGAATCCATTCGACTTCATGGACAACATCTCGCTGTCCGGAAAGACCAACTTCTTCGAGAAGCGTGTCGGTGACTACCAAAAGGCTGGTGTCATGGCAAGCACGCAGAAGAAAGAGGATACCGAGGAGGCGATTGAAAATGGCGGTGCCTTCAGATTCGATGAAGATTTCTGATCTTCTCCTTTTTGGTTTACGATGCTGACGCGTTTCTTGTCTGTAGCATCTATGTATGAGTGACTGGCATGTGGGGCTGGCGTTCAGGTTTGGATATGGGCATGTGTACATGATGGACTTTCTGTTATACCTGTTGCTGGGCGATACCTTGTTTGCTGCCTTTGTATCATGTTTCTTATAATGTATTGGATTAAAATGACAATGATAATGTTTGGTACGGATCAATTTTCAACAATGTGCCCATTATATATATATATACTCCGTATATATATATTATTTTTATTTTTATTTATTTTTTTGGGAGTGAGCCTAGATCTTCTCCAAAGGCTCAGAGGGCAAAGAAGTGATAACAGAGTATGGATACAGAGTAGCTAACCGGCAGTTATGGCCGGTATTTGACCAACCAATAAAATTATTCCAAGGTGAAAAGGCATCAGGAGGGGAAAATCAGCGGTACATTTATTCTCATATTTATTGTTCCCCGAGCTGGAATGTCAGCAATATGCGGAACAACAGTAGAGTCGCAGCCGCTTCATCATCACCAAGCCCATAATGTAACCCCAATCGCCATTATGCACTCACTGCCAAACATAGTTTAGATGCTGAAAATCACCCATCTACTTTGTATGGAGTACAAAGAGTTCTAGCTCGATTCCAGAGTCTAGTTCAAATTAGGCTTCAAGTGAACTTACAGGCAGAGATAGGCATGACAGTCTCTCCCATGATGTGTCTTGATGCCAGAGCAAACTGATTAATGGCACTGGGATTAAGCGGCTCCTCACAGCATTCAGTAATAGGTGCTGTCTCATTGCGGCGTCAGCAGATGAGATAGAAAGTCGAGCTTGCAGCACGAAAGATCTGGTTTGTAACCCTTTTATCAGCCTGGAATCCTGGCTGTTCACCATTCCAATTTCGCGAGGTGATGGCTTCAGCAACGGATATGAGTGACTCTGGTTCTTTCCGCATGAGCCGCTCCGTGGTCTGCCGTAGAGGTGTGTTAAACAGGTTGTCATCTATGTTTCTCACTACCCCAAAAAATAGTTTTGCATCAGCCAGCACACGATTCATAAAAAGGATTTAGAATGGTTTGAGTAGGGGCCATTCTTCGTGTCCCACCTCCGGTGCGAACCATTGGCATCCACGTCTCAGACATCAATAGGATCCGCATTTCCCTCCAGATCAAGAACTATAAGGGTTTTGATATCCATATGTGTCCTACCACTCTTACGAAGTCAGCTAAGGGTGGCGTCAACATGGCTAAGTGCTGCAACTTTAGCTCTCGGAAACAAGTGTCGCGTGGAGCCACGGCTATAAGACTCCGAGGGGATGCCGACAATAACAAGTGATTGATCACGCCAGCATGAAGTCAGGTAAGGGTTTATAATGGGCCATAATGCCAGCTCCCTGGACCATATTTGGAAATTTCGGACAAGCTTAAGAGTTTCCAGCCTTTATTGAATGATCTCGGCATGCGTTTGGCCGTAGAATGGCCAGTCAAGAATTATGTAGAGTAATCCTGATCCTTATTAGGATACCACCAAGCCCGAAGGACTAGACCATTACCAAGTTCTAGGCGATCGAACCACTGGGAGATATAAAGATGTGAAGCAACCGAAACTCAAACAAAGGAGATAGATCACACTTTGAGAATCCCCGCGGATTTCGCACCCAAAGTACTCAGCATGGACTATCAAGATACTGATGTCAATTTGAGACGTGCGATGCATGTGTTTTGACGAGGTTGATTGGTCTCCGCGATAAATTCAACGCAAGCTCAATCGCTGAGTTGTCCAAAAGGGGGAATGAACCGTAATCAGTCAATTTGATAAATTCCAAAAAATCCTTATGTCGTTCGGACTTTGTCTGCCTTTTGCAGCCATCATGCCATTTCAACAACAAAATGCTATCCATAAACGTCACTCGAACCCGTCACACAGGGGTCTTGTGGGAGAACCTTGACAGGTTGCCAGCGTATCCTTGGTTCAGGTTTACTGTAAATGGAAGAGTCCCCAGCTTCACGGTATGATCCCAGTTCAACCGTCGGGCCAGCGAGGCTAGAGGAAAGACCAAAGCGGGGTAGGCAAGGACAGAGTACATACTCCGAAGCCAACCGTCAAACAACCAAAAAAGGTTCATGCCGACGCGAGTGGGGAAGACTGGGGTTGACCTGCATGGGCGGCTAGAGGGTGGGGCCGCTCGCATCACCATCAGATATTATTCCCGTCCAATATCTTTAAATCATCTGGGCTGCCCAAGTTGACCAC